ACAAAAGCCCACTCGTTGCGTAAGTTGAGCGGAAGTCTTCCAAGTCAAGAAAGAAGAATGCGTGAATTAAAAAGCGAAAATCGAGAATTGCGCATTTTTTGAGGACAAATCGAGGGGCTATGGAGGGCAAAAGGACCGTCTTTTTAAGTCATTTACCTCTCCTTTGAGATTTTCCCTTTCCGACTCGAGTACTGCCATCTGTTCATTTCAAATAATTGCTGATCCTTTGAAAGGAAATAACAAAAGAAAAGTTGTAGAGGAAATCCTGGAACGCACAGGGAACTATTGTGCGAAAATAAAAGTGAATGAAGGGATTCGAACTTTTCCCCTATAGTGTACGTTGTGCTCCACAAGTAAACGTGCCTTTCCTAGCGCACCACTTTGCCCTATGACATTTCTATGATCAAGAATGTTGATGCTGGAGGTCAGCACGAAGCTAGAGAAAGTTTCAGAGGTAAATTCGACAATTTATCTCACGGCGGGTTACTGTAGGTTACTGTACTCTTAAATTTCTCAAAAATCACTAATCATTTTTGAAAATCGAATTCATAACTCTAAATCCTGGATGTCACACTAGCTACCGTAATCGTTAGAATCATTGTCTAGCGTCATTTTCTAAACGCACCCTATCTGGCACACCACTTTAACTATTTGATCCCTAAATTTTCATTTTGCAAACCAAATCGAATAGCTAATGAATCAAAAACTGAAGCAAGCCTAATTGCTGATTGAATCGCCAAGAAAATCTGTCGAAAGCCGCTATTTTAGAGATTTACAATATTGCAGCTCTTTTCTCTCATTGCGCAACTCATCCCAACTCATCCCGATCGATCATTAGCAAGTATTTATAACGATCCACATTCTAAATGAGTTCCAGGATCAACGAAAATTTCATTTTTAAAATGATCCCTTTAAATTTTGGCCAGCAATTCGCCCATTCTCAATGTCTCGGAATTCCTCTCTAAACTCAATGACTGAGATTAGCGATTTTACAATAGCCAACATTTCTTGTGACTTCCAGGATGTAGGAAAATCTTGCTTTTAAATCGATCCCTTTTCTAATTCACCAGCTATTCAGCCATTCTCGATTCCCCAGCCTTGCCCCCGCTCGAGACCCGTCCACCGTAATTAAACGCTCATAAAATTGAATGTGCACGAGTTTTATATGCCCAATATTGATGATTATGGCAAGAATTTGCATGTTCGAAATTACAGCCAGCGTAATCAAATATGGCAAAGTATAAAAGGCAACCTCGTTACCGTAATCCAAAAAGTAGGAATTTAAGGAAATGTTCTTTTTATTAGAATTCTATGTTCTGTGCACTCCAGATAAGAGTATTCAGTTGAAAAAAAATTAGAAAATTTACATATAAGAAGGAAATAATGACCCAAACCCTACCTACCGTAGCCCGAAAAATAGAATTTTAAGAAAATGTTTTTCTCTACCGTACCACATGTCCTGTGCGCTCCAGATAAGAGTATTCAGCTGAAAAAAATTAGAAAATTTGCATATAAGAGGAAAATAATGACCCAAACCCTACCTACCGTAGCCCGAAAAGTAGAAATGTGAGAAAATGTTTTCTCTACCGTACACCATGTCCTGTGCGCTCCAGATCACACTCTAAAGCTAAAAAAATCGAAAAACATTCCATAAACATCGCAAATTTCCCCTCAAAATCGTTTCCAAGTACTAGAAGCTTGACCCGGGGTGACCCTGAGAAGAAATCTCCCACAAAAGACTCATTAGCCTTGAGAATATCCTTTCAAAAGCACCGCTCCGGCCATCCAAAAGGGCTTTTTCGAGTCCTCAAGTTCGATCTATTATCTATTATCTAGTAAAGGCTCTTAGGAGGGTCGAGGTTGAGGATCGCGCCGATTATCCACGGATCAAGCCCATCTTTTGCTTATTTGCGCTTTTTTTTGGCCATTCTGGAACGCATCAAGCGTAATTAGTCGGCTTTTGGCCGGAAATGACGATTTTTTTTAGTACCGCCCGAGTTGGACTACTTGAGTCGTGGTGTTTTTCTGAGGTCACTTTTTTTACCGCTAGCCCTATCATCTAGCGATTACGGTAGCTAGGGTGACATCCAGGATTTAGACTTATGACTTTCATTTAGCTGAATTGTTGACGGTTTTAAAGATTTGCGCTAGTACAGTAACCAGCTACAGTGGTTGAGGAGAACTTTAGTTCTAAGAATTCTAACGACTACGGTAGTTAGAGTGACATCCAGGATTTAGAGTTATGAATTTGATTTTCAAAAGTGATCAGTGATTTTTGAGAAATTTAAGAGTACAGCTACGCTACAGTAACCCATCATAGCGAAATTTCACTTTTTCCGCACAAAACTTTTCCCAGCTCTGCCGTGCGCTCCAGCATCGCCATTGCCGGTCGTAAAAAAATGGAAACACGTACCATTTGAGGTACGAGAAAGGAGGGATTGCGTAATGTGGTTAATGTCTCGATGAGGAGGGAGCGGTGAGCACTCCAATATTCATTGTTATCCCTTCTCCTTCTCATAACACCTCTCAGCCTTTAGCCCTACCTACAATTCGAGAATCATCGCCTCCCTTACGTAACCAAATTTACAACTCTCATTAGAGTTGAGGTAGCTGAGCTAAGATATTATAATTTTTTATTTTTTGACAAGATACGATTTTTACATTTCCAAACTCTAGCATGACTTCCAGATCTCTCGAATTGCAAAAAGAAATCTCTCAAAAGCGATTCTCCGAGAATATTTTAGCTCCGGTTCAATTACCCAACAACTAACTACTTCTTAACACTGTGACATCATAGTTTTCCATTTCTAAACTCTAGCATGACTTCCAGATCTCCCAAATTGCAAAAAGAAATCTCTCAAAAACGATTCTCCGAGAATATTTCAGCTCCGGTTCAATTACCCAACACCCAGCTACTACTTAACACTGTGACATCATAGTTTTCCATTTCTAAACTCTAGCATGACTTCCAGATCTCCCGAATTGCAAAAAGAAATCTCGCAAAAATGATCCTCCGAGAAAATTTCAGCTCCCAACACCCAACTGCTGAAAACTCTCATTTAAAGCTACGGCAATTAATTCAAAATTCCTACTGACATCCAGTTTGAATATTTTTTTTACCCCAAAAGTCTGAGCACTCACTCAGCGAAGTGAATTGTTGTCGATCGGTCATCGATCCCCATTGTTCCCCATCATTGTCTTTGCTCGACAATTCTCGCATCCGATTAGCATTCAGAAACGGGAAAGAGCGATGCTAGGACGTGCTAGGACGCACAGGTGACAGCCCCCACTCAATATTTTGAGCTAAATCCATATTTTTTGGGCGCAGTGACCCGGACATATCGAACACCTCCACCTCCACCAACCCTTTCCCCAAATTCCACAATCCTTCCATTCTTTTCTTCATTTTCTCACCCGTGCCCTCCAGGATGATCAACGAGATGGATGGATTGGCATTCTGAACAGCCTAGATGGATTAAATCGAGAGGAAACCCTTTCGCGATGAAAACACGGATTATTTGGTAGTCAAGACCCTAGAAAAAGATTACAATGTCCAATCTGGAACGCACATCAGCTTATCCAATAGTTAAATTCTTAAAATAATCAATTTTTAATATCCACAATTCCTCGTTCCTCGTTCCACTAAAGTACAAATTCCGCTACAGCTCTAACCACTTAATTTAAGATTTAAGCCTCTTCAAGATTCCTGGAGAACACTTGTCATGATCTTGCACTCGAATTTAAGCAATTGTGGACAAATGAGTGATCCGGAGAGATCGGTGATCCGGTACTTGAGCCTTGAGATTTTGAGAGACAGGTGCCAGCAAAATTCTTGCCAATTCTTGCACCAAATCAATTTCTCGCAAAACAAATTCCTCGATCTGGAACGCACGCTAGCCAGTCAGAACCCTAGAAACAAGATTTATGTTAATTTTCGAAATGCATGGTCAGGAAACATGGCTGCGCTTTTGGTGGCTCTATGGTTGAACTTTTGCGCTTGAAAACCGATATCCTGTGCGTCCTGGAGCGCACACTAGCCACTCCTCAATCTGGATTTATCGACTTCGCAATTTTCGCAATTTTCGATTTCTTGGAGTCAACCTGTTTTCTCTTGGTCCTCCCTCTTCAGCTCCCTCCTCCCCCAGCCCCACCAATTTCAGTCACATCATTTCCCCGCATTTAATCCATCCCTGCCACCATCTAGAATCCAAAAAAATCGAAAAAAAGATCAATTTAGTCTTTTCGCTTTGTTTTTGTTCGGTGAAAACCCGTAAAATCCAGAAAAAAAGCGTTGCTGCGCGAAAAGGCGTAATTATCCACAGCTCTACGCCATGAAAAATCGAGAGATCGATATCCTGGAAGGCATTCTAGGAAATGTGCAAGTTATCCAGTTGTTTGTGTGCAACTATTTAGGTGTCGTGATTTTGCATTGTTTGAGAATGGATTGATTTAGCCGAACTCAGAGAGTATTTGGGCTTGAAAATGACGTCAATATAAATCCTGGAATACACCAGAGATGCAATGGTAGTTGATCATTATTTTAGTTTTCTTTTTTTGATTTCGATTTTTTGCGGTATCTAACGGTCTTTGTTTGGGTTTTTTTGGCTTTAAAAGGCTTCCAAAAGGCTTCGAAAAGAACCGATCAGCATTTAGAAAGAAGGAAAGAAGGAAGGAAAGAAAGAAAGAAAAAGAAATGCAAATGAGACTTTGAAAAAAACGATCAAAAAAAGATCAAAAAAAATGACAAAATTAAGCATTTTTTTAACCAATTTCGGTTACGGTAGAGCCTTTTTTTAAATGCAAATTTGAATTTCTAGACTTTATTGCATTAGAAATTAAATGGTAAACAAAAGAATAAAAAAAAAAAATAAAAAAAAACAATGACCCGTAAAACAAAAATATCAATTCACGAAGAAGTTCAAACTACAAAAAAACCTTAAAAAAACCACAAACAATACCAGTAACAAATTGAAATTTCAAAAATTAACGCTAAAAACTCAATTCTGACCGTTAATTGTTAAGAAAAATTTGTTTTCATCGAAAGAATTGTCCGAGAAATAACTCGACGACGTTGGAGACTCCTGAATCAATCATTCTTTCAGTTTTTAGAGATTTTTGAAAATCCTGGAACGCACACAACGTTTCTAGATGATTTTCTAGTAAAAAAGCAAAACTTTCAACTTTTTTTTGGGCGCCAACCGGATTCGAACCCGTCCGCTTTCGAGGGTCTGGACTGGAAACTTAACTCACTATCCACTAGACCATTTTGCAAAGTGCTCAGATTTCCTTACAAACCTCGGATTTTAAAGAGTGATGTCCATAAAAGTTGGCTTGTGATTGAAAAAATGAAGCTGATGAGGGAAGCTGAAAATTTTTTTGATAAAAAGAGCTGAGTGAAAAGTGCATGGCGAATTTTTAAAGATCTCTTATTTTTTAAGCAACCAATTACCCGTAGTGACATCCAGATCGAAAGAAAATCGAAAAATTTCAAACCTGTTGCGCATAGGTTGCATGATTCGACGAGGCAGTCGTTTCGTGGGGTGGCGGAGAGGGTGAGGGCAGCGGCACTTGAGCGCCTTCAGCCTGCAGCAACCATTGCAAGTACTGGATGTATTTTACCGCCTCGCGTAGCGTTTCCACCTAGAAATTCTTTGTTTTAGATTTAAATTTGTTTAAATCTGTTTAAATGAGGAATTTGCATTTAAGTGTAAATGCAAATTTCGATTTTTTCGATTTTTTGTCTCTATTTCAGGACTGGTCGTTTTTCTCGTTTCTAATGCGTTTAAGAAAGTTTTTTTTCAAAAATTTATGAATCATGGAGCTCATGTTATTGCTCAGACAAGAATGAGAAACTGTTTATTTTAGGAAAAAAAAATTTATGAAAAGGGAATTTTCACGACGACACGAAAAGCTTTTGTTTGTAAGGGAATTTGAATGCCGATTCAATGAAAGGCTTTCCTGGGAAGCACTAGGAAAAGTAAGAATGAAAAATATTCAAATTTCTTGCATTTTGAAATTTTCCACAATTCTCACCTTGCTCATCTTTTTGTTCGGCGCTACGGCCAGCTTTGGGACTCGATCTCGTAAACGATTGAAGCCAACGTTCACCTGGAAGGTAGAATGTATAGAAGTTTATAATAGAAAGGGATTTCAAGGCTTTTCAAGGCTTTTCAAGACTAAAATCCAATATCTCATATCCAAAATTTGTGCTTAAAATGAAAACTAAACCAATTAAACCAATTTTTTGCCTTTCACATGTGTCGTGCGTTCCAGATCTCACGAAAATTTGCGAGATTTTTTAAAAGCAACGATTTGAACAGAAATACAGTGCCAAAGTCGTTGAAAATGTCAAAATTTCACTTAAAAGCGCGAATTTTGATTGGAAAAGATGAAAAGATTGAATCCAACGTTCACCTGGAAGGTAGAATGTATAAAAGTTTACATAGAAAGGGATTTCTAGAGATTCCAAGGCATTTCAAGGCTTCTCAAGGCTTTCCAAGACTAAAATCCCAGTCACTCCCCTTTTTCTCCCTCGAAATGATCATAAATTTTCTCGAAAAGCCCCGGGAAATCGATTCTGGGTGTCACAAAGGGAAATGACTTTAACGGAAATGAAAAATTTCGACTTTTTGTATAGGTAGGCTTAGCTACAGTACCTATAGTATTGACGAGAAATTTCTTGATATCACCTCAATTTTTTGCTTCTAAACATCTCTGTGCACTCCAGATCCCAAGATTTTGAGCTTTTAAAAACTGTTTGCCTCACCTGGTTGACTCGATTCCTCTCGCGCTCATTTCGTCGCTGTTTTTGTGGCGCGGTTTTCATTGAGGCGCGCAAATCTGAAATGGTGAAATGAATAGACAAAAATAAGACTCTAAACAAGTCTGAAAAATAGAAAATCTTGAATTTAAGCTTTTCGAAATCGGTAGGAAAGTTGGCTTGAATTGGGTAAATGAACCGGATGAGGTTTGTGCTTAAAATGAAAATTTAAACCATTTTTTTCCCTTTCACATGTGTTGTGCGTTCCAGATCTCACGAAAATTTGAGAGATTTTTTAAAAGCAACGATTTGAACAGAAATACAGTGCCAAAGTCGTTGAAAATCTCAAAATTTCATTTAAAAGCGCGAATTTTGATTGGAAAAGACGGAAATGATAAAAAGAGCGAAGAAATCGAAGAATGAGAAAAGTGTAGAGTTGAAATTAGGACCAGGGCCAGCCTCGATCCGCATCCGATCTCGAGAATGAAATGACTGACTAGCCCCTTTTCCCAATGATCCCATAGACCCCCCTTTTCTCTTTTCTTAGGGTTCAGGGTCACGCCCACTTGCCCTCTAGCTTTGCTTTTCCTTGGCAGCCTCAACCCCAACCCCAACCCCAACCCTGAGAAAACCCATACTACAAAAATCTACTATACACAACATCAAAAAATCAGCTTTTTTAGAAAACTAATATTACCATTGCCTACTGTGACATCCAGATTGCACATAGCACCTACAAAAATACTATCAACTCCACAACAATACTATGTTTTTCTTTAACGTCTTGAATTTGCATATTTACACCTTCGCCAAAAGTTAAAATTAAACTCTTTAAACTTAATCAAAACTTGTTGTGTCATCCAGCACTCGAGAAAATCCCGGAGATTTTTCCGCTAGCCCCGAAATTCCCCCAAAAATCGAGACGACACGACTTCACCCACCTAGAATCGCCCCAATGCAATATCACCTAAAGATCCCTTTCCCAGACTCGATCCTGGATGTCAGTGCGCATAAAGAAATTGTTGCCAGACTCTTGTACCCTCAGGGTAGTTGCATGCCCACCTCCAGCGCCAACACCAACTCTCTCTAGCCTCGATTCCCGATCTTCCCTCAATTTCTCTCGATTTCTTTTCACTTTAATTGCCACGCATAGCACCTGGCCTCTTAGTTTTTTTATTTTAAGATTTAAGATTTTAAAGATTAAGCAAAGTGGTGGTTGTGGCATTCGTGAAAAAGCGATGAAAGGAGAAGGGTTAATTTCAGAGCGGCTCGTTCGTCAAACCGATCCACCCGAATCGAATCTGTAAATCCTGGAAGGCACTCTAAATAATCCCTGAGAAATTTCTGGGATGCAATCGTAAATTTCGATGAGTGAAAAGTTGGGTAGCTCGGTAGCTGGTCAAATTTGAGCTGACTCGTTTGCCCAAACGATCTAGCTAGCTTTAATTCTCTAATTCTGGAACTCACTGCACTGAATTCTTCAGAAATTGCAAGCAGTATCAAAGGAAATTTTCGCTAACTTTCGAAGTTGGGTAATTGAACCGGCCCGCCAACGAAAAAGTCTCCAAAAACGATAAATTTCAACTTTTTTCCAAAGCGGCTACTTTCATTCGGTGATCGAGAGGTATTTGAATCACCTTTGCCCATCAATTTGTCAATCAGCCAGCTCAGCCAGCCAGCCTGATTCATTTCAAATCTAGACCCTGCCCCCCATCAACCTCTAGTTTTTTTTGAGAAATCAAATTTCTTTCTGAAACACTCCCTCCTGTGACATCCAATTTGAAATTTGGCTTCACTAGAAATTAGAAATTCAGCCGCCAGCCCGAGAAAAGCGCGCGAACAAAGACCGTGAAATGAGAATGGAGATAGAGAAGACGCCTAATGCGACACTTATGCATTTCACGAGAAAATTTGACATTCATGGAACGCAAAACGACTGTTCCCGGGTTTTCGGAGACTGGTACCTCCTTTGTTTGAACAACACCATTTTTGGGTAAATAGAGCAAGGCCATTTATGCGTAAATTCCCCGGAAACCATTTTGAGATTTCGAATGACACCGTTCTTGGTACCGGAAAACGATAGAAAGTCAATAAAAAAATGAAAAAACAAATGAAAAACGGTGACCGGAATCGAACCCTCGATTGATTTCACCACAACCGACCACACTACCACTTGACCAAAATGAAAGTTTGATAAAATAAGCTGAAATTTATTCTGCACTTGTAGTGCGTTCCAGATCTTAGAAAAGTTCAAAAAAATTTATTTAATTAGTTATTTAAGCAGAGTTACGGTACCAGAGTCGTTCAAAAGGCTAAAAATTTGAATCAAAAGCATCAATTTGCGATCTAATTAGCAAATTTCTGAATGGTATTAAGGCATTCAAGGTGACCAGGTCAAAGAATGGGAAAGGAGAAGCCGTGTACTTGGGGGAGGAGGGACCAGGGACCACCTGTGCGCATGTGTCTCTTCCTTGTGACGACTCTGAGCCTTTTCCTTCTCTCCCGTTCCTTTTCTGACCCATCTTTGCCTATTTTTGGTCGATCTGTCTATCAGTACACCCGTTTCAGCTGTTTGTTCTCGCGTGTCTCTCCATTTTTTTGTTTCCCCTTTGCTCGTTTGGGTTTGACCTCGAGAATCTTGGAGAAATGCTTTTCCTAGGGTCAAGCCCAAAATTATTGACCATTCTGGAGCGCACACTACAGTACTAAATAGTTTTTAAATGTAAATTTTTCATTTTGAAAAACTACCCTACTAAACTAAAAGACACTAAAAGTACCGTAGTCGAAAAATCTAGACTCGATATTTTTGAGATTTAATTTTTTTGTTCGCTTTCGTGCTTTCCAGGACCTCGATCGAGAAAAAGAAAATCCTTGATTCATCAGGAAATTAAGTCGAGATCTCGTCGAAGATGTGATGAGCCGAGAACAGCGGGCAATAGACCATTTACCGGCGCTTTTCTTTTCGAAAAAGGCCAAACTGGAGTACACCTGTGCCCCCTGTCACCCCATTACCCTTGTCCTTAGCCTCACACAAAAAAAAATCGACTACATGGGTAACTCGATCGGCTCCGAGATTTCCCCCATTTCCTTTCCTCCATTCCGCTCAATTATTATTAGCCGACTCGTCGATCTGGAGCGCACACGACAAGAAGAAAAAGACGAATCACAGATAATTGCTTTATTGAGCATTCAAGTCCGGTCAACCCCAAGAACAATACCGCTACAATAAGGTTATTCTTTGACAATGTTGCCGCCCATTCTTTTATCGTAACTATAGAGGCCACAAGAGCGATATTGATCAAATCGGACGGGCAAGGGGCTATGGCTGCCAGGGAAACACTGCCGGGGTAACACTGTCGGGGCAGTAGGCGGTGCCTTTGATCTTTCACAAAATTTCTAAGGAAAGATTAATAAATTTTAAGCTAAGCAGCTAAGTTGCGTCCCAGATCCGCCATCTTCAATTCAAGATTTGAATTCCGTTTCAAGAGGCAGCTTAAAGCGCGCCATTCTCAATTTCAAAAGGAGGTAGGAGGCGGTGCCTTTGATCTTTCACAAAATTTCTAAGGAAAGCTTAGGAAATTTTAAGCTAAGCAGCTAAGTTGCGTCCCAGATCCGCCATTTTCAATTCAAGATTTGAATTCCGTTGCAAGGGGAAGCTAAAAAGGCGCCATTCTCAATCTCAAGCAACCGTCACCAAAAGGAGCCGTCACCTTGGCCCAATCACTTGTGCGCGGGAAGAGCCCCATCGTGAATGGGTCAAACAAATATTGGCCAAACTTTTGCTAATCATGATTGGGCAAGGAATTTGAATTTAGTTAATCAAGAGAGAGAAGCTGGAACTGGACTGAAACGACTTCTCGACTGAAAACGGTTAAATCTTTTCTTGAAATTTGTGACAAACACTTTTTTTGTCTTTTCTGGATGTCACTAGTCACAATGAATTAAAAAAAAAAGCAAAAACTCAAAAAAAAATCGATTCAATTACCCAATTCTTTAGCTGATTAATAATTGATGAAAACTCTCGAACAGCTGCCTTTTTCAAGTCGATTTTTCTCAATCCTGGAAGTCATCGCGCTGATTGGCCAAACGATTTACGAGAAGATATCAGAATCGCGTGTTGGGGTTTGATGGTTGAGGCTCTGACACTTTCCTAGGCTCTTTCCACGACCCTTTCTCCTCCTTTTCCTTCGTTCATCATTCGTTTACCCATCATCAGGCTATCAGGCAATTCGACGAGCAAACACGCGCAGCCCAAGGGCAAAAACGCACTCTTTTGCAATCCATTATGCATTGAGGTGACAGGGACAAGGGCAAAAACGGAGAAGCTGCCCGAAATCCGATCTTCCGGTCATAAAATCACCTATTTGTTTAGCGTTTTCTTCGATCCTGGCAATCACAGCGTAGAAATTTGGCCTAATCATTGCATAAATTTGCATTTAAAATACTTTCGACTTTTTTTTATTATTGCGTAAATGAACCAAAACGATTTATGGGCAAAAACTTGATTTCTATTTTTGTTTTTTTGCAAATTCCTCGCTAATTTGGATCACATCGACCTCGGGTTTGACCTAAAAAAGTTGAAATTGTTGAAATTGTTAACAATTTTCAACTTTTACCTTATCATAAAGTCGTGGAAAGGCTTCGTTGCAATTGTAGCGTTTGCGGACCTAAAAATTCCCTCATTATCCGCATTTTTCTCTGTCCTGGATGTCACACTAGACTTCTAAAATAGAATAAATAAATTTCCAACCTTTTCATAAAGTTCCATGTCGAACATCTCGTTGAACTCCTAAAATGCACTATAGGGTTACGGTAGTTGAGCAAAATTTTCTAGTTTTCTAGATTAAATTGTTTTCTCTGCGAATTCTGGTGCTGTGACTTCCAGGACTAGCAATAGGCTTAAAATGGATACGAAAAAGCTTTCGATTCCCCTACTTTTTCATCCATGAAAATATCCGCGTACAGGAATGAATAGCCGCCGACTTCGCGAGTGAATCTAGACATCAAAAGTCATCAAAAACTCGAAAAAACACTCACTTTTCCATTTCGCGCATCGCGTACGACGGATTGTAGAACTTTTTGGCTTTTATCTAAGAGGATATTGCAATATATTGCCTTTGATCAAAACCGTAATCTGGAATGCCCCGTACTCCGAATCCCAAATATTCGCATTTTCACTTAAATTTCTGAACTAGCACCTCATGTGAGCTCCAGATCGACCATTTCTCCAAAAAAATTTCAATTTCAGCAATTCCTTAGGCCCAAAAGGCCCCATTCTCAATCTCTCGGTGCCCCAGAACTAGATTCTATAAAACTAACCTGTCCCGGCGTCCCATAAACCCCCAAATCGTTGTACATGGCGTAGTTGGTGCCCGGCACGAGACGCTCCTTCGGCGGAACCCTGGAATCGCTAATTTACATATCCTGGACCCTGGACCCCCAGGTCCAAAGTAACTTTTCTGAATTAAATTTCTGAACTAGCACGTCATGTGTGCTCCAGATCGGCCATTTCCCCAAAAAATATTCGATTTCAAGCATTTTGAGCCTCCCAAAAGACCCCATTCTCATTCTCATAGTGATTTTCTTTGTCCACGCAAACCTCAACTGCCCCTGTGGTCCGCGCTGGTGATCGTAGATCCGACATGGGTAGACGAGCAATGGATATCTCTAAAAGAGACGATGCGCTTCGAAATACCCCTTCCCCCACCTCAAAAAGCTCGACAGCTTTCGCCATTTGCGAGTCCAGCGTCTCCAGTGGCATCACGATGTCTTGAAAAACCTAGAAATTTAATTTTTGGCCATTCTGGAACGCACTACGACTTTTAAAGTGAAAAAAAATCGCTTACTTGCTTTGCGAAAGTCATCTCTCGAACAGCGCTCGTTGTCGTGAATTTGAGAAAAGCCGGCTTTGGAGGTAAAAGCCAGCCGAAGAGAAGCCTGGATTACGGTACGATTGACTACGCTACACTACGCCACACTACTCTATTACCTAAATAACCAGTGATTTCCAAACGGGATCATGTCCTCGACCACCCAAAAGATTGCTCTGTTGTGCCTCAAGAGATATGACTCCAACGGGATGTACTCTGAGCCCCCTAGAGATTTTCAGATGATAACTAGATGTTTTTTCCAATAGCATAGCTCTATCTGGAACTCACCACCAATGAATTTCGTCTCCACGTACTTGTAGAACCACGGCTTCCACCAACGAGTCACGTCATTGATCTCAAATTGAAAAGGAAATTTCGATTTTGTTTTTTTTGCTTTTTTGAATTCCAATTTTTTTTTCATTTTCTCATGTGCCTTCCAGATCGACGGATTCACGATTTTAAATCCACTTTCAATTAATTGTGTTCTCAAAAATCCCCCAGCTCACCTTCCACCACTTTTTCAGGGTGTCCACCTCGGCGAAATTGGCCACCATGATCACCTAAAGCTGCTATTGAACTTTGGATTTTGATTTTCAAAAAAAATTCTAACAAACCGCTTTGTCTTTGTCGTAGATGGTAGCCTCGAGGAAGTCAGCCACCTAGAAAATGTTGGTTCGAATTTAGTCAAAGTGGTTAACTTTGTGGATCCATGATGGCCACATTAGCCAAATTGGAACTCACAAAAGCTAATGAAATGGTTAAAAGGATGAAAATGAGGTTTTAAGAGTTAGTGCTCAACCTACAGTACCCTCTCTGAGTCAAAAGATGTCGATTTTGTAATTAGCATTCATATCTGATAATTTTATTGGTCAAACTGGAACTCACAAAAGCTAATGAAATGGTTAAAAGAATGAAAATGAGATTTTGAGAGTTATTGCTCAACCTACAGTACCCCAACCTGATAATCTTTATCGATCGCTCCAGACAGTTTCATCATTTGCCGACAAAGGGTTTCCTCTTGTCGCATCTGAAAAAAAGCTTTAAGTTTTTGAAATTTCTTGAAATTTTCTGCATCTTACCGGTAAATAAGTCATATGTACATATGGCTTCACTTTAATTAACTTCAATTTCAATGACGTCAAAAAGCCCAATGTCCCGTGTGACCAAGGCAAGCAATAAAACAAATCCGAATGCTCGTTCTCACCTAAAATCCAACTCTTTCCTTTTTTTCAACACCGACTTTTACCTGTCACGATTAGCAAATCTCCCTTTGATGTCACCACCTCGTACTCAACGATCGTTTCTTGGTAAAGACCGACCTGGAATCTTGAGTGTGTCATCCAACTAGGTGAAATTGAAAATAACAATGAAATCTGTTCAGTGGAAATTGTGAAATGGTCGAGAAATCGATCCGAAACATCGCTCGGAGAAACTATGAAAGCCACCTTGTGCGAGTGCGTCGTCATGCCCACTCCAAACGCTAGCCCGCCCAGTGTCGCGTCGCCAATCTCGAGTGTCACCGCGAGAGCATAACCCTGATTGAAATTTATGATAGGTTCAAAATTTGAAAATACCTTTGGCACTAAGTACTTGCAAGCCTCGGCCACGGTAACGTTTGGCTCAGCGTGTAGGATGAGATTTTTCTCATCTAACGCTAAGATTTCATGTAAATCGACAGGAATCTGATGGCATTTTGTCTAGATTAAAAAAATTGAGAAATTGAAAATGAAAATTAGAATACTTTATCGAAAAACGTAGTTGATAGACTCTGCCAATTTGGCCTTGAAGTACAAAGAAGCTTTCGATCGCTTGATGGAGTGCTATTCCAGACTTTTACCTGAAAGAATGAAATTAGCTTTCTAATGACAAACTGGCAAACAAACCCGTTGCTGAATAGTCTCAACGCGATTTTCGTGAGTCGAACTCTTCTCGAGGAACTTTCGATTCACCCAAATGCGAACCCGAACAAACAAGTCGAAAATCTAAATTTATTACAAATTTTGCTTAGCTGATATCCAAAAAGATGCTTAGTATTGTAATTAGGAAAGAAGCTTTTAAATTGCTGGTTAAAAATGCGCAGCCATGTTTTGGTGAATTTGCGGCTGTTAGAAAACTCGACGATTCTTCGAACCTCGGCTTGGAAAGTTCCTTTTTATCTCCAATTAGATGTTTAGTACTCTATTTGAAAGTGAATCTACCAAATTGCTCTCAGAAACAAGTAGCTGGTGAATTTCGATTGTTATGAAATGCAAGGAAGGGCAAAAGCAAGGAAAATTATAGAAAATTAATTTGGGATGATCTCTTTGATATCCAGATAGATGTTTAATAACATAATCGACAATGAATCAGTCAAGCTGCTGTCTAAAAATGCGCAGCCATATTTAAGTGCATTTGCAGCTGTTGAGATGTTCAATATTTCTGTGAACTTTAATTTGGAAAGCTCTTTCTGATATCCAGTTAAACGTTTAGTACTCAAGGTGAAACTTTATTTTTAAAGCTAAAGCTTAAAAACAAGCAGCCATACTGAAGGGAATCTAATTCAGAATTGTATAAAGATAGAGCTAGATAGCGCTTCATAGAGCCACAACTTAAAAAGTTCTTTCTGCAATCCAGATCCATGTTTAATAATATAATCAATAGTAAATTAGATAGGCTACAGTCTAAAAACGCGCAGTGATATTTCGAAGAATTTGAAGCTGTTATAAAGGTCAACTATTTCATGAAACTGGAAACTCAATCTGAAAAGCTCAACCAGACATCCAATTAGATGTTAAGTGGCCATGATGATAAAGATTATTGCAAGTAAGAGCCTTGAAACGCGCAGCCATATTTCAGTAGATTTGGAGCTCTTGTAAAAGTCAACTATTTAATAAAAATCATTCTGGAAAGCTCAATCTGACATCCAATTAGCTCTTTAACACTCATTTCGAAGTTGAGTCTTCTAATCTAGAGTCTTAAAACGCCAAGCCATGTCGCGATAATTTTGAAGCTGTCAAAAAAGTCCGCAATTCATTGTAACTCAATTGAAAAGCTTTTTCTGATATCCAATCAGAATTTTAGCGTCAAAAATGCAACCAAATCTTTCGACCTAGAGCTTTAAAACGCGCAGCCATATTTCAATGAATTTGGAACTGTTTTATTGTTCAATATTTCTGTGAACCTTAATTTGGAAAGTTCTTTCTGATATCCAGTTAGATGTTTAGTTCTCAATTTGGAACTAAGTCTTGCAAGCTAGAGCCTTGAAACACGCAGCCATATTTTAGTGAATTTTGAGCTGTTGCAAAAAGTCAACTATTTAATGAAACACAATCTGGAAAGCTCAATCTGACATCCAGTTAGATGTTTGACACTCAATTCGAAGTTGAATCTTTCAATCTAGAGTCTTAAAACGTGCAGCCATATTCCAGTAAATTTGAAGTTGTTATAAAAACCAACTATTTAATAAAACTCAATCTGGAAAACTTTTGTGATACCCAGTTAGGTGTTTGGTACCCAAAATCTTACCGAATTTTTCAATCTAAAGCCTTGAAACGCACAGCCATATTTCAGTGAATTTTGAGCTGTTGTAAAAGTCAACCATTCACTGAAACTCAATATGGAAGACTCTTTCTGATTTCCAGCTAATAATTGGCATAAAAATTAGGAGTGTATCTTTCAAGTCACTTTCTAAAAACGCGCAGCCATGGTCAGTGTATTTTGTGCTAGACAGAAAGTGACGATTTATGCGGTGGAGTTAATTTTTGATCTCTAGGCTATCCAGTTAGTTGATTTCCGTTTGTAGCTCTTATAAAAGTCAGAGATTGAACGAATTTATTCTGGAAAACTTTTTCTGATATTCAGTTAGTACCCATTTTGGTGAGGAGTATTTCAATCTAGTTTTAAAAGGCACAGAGATTCAATGAAACTCAAGCTGAAAAGTTCCTTCTGATATCCAAAAAGATTTTTTGTATCAAAATCCGAAGTATAACTTTCAAGCTATTGCCCAAAAACGCGAAGTCATATTTCGAAGAATTTGGAGCTATTATAAGGGTGAGCAATTGAGTGAAACTCAAGCTGAAAAGTTCCTTCTGATATCCAGAAAGATGTTTTGTATTAAAATCAGAAAATGTATCTTTCAAGTTACTAGATAAAAACGCGCAGCCATATATCGACATCAAAAAAACAAAACAAACCAAACTCGCCGGGAGTACGAAGAATAAAATTACAATTCCACGGTTCTCCTCGAGCCATCGAATCGCTTTTTCTTTTAGATCTTCACGAAAAGTTTGACCACTCATCTTGAAGATTCAGTAGTTAAAATATCAGGCGAATAAATCGTTCAAAGTCTTTGCGTCTTTTCAGAAAACAGGGTTATCTATGCAATTTTCTGCTTGCTATGTGCTTTTTTTTTCTTTTTGCCCGTCTCCTCAAATTGATAAGGGTTCTTACACTACGACAACAATTTATATTTTTTAGCCATAGGCAGAGAAATTTAAACAATGGAGCAAAGGAGGGAAAAATTTCAGACTGGTAAAACCATCCGCCCTTGAAAGCCTTGAAAAAGGCTGAAAAAGTGTAAAAACGAATTTCTTTCTTTGCCTGGCCTAAATCTAGGGCAAACTGGGATATCCAAAAAAAGAAAGAAAAAGAAAAAGAAAAACGGATATCGACTTGTTGACATTTGGCTGATTCACTGAATTTTCTAAATTTTCTAAATTTTCTAAATTTCCTTAAAAATGAATAAATTTTTCTTTTTATCTTTATTTATCGCATTTTTACAACCAATTGCTGGAGATGAATCGATGCTGAATATGGTTTTATTTTAAGAAATATTCTATTTAAATAAAATTTTTAGGTGAAAAATATCCTAGCTGACATGAATAAAACACTGCATAAAGACATTGTGCAGTTGAAAGGTTTGAAATAAAGATAAAAGGCTAACGATCTAATTTTTAAGGCTAACAACCCAATTCTTTACCCTTTTTAAACACTTCTAGACATTTCTAGGCCAACTTGCGCTCACTAACGCGAATCTGGCAGCACTGAGGCGCTCGTTGTTGGCCGAGTGGACGAAAATTGGTGAGTTTTGTGAAAACTGTTTTTAAACTGTTTACGAATGTTTTTAAAGCACCTTGTGACTTCCAGGATTCACTATGGAATTATTAGATATTAAAATTTACAATACTTTAATGAACTTTTCTGCCATCAATTTCTAGGTGCAGCCATCAATTTCTAGGTGAAAAGCGGATCCGAATCTTCACGAGCCCACTCGATTGGCAAACCGCAAATGAGACATGCCAAGTTTTTGAGAGTTTTTGGTTTTTCTAGTAATTTCAGGCTTTCCCCGCTCGACTTATTCGAATCAATGGATCAACGGAGAATAAGCAATTGACCGGTTTGGAAATTCTCGTTTGAGAAATTGAGATTCGAGATTCGAGAATCAAAATCTCGAACGAGATTCGAGAATCAACAATCTAGAATCAACAATCGAGAATCAATAATCTCAAATCAATAATCTCGAATTAACAACCTCTAATTAACAATCTCAAAACAATAATCTCGAATTAACAATCTCGAATTAACAATCTAGAATTAACAATCTAGAATTAACAATCTAGAATTAACAATCTAGAATTAACAATCTAGCATTAACAATCTAGCATTAACAATCTAGAATTAACAATCTAGAATTAACAATCTAGAATTAACAATCTAGAATTAACAATCTCAAATCAACAATCTCAAATCAACAATCTCAAATCAACAATGCCGAATTTAGATTTATTGTCGAATCAACACGATTCTCTTTTTTGGATTGGAGAACAAATGAAAGTGGATTACTCGAGTGATAAGAGGTTATCGATTTAATGCCTAGAAATTCAATTCTAACCCACAAATTTCAGATTTCACAAATTCCCCGCGTCGACAACTTGCGTTACGATCAGTCAACGAGGCACTTGGACGGGCAGGGAGTGCACCGAGAAATTGCCGTTCATTTGTGCGATCGAAAATTGAGTGATAGTTCTTGTGCATTCCAGCATCAACTTTGAAAACATTCAAACTTTGATATGAAATCTTTTTGAGAATGTTTTCAGCTCTTATGCAATCCAGCATTTATTTTGAAATCTTTTTATATTTTCGATTCTAATCTTTTTGCGAATATTGCATTTGTGCATTCCAGCATTTCATTTTTCTTTATTCAACTTCCTATATGTTCTATTGTTGTCAATATTTCCCCGCAGCCATGATAAAACTGAACAAAATAGCCATCAAAGCCATCAAAGAAATGGCGGGGCAAATGGAGGATAAGTATTTCCTAAAGTGTCCTCAAAATTGGATTGAATCTCAAAATCTTTACCCTCTTCAGTTTGGGGATACGGTAATGGCATGGAATGGGATTCAGTGTTGTGAATGAAAGGGGATAAGAGGGTGAGAAGAAGGGATAATGGAGCCGGCGGTATTTTTGAATGACAGAAAAAAAGAATGACAACATTGTGTAATTTTTGGATTCATTTCTGGCACTCACTTGACATAGATATTTAGGAAATAGAGGAAATAGAAGAAATAGAAGAAATAGAATAATCCGGCCAGGCTCAAGAGTTCTATCTGCTAGCGTTCTATCATCCTTCTAGCGGTCAGAGCGTCGACCTCCCCTTCTAGACCAGCTTACTATCAACATATTTGTAAGTGAACATTTTAGAGCAAGCATGTAATGTGATCTAGGTAGACAAGAAGTGTTTATCTCTCTTTTGTTTATCTCTTTTCCCTATTCAATCACATCCTATTCAACTACAAGACGCACTCAGTCATATTTGCTTTTGTTTGTGTTGGCCCATTTACAGAGGCAAGACAAGAAATAAGAAGCACATTGTCACTTATGTGTGATGGGATGGGCAAAGGCAAAGCAAAGGCTAAGAGGTAAGCTGAGTAGGTGTCTCCTGGAGGACAGCGAACCCCTAATGACCTCCAAAAGTTACACCTGCAAAAACAGAGAGTTCCCCCTTTTTTTGGTTGACCACTTTAACAGCCTAGCTAAAGCTAAAGAAATTTTGTAACTTGCAAGACAGTTTGTTATTTGATATCAAATATTCTAACTAATCTCTAGACTGTCTAGAGCTCTAGACCTCTGTAGACTGTCTAGAGCTCTAGACCTCTGTAGACTGTCTAGAGCTCTAGACCTCTGTAGACTGTCTAGAGCTCTAGACCTCTGTAGACTGTCTAGAGCTCTAGACCTCTGTAGACTAGGCTAGGCCAAGTCAAAAAACCTTGCTCAGTTCATTCTCTAGTTAAATCCGATCCCAGCCTGAAACAAGATTAGTAGAGGGCTATGATATGCCCTAGGCAGTATCTTATAGACAGTTACAGGGTAACTTTAAATCTATTATAGAACTATTATGTAAATAGCAAGTATCGTACCTAGATCTAGCTCATAGTAACCAGGGTATCCCGCCCCCCGGATTGGCCCCAGGGCAAAGGCCACACCAAAGGTCACGCCCCTTCCCCATTCAGACTAAATCCTCTAACTTTATCCAGATCCAAATTACCCTTTACAAGTCTACTAAAGGTTATTGTAGCTATTTGATCTCTGTCAGTTATCTGTCAATTATCTGTCAGTTATCTGTCAGTTATTCCAGCGATGTCCTCCCAGTTAGGCCCTAGCATTGAACAAATCCTCCGAATGAGACAGGTTTGAAAATGTTATCTAACAAGGGAAGGTCAACTGGGTGTGCCGGTCAAATGACATGAGCCATAGACCTCGAACTAGAGACTCTTTGCCTTGTATTCTAACCCACTGCCATTCGACCACTGCTTCTTGAAGCCTCTAGGAAATCTGCTTATAAACTCCGGGTGTTTTTTCAAATCCCATAAAAAATTGCTTATAACTTTTGACAGAGTGCTCGATAGCAGAAACGGAAATCAGATTCGGAATCAGCATGAAATTCTGCGTCGAATGATCTATGGCTCATGCTGAATGCTCATGCTGAATGCTCATGTCATTTCGCCCGCACACCCAATTGACTTTCCCTTGTAAATATTGTTTTGTATTTTGTATTTACAAATCTATTACAAAACCTGCATTCCAGGAACGAATCCAGCGAACCCCGAAATGTGCTCGTTGCAGGAATCATGGAGCTGTAAGCGCATTGAAGGGTTCGTGCCTTTTCGCCTTTTTTTTGAATTTAGAGAATTTCGATTTTTCTTTAAAATAAGATATTCTGGAAGGCACACAACATTTATTTAGGTCATAAAAGGTTTTGCAAATGGAAGGATTGCATGTGTGCGAAATGTACGCTCATTGCGGAGAGGCAACGAGTCATGGCTGCACAGGTGGGTTATGTAGTCAGCTAATTTATTTGTTAAACTGTAAAATGGCTTTCATTTTAGATAATATTCTATGGGAATTTGTAGTTGGGGAAGTTGGGCAATTGAATTGATTGGATTGATTGGATTGATTGGATTCCGGTTCATTTCGTCGCCGTTTTGGCTTGTTGACGCCCGCTAAATACTTGATAAATCACTTATCAACGAATAAAACAAGAGAAATAAAGTGCAATCTAATGTTTAACCCTCAGATACTAAGGCATTTAACTCTGAAATACGTTGAGAGGTGCAACACTTCCCACCTAGTGAGTTCACAGCTGTTTAACAGTTTTCGCTGAGCAGATTTGGCTAGTCTTCCAGATTTTGCTCAGTTGGAGTGCACTATAAATTTTGAAAGTCTTTGATTTTTGATTGTTTACATTTTTCAGGTAGCCCTCCGTCGACAACAGAGTCAAGAAGAAAAGGAGGCCAAAGATTTAGAGATGCTGCTCGGTGTGAGTAATGGTTGGTGGAGCTTCAATACTTACAAGACCTCGTTTACAAGGCTCCAGCTGTGCCTTGTTTGCCGTGTCTTTTTTTTGTTCCCATTTACATTGTTTGGGTAAACTTTTGTGACACTTTGCCAGGAAAGGGAGCTTGATAATATTGCGATTTCAATTTGGCAATAATCATTAGGCTATCTGTAGATATCTAAAGTATCTAAAGATATTCCTGTAAAGGAGATATTCCTGTAGTCATTGTAGAGATTTTTCCAGCTGAAATCCTCGAGATCATTCGTCGGAGTGACTCTTCGTCAAGCACTGGAGATGGGAATTCGAATGAGCATGGTGGGAAGTGTTTGCATTCTTGTAAAAACTCCGAAAAGCCAAAAGATGGTAAACCCTTATGCCCATCATTCCCCAACAATTCCCAACAATTCCCATTCCCCAACAATTCAATTACCCGTTCTCTCGTTTTGTTAGATGCGGATTAACCCCTGCAGGTGCCTAACCACAATATTTATCCCCGAATGTTATCTGAATAATCTGAATATTGGGGGGCACTCGAAAAGTGATTCTTAAGGGTCATCACTCGGAAATTGAATTGCGCAACGAGGAGCGTCGACTTAAGACCTAGAATAGATTAAGCTTTAAGTATTGTGAGAATTATTGGACCCCTGAAAAAGATGAGGAGATTTTTAAGCAATTTGGGTGTCATGCTAGCGATAGGTTAGCTCCAGATCACCTGGCGATCATTTCAAGACGCCTTCCATTCCGCGATCGATTAGTCAAGCATATGTTGAGAAAAATTGGATCTTTTAAGAAAATTAGAGCAATTTTTGGGCAATCTGGAACGCACACTAATCAGGCAAATTTTAAAATTCAACACTTCTTACAAAAATATCATAAAGGTGCTCAGGGTGTATGGTAATTTTAAACAAAATTTTAAAAAATTTTAAAACGCTAATTTTTCAAAAACTATAATTTTTAACAATACTGTGACATCCAGAATGCTCAAAAATCGCAAAACTTTTCGGGGTATTAATGCTAAAAATATTTAAAAAGCTGGTGAATCAATTTCGGAGTTAAGAGACGCTTGAATCAATTTCTAGATACGCAAATCGATGACTCTAACTGCAGTGGGAATCACGATGAATGGGTTGATGAGAAAGGAAATCAAGAGGAAGATAATGATGAAGAGGAGACCCCCGAAGAGACACCCATACAGCTACAAGTCGAGAAATCGGTGAAGAGGCGCAAAATGAAGGTTTGAGCATTCAGAAAAGTCAGTCCAAAACTGATTTGTCCATTTTGGATGTCACACTAGCGTTTGAGTTGCTAAAATTTGAAATTTGACAAATTGAAAAATAGTACAAGTTGGGTAATTGAACCGGCTGAGTTTTTAGATTCCACTCATTGACATCGATCCGATTGAGGGTAATGGGGTGAATGAGGATGAAGAGGTCATCATCACACCGACAACACCGCTCACAAGTGAACAGGTAAAGCTGAGCAGTACGCTGGCTGGCTGGCTGGTTGGCTGGCTGGTTGGCTGGTTGGCTGGCTGGTTGGCTGGCTGGCTGGTTGGCTGGCTGGTTCTGCTGGTGGCTGGCTGGTTGGCTGCTGGTGGTGTTGGCTGGTTGGCTGGCTGTTGGCTGGCTGGCTGGCTGGTTGGCTGGTTGGCTGGCTGGTTGGCTGGCTGGCTGGTTGGCTGGTTGGCTGGTTGGCTGGTGAAGCTGACTTTCTTGATTTGAGCCTTTCCAGTCATCTCCACCCACCCCTTTCCCACCGATGTCTCCATTTTTGTTAGCTGGTGGTCCGTCCCTTCAATTCCCCTTCCCATTCCTCGCTAATTCAATGTTCTATCGGCCGAATGCGATGACACGATTTCCGAATGGTTTGTGAGAGTTATTGCTTTGAGAATGATTTAAACATCAACTATGGATGGCACAGCTTAACTTAGAATTATAAAAACAAAGCTTTGCCTTTCACTTCTGACCACTGATCTGCAGATTCCTGTTCGGATCAATTCTCAAGCCACTATTTATTCTCAAAGCCTAACTTAAATTCATCGTTAATGCTGGAGCGCACACTATCAAATTAACGTGCTAGAGAGAAATATTGACGTAATTTTGATTTTTGCTCTAATAACATTTTTAGACTGACCCGCCAATTCGGGAAATTCATCCAAACATTCCTATTCAAATTGAATTAATTTCAACACTGGATGTCACACTATTCGAAAAAACCAAATTTAACATAATTCCTCTTTCAGTCACCTCGGGGTACCCATTCGCGCTTGGCGCTCCACCGATGATGGCGAGCGCGCCGGTCTCTCCAATGTTGGCCATTCCACCGCCACAGCCCTCCTCGATCTTCTCCCCATCGAATTGTCTCACACAAACGGCTCCTCTAGACTTCAGACAGCGAAAAAACACCGATTAATCAAATGAGTGCGATATAATTTTCAATAAATCACTGCTGCTTTGCTTTGGTCATTTTGAAAATGCACCCAAATTACCGTAGCCAGTCGCAAATGGCGACGCGCGAAGCAAGAAAGGTATAAAATGAGAGAAACCTTTTTTTCATGACATAATTCACTAACCTTGCAAATTTAAAACTTTTTTTTAAAATCTTAAAATTGTTATCCATTATTATCCATTATTATCCATTATTGTTATCATCCATTATCTATCATTTTTATGCCAGTTTTGTCCTCAAAAACACGATTTTCTTGAGATTTCTGTCAAAAGCACACGAATTTCCCGTTTTTGTCACATAAACACGCATTTTAGTCATGAACAAAAGTATTGTAGATGTTTTTAGCTTAAAAATATATTATTATTTAGTTTATTATCTTAAAATATTCATTATCTACTAAATTTTATGCAAATCTGCTCTTTTCACACGTACAACTTTGCAAAATTGCCCATTTTTTTGAAATTACTTTTATAACCGCACGAATTTGTCGTTATTTGACTAAAAGGATATTGAAATTGATTCACTAAAACCGTTTTACGTCAAAAGTCGTTAGACAAAAGCTATTTGTCTTTAATGCAATTCACCTTCCTGCTTCAAATTCCAACCAAAAAGCATGCTTCCTTTGATATCTCTGTGTTTTTCAGCTCTTCCTCTTGTTTCAGCTCGTTTTATTCCTCGATTGGTCTTATATAGCGTTCTATACGTTCCAGATGGTTAGACAGAAGAGCGAGCCGAACAAAATCGATGGGCGGAAACGCGACTCGATCGAAGAAACGAAGCGAGATGAACGAAACAGCGAAGAAGACGAGGGAAAGCCTATTGTGTCCATTCAACAACAACATGATGGGGCACAGGAGGAAGATGTGGGGTTTGAAAAGATTTGGTACCTTTTATTGTCTAGTGTACCCATCCTTTGGCTAACTAGGGAAAGGCAAGCACTTGCCGTGCACTTTGGAACCAGACCAAACCCATCTTATAGAGTCGGCCACGCTGGGTTCGAAGCTGCTTTTAGTTTTTGCCCTCGAGGTATGTGACTCAAGATATCTGGCTTACAAGTTTTGGTTGCATTTTTTGGCCTCCACACCATGACTTAAAATATGGCTGCGTGGCCAAGCGTCGATACGAGATTTTTTTGCTCTGATTTGATTCCCGTCACGTCAACCTTTTTAGCTTTTTCTTTTTATTATAATAAAATCTTTTTGATAATTAAAAACAACGGCTTTTTTCTATTACTAGGCGCCTTAAAAAATTGGATGCTTTAACCGTGTAACGGGTACCTTAATTTCATTCACCAACTAACTTTTAACATCTTTTTTGTTTTTGATAAGTTAATTCTAATTGTAGATGATAGTTTTGTTTAATGCAATTCAATGTAGGTTTAATTTCAAACTACAATGTTGTTTTTCTTAAGGTATCTAGTAATAGGAAAAAGCCAAAACAACTTTTTCAACTTTCCCATCCATTCCATTACATTATTTTAGGCATTTTAAGGATAAGCAATTTTAAAAATTTCAAAAAGTTATAAAGGCTAGCAGTTTATGACTGTTTTAGTTGTTTTAAGGAGTCAAGGAGCTTGGCTGCCCCATAAGAAGTTCTCTTTAATTATCAAAAAGAAAAAGCAAAAAAAGTTTGAAGTGAGTGGAATCGAGCCAGGGCAAAAATTCTTGTACCGAGGACACTATCCTCTCGGCCACGCAGCCGAATTTTAATCCATGGCGTGGAGGCCTCAAATAGAGATCAAAAATGCAACCAAAGCTTGTAAGCCAGATATCTTGAGTCACAGACCTCGAGGGCAAAAACTAAACGCAGATTCGAACTCAGCATAACCGATTCTATAAGATGGGTTTGGTCTGGTTCCAAAGTGCACGGCAAGTGCTTGCCTTTCCCTAGTAAGTGGCACTTTTCCAGTGTCGTGGTAGTAAATTTCAAAGTTTTTCCCGAATTGACTCTAGACTCATGTCTATGAAATGGCTAAGTATATTAAACTTATCGAGAGTTTCTTCTGAATCACGAAAAACTTTACTTTTAGGTGGATCGCTCGTTTCACGAATGGGAAATGCACCCGCAACCGCAAGAGAAATACGTGCGCCACATGATGAAAATTGACGAGAAAGCCTTCAGGAAGTCGAATGCTAGGTAAAAAATGTAGCCAATTGAGCAAATCAATGTCTTTCCTTCAGGTTTTGGTTCAACGTGAAGAAAATCGAGGACAAGTACGCGAGGCGGGACCCGGACAAAGAGATAATCGTGTGTTATAATGCTAATATCGAAATGAATTCTCGTTTAGTACGACTTCAAGAAGAAAAAAGCTTTTGTGCCCAAGGCGATCACTGATGAGGAGGCGTTGGAACAAGTTGGATCTGATAGATTAACATCAAATTTTGGGTTTAGATGCAAAAGCTGAACGAGATGCCCGAGTTTGGAGAGAGCGTTCTATCGTGTTTCGATCCGTCAACACAAGAAGAGGACTCACCCGGGCAAAAGAAGGGGAATCGGCAAAGGGACGCGCTGAATAAGGTAATGAAATTTATTGGGACACCCTGACTTTGGTTGTATTTGATTCTAGATGAGGAATATTGCCTTTTGGCATTAAAAGTCAGACGAGGGTCAGTGCTAGGCTCTAAGTTAACCGTATGCCCATCAAAAGTCGATAAGCTTTTCATTATTGAGCTACTCTGGCTCTGGAACGGGCCATATATTATAAGGGAGTCTAAAATCGTGCAAAGTAGGATAGAAATTAGCTTTAAACCGACCCTATTTTGGTCTAGATCTATCAAAAGGCGATGAGTTTTGTCATTGTTGTTACTCTGGCTCTAGAACAAAATTAAAATTCGCTAGTCTTAACAAATTTAGATATTCGACATGCAGTACGAGTCATGCCCACTCGCCCTGTTGCCAAAGGAGCCGACTCTACAGCTACCACCACCACCAGTTCGCCTACCAATCGAGGGAGTGCCCACCGAGACGGAGACACGCAAAAGAACGATCGTCATCACTGGCGAGGCATCGGAAGTGTCAAAATGTGAGTGGTTTAAAGATTAACATGACGTAATTTGTTTACTTTAGTCTTCTCCTCGACGAACAATATCTTCGCCCTTTTCGCCGATCAGAAACCAGCGCTGACGGGTGATACGAATGCGGAAAAGGAAAGCGAGGATGGGCCAATCGTCGAGCAAAACGTTGAACAGCCGCATGAGGATCAGGTGAAATGCATCAAAGAGGAGCCAATCGATTTCCCGGTCACTCCGATGATGAACAACGCTGGTATTGGCTTAAACTTTAGTACATTGGGTTGAACCCTTGTTTAGATCTATTAAATCGACGCTCATCACGAAGAAAAACGATCGAAAATGCTTTCAGCGATGGATTGATGACGCATTGCCAATGAAGAACCTAAGGATTTTGGTATAATTTTACTATTTTCTCACTTAAAACTTTACGCTTAGGAGTTTCCACAAGGCAACCCGCCCAATCGGTGCAAAAACGTGACGATTCGCCTCATTACGCAGCTTGTGCCGAGTTGCGCTCGATGATTGATCAGATAATCAACAATGGAGCAGCGGATTTGGGTAAGAAATTAAAATCTAAAAATTGAATCAACTTTTTACTTAGATCCACCCACTTCTTCCAATCGACGCTCATCACGAAGAAATACGATCGATAATGATTTCAACGGTGAAATGATGAATGTGCTGAAAGAAGAGCCGGAGGATTTAGGTAAATTCGGAATCGAGATCGTTTTTACATGTTTTATTCAGCTCTAACAACTCCGCTGGCACCCACTCGACTCAAATCGGCGAGAAGAAAGACATCAGACGCTCTGAGCAAGGAAATAAATGATAAAACGAACTCTAGTGAGCTCAATCGGTTGAATAGTCGCTAAACCTTGGTCTAGATATTTCTACTCCTCAAGCAAGTGTTACTGAACCGGAATCACAAATGATTGGTGAGTGAAATTGGATCTCCTTTTAAATCAAGTCTTTAGATGTTTCGCGAAGTTTTCAAGCGTCCTCTCGTCGCAAATCCGCGCCTTCTAAACTCAAGGAACTCAAGGAGACGCCGAAGAGTCGAGCGATTGAGATGGATAAACAGAAAACGGTGGATCATGGTAAGTTATAGCACAACAGTTTGCCAATTGAATGTGTTCAGATTTGTCCGCAACGTCTCACGGCTCATCGCAACGCAAATCATCGGTGACTGAAACGCCCCAACTCAACACATCTCTCCAACTTCTCGTGACATCGATTTTCACTGGTTCACTTCGTCGATCGACTCGCATTGCTGCACAGGGCTCGAAATCATCTTCACCGCGTCAATATTCTCCAGGTGAGCTTTAAAATACCAATTACCATATTTACTTTGTTAGTACTACGCAGTACTATTTTTTCGATCCAGCCCGGAGTACTAATAGAGTAAATACGGTAGTTTAGTTTCTTTCTTAAATAACAGCAGGCATCTTATATTTTTCAAATTTAGAGTTGCAACCTTCCTCAAATTCGCGCAAATCTCCCAAAACGAAGCTGCCAACTAAAACTCCAAACAAGAGTCGGTTTTGAAACACAAACGCTTTGAAAACTTTCTACTATAGGTGCTTCCAAATCTCGTCGAGTAGCTGGTGCACCAAAGGAATTGAGCGATGATATCGTGTATCTGGGAAGAACTCGCGGAAGAAAGTCGGAGCCACAGGTGCGACGAAAAGAGGAAACAATGCAACTCGTGCCGGTCAGGAGATCGCAGCGCAAATCGGCCCCAGTGAAACGATTGAACACGGTAAGTGATTCGACTTTTAAATGTAATGACAAGCTGATAAAATTTGTGGTGATCATCAGGCTCCGGACCTAAATTTTTCAATTTAGAATTCTTTCACACCAAGCGTTCCACGCAAGAAAGCGATCATGATGAAACCGAGCGATACTACCCACGAAATGCCATCGGATGACCAGAATTTCTCGATTCTCGTCTCTCCCTTTCACACAAATAAACCATACGTCACGGAGGTTTGTTGTTAGGTTTAGAATTTGAAATAGTCATTCAATCCATCTAATAGGTGGTTCATTTAGCCGATGACTCCGGCTCAATTGCTTCAGCGCAATTTCTTGTCCGGTTGGGTGCACGATCAACGGACGAGCACGGAAGGTGGCAATTTTGACAGGGACTATCAGAGCGAGAATGTAAGTGCGATGTTGCTAGGAGTTATGCTGAAGAAACCAATTTAATTCGATTTTTAAATTTGAAAGATTAACCCTATTCGCACTTTCGTGGGCAAATTTTAAATAGGCCGGTTTTCTTTATAACAAACTTAATTAATTGCAAGTTGGGTGAATAAGAATAAGAAGGGTCACTTAAAAGCTAATCTCAAATAGAAGGGTAAATTTTGTCATTTCAGACGTTTTAGCATACAATTATTCATAAAATTGTTGTTTTGTTTAGTTGGAACGTCGTTGCTCGCAGATCTGGCGTGACGCTCGGCAACGAAACGCGAGAAACATTATGAGACATCAAAATTGAGCGGAAATATTTGTTTGTTTTTTCAGTTTTATTCCAATTTTACTATGATCAAGATTTCCATCCATTCTGTGATCTTTTCTCTTTTTTACTTGAATCTGTTTTATGTTTGAAAGACTTGGATTCATGTTTTTAAGAGAGTTTATAAATAAGATGTACTTATTTCAGATGTTTAGATTTATCATAGATATTTTATTAGATTGCGGGTGAAATAAAAGTTGATTTCAGGAGATGTCGAAAATCTTACTACTTGCAGAATAGTTGGAAATTTTGAAGGTTTCAACGATTTGGAAGCTTACAATTCAAGATGAACATTCAGTTTAGGTGCATGAGCAATCATCAGGCTATTCAGTTAATACAACTGAATACGAATAGAAGCATCTAGACCTGTAGGCCAAGTTCATTTTGTGGACCAGCCCTCCTAAAGTATCACCAGGGCTGGCCCTTGGAATAACCCAGAGCGGAGTTTCGATTTAGAATTAGAACTACCTTAGCCAAACAGTTAGTTTGCATTCAATCAGCCCAATTTCGGTTACATTCGCTGAGATATCACGAGGCTCAGCCAATGATACCAAAATTGGGTTGATCTAATGGTGGTTAGACCACGGTAGTTTGACTAAAATTGGGTGCCTTTTTAGAAAACGAATTAGCCATCAGAGCCACAGTATAAAGTCGAAACTACGCTACAGACGACAGTAAACTTTGCAATAATTGAAAGAAAGCTTAAACAAAAATATTTCAAAAATGTGCGTGTATGGCATCATATTTTTTCGTTTTTCTCCTTCTGTTTCGAATCCGCGTAATCTTTTCTTTTCTTTTCAAGTATTGCCCCTTTTTGAACCCCCCTTTTACGGTTCTGATAGGGTGCTCCTTTTCTTCTTCTTCTTCTTCTTCTTTTTCTTCTTCTTCTTTTTCTTCTTCCTCTTCTTCTTCTTCTTTTCCAAATTTCCCTCTCTTGATTTAACCATTTTTGATCTCACATTCCCTCTCCTTGTTCTACTGAGAATTTTCTAAAATTTCTGAAAAGAAACGGATATTCCATCGAAAAACCGAATATTCAATTTCGCCCATTAACACGCGAAACTTTATGGTGAGTTTCAGAAATGGTTTTTTGAAGAAACTGTGAAGCCGAAATCTTGTGTCAAATCACTAATCATCCGAATAAGTAGGGAGAAATCAATGGAAATGCGGTGGAAAGACGAGAAAAAGAGCACCGAATCGATTTATGGCGGAGATGTGCATCAGTGGGTGTGCTCACTCTGCTACACGCTATGACATTCGCTGATCGATTCTCGGTGGCCGGTCAGTGTCATCACTATTTCACACTAGATATTGCTACTGACAAATCTGGGAAATCAACATTTAGTGCTAGTGCTCTGGACTACTCCAGGTCCTAGATCTTCTAGAGCCAAGAGTTAGTCATAAGCTTGGCCTGGCTTTAATGCAGGCTTAGGCTGCTTTAAGCCGCTTTAATGCGGCTGAAGTGGCGCTCCACAAGAACCCCCTGAGCTCATAGAAGCCAGAACTAGCCTGTAAGTTAGGTTAATACTTGAATCCTGGGCCGATCTTTGATTACTACAGACTGTGCTGTGTACTAGACTGGCTTTCCAGGTGCCCTTGCACCACTCGTCGACTTTTACAGCATAAACAACACTGAGGCGGGTTTGATTCAAACGCTTTTCCTTGCGGCCACGATTCTCGGCGCTCCGATTACTGGCTTCTTCGGAGATCGATATAATAGGTAAAGAAAGAAAAATGGAAAAAGATAAATTGATTTCTTCTACAAATCTACTAGAAAGTAATAGATAGAAAAAAAAAGATTTGCATATGCAAAAAGATTTGATGACAATGGCGTAGAAAGGAGCCAAGAGACCTGATTTTACTGCAGGCTTAGGCAGGGCTGAATTGATGACAATGGCGTAGAAAGGAGCCAAGAGACCTGATTTTACTGCAGGCTTAGGCAGGGCTGAATTGATGGCAATGGCGTAGAAAGGAGCCAAGAGACCTGATTTTACTGCAGGCTTAGGCAGGGCTGAATTGATGGCAATGGCGTAGAAAGGAGCCAAGAGAAAGAAAACAAAACAAAACAAAATCATTTTAGAGATCTAAACAACAAAAAAGATCTATCTGTTTCCAGAAAATGGATTATGTCAATGGGCGTCGTTGTGTGGATCGGTGTGATGATTGCCTCGTCGTTTATCCCCAAAAATGCACGTAGATCTTCTCATTTTCTAGTGTGACATCCAGCATTTGTAAATAACTCTTTTGTTTCCTGACTTTCCAAGAGAAAAACGAAAAAACGAAAAAAAGCGCTTAAAGTCGAATTTCCGGCTTCGGTTACGGTAATATGTAACCATAAGGGAAAAGCCAATAACCGAACACTTTCTAGATGTTTTGGCTTTTCCTTTTACTTCGTTGTGTCGACGGATTGTCGGAGAATTTCGTCTACGCTTGTGCTCCGTCGATGATCGCCGATTATTTCTCGGGTAATGTAGTCTAAAGCTATCTAAAGCGATCTAAAGCGATCTAAAGCTATCTAAAGCTATCTAAAGTTATCTAAAGCTATCTAGCTATTCTACGGATATCCCTCAAATAATGAGACGTTTACGATAGCTTTAGAGTCAAAGAATGACACAATTCGTTTCCTGAAACGTGTCCCAACTCAACGATAACCCTATCCCATTTCCAGGCCAGGCTCGCAGCTATGCCTACATGTTTTTCTACTATGCGATCAATGTGGGAGCGTGAGTCTTCTACGGTAATTATCTATCCATCACCATTTCAGCGCTTTTGGAGTCATGGTCGGCTCGGCAATCGCCGACTCGACAACCGAATGGCAATGGGCGTTGAGGTAAGTAAAACTCTGTTTTCAAAATAGAAATCTCAAAAGTTTATTGATTTTTTTGCTTATCTGGAACGCACATGACAATTCCCGAGGATTAGATTTATTCAAAATATTCAAAAGAGATTTTTTGGTTTAAAGAGGAAACAAGCGCAGCTAATATACCGTATTTCTTCGAATAGAAGACCGGGTAAAGAGTTTCATCGCGTACTCCTGCGTAGCAGCCCTTTTTAAAATTTCTTTTCTGCATAAAAGCTTTCAATCAAGTGCTATAGGGCTGGAAAATCACTCAAAAATACCACATGAGTTAACAGATTTTTGAGCCATTTTCCAGCTCTATAGCACTTCATTGAAAGCTTTTATGCAGAAAAGAAATCTTGGGCTGCTACGCAAAGAGCTGCTATGCAAAGAGCTGCTATGCAAAGAGCTGCTACGCAAAGAGCTGCTACGCAAAGAGCTGCTATGCAAAGAGCTGCTATGCAAAGAGCTGCTACGCAGGAGTACGCGATGATACTCTTTACCCGGTCTTCTATTCGAAGAAATACGCTAAATAAAGACTTTCTAAAGAAAACTTTAAAAAACAAGATCGATAATTTTCTCATCTGGAACGCACATCACAATTTCTATTTTCAGATTTTCCCTTATCTTTAACTTTAACTCTACATCCCTACGGTAGCTATAGTATTGCTTCGTACTACTTACCGTAAATACTGTAATAGTACCCCACCCCCATCGTACAGTCTCGTAGTCGCAAAAGTTTTTTAGTATTTCATTTTTTTCAAAGGGCCCGTACTTTCAAAAAATGTGTCTTTGGTATGAAAAAATAGCTGAAATTCAAGGCTATTTTTTGATACCAAAACGAAGATTTTAGCATAAACCAGTGTCGAGAAAAACTCGTCCAAAGCTAGACTACGTAACGCTCCGCACCGTCATTATGGGGGTGGGGTACTATTACAGTATTTACGGTAGTTATTTTGTATTTTATGCTCAAACTACCGTATTAACCATTCCAGATTTGTGCCTGGCATCACGATCGTCGGCTGGATTGGCCTAATTGTGATCGTGCAAGAGCCAAAACGCGAGTCCGAGCAACACCCGAGTGACGTCACCTCGAAAAAGTCGTCTTTCTTCAATGACGTTCGATATTTGGTGACAATGTGAGCTCGAGCTGGAACGCACAGCGACTTTTCATCATCTCGAATTTTAGAAAAACCTTCATCCTGCAGTGCTTCGGGGCCGCATTCATCAATTTTACAACAGGCGCTCAGGTACTCTTAGCTCAATCTCGAAATTTAGGCTCTTTAGCTGAATATTTTTATACCGTGACATCCAGGATAAATGAATATTAGCATTCTATCACTAGAGAACAAACATCTAGCCGTAATTTGTAGCCATAAGCAAATCGCATAGTTCGAAACCAAAGGCCCCCGATTTTTACACATTTTCTTGAAAATTTCAATTCCGTGACATCCAGCTTGGCTGAATTTAATATTAGAAATTATATCCAATATCTAATATCGATTATTTAGGGCTGGTGGAACTCGGCGATCATCTATTATGCGATCGATTACAAGAAAAATGTCTCCACCGCCGCGTTCAACTCGATTTTCCACCATAACGAGTATAAAACGTTGGTTTTTTGATTATATATTCTATTTATGCTTCGGACTATAGTACTTTTACGATATCATAAGGATTACTGTATTTGAGAGCATCTTTTAGAAAACTCTTTCAGCATCCAATTGGTCACTGGCTTTATCGGAATCGGATCCACAATCTCTGGTGTCTCTTTTGTTGTCTATTGGGCTGAGGTATTTCATATTAGAGCCAGATTGACGGGTATGGTTAGGCCAGACACCTAGGTCAGGCTGGACCTACTAGGTCGAGCTTTAGAGCCGGAATATCAGGATAGATCAGGGCCAGATCTAGATCCAGGATCAAGGCCCGGTCCAGGTCTAGTTCAGGGCCAGGATCAAGGCCCGACCCAGGTCTAGGTCAGGGCCAAGAATGTTCTAGCCCAGGCAGGTCAAGTCAGAAGGCTTACAGTGAAGCCAGAACTTAGCCAGAACCTGGCCTAACCTGGGAAAAAGTACTCTTGAAAAATCCTGGCCTCCTCCTGCTAGTACTCCTGCTTATGGTATTGAAAATCTTAGCCTAGTCTAGTCCTAGCCGCCAGTTGGTTTGACTACCTCGTTTCACTTTCAGAGTTGGCGTAACGGAAAGGGGATCTTCAAGCGGATACAGACTGTTCGCGCACCGGCACTCGTCATCGCCATTTGTACGTTTCTAAAATGTTCCCGACTACGATAATCTTAGATATCTACCGTAATCCTGAAGACAATAGATCTCTAGGATTACGGTAGGTCTCAGGTACTTGTCTAATCGTTTTCTAAAATGTATCCCTTTCCGACAGTAATCAATCTAGAGTATCAGATACTCGAAGTGCTCAAAACTCTAGAAACGCACACCTTCTAGTGCGCTCAATTCTTTCATTTACCAGCAAAAATGTTGAAACATTTGCAAGCAAACAAGTGCGCCAAAAGGTGTGCGTTTACCTGTGAGCATAAAGTACGCCTCAAACCGATCTACTAGGCTAATCCTATAGCTTTGGATTACTGTAACCCATTTGAGGCCTCTGCTTGGCTGCTCCTTGTTCTTGTATCACACAGCTCTTCGTGCTTTGGAATATCTATGGATATTATGTGAGTTATCAAATATAATTCTATATCTAGATAAATTCATCTTCTTCCAGGCCACCCAATTCGTCGGCGGCTTCTTTATGGGCGCCGCCTGGGTGCTCAACTTGGACGTACTGTATGTGAGTGCTAGAAATCGTTATCGAACCCTCATTTCTCAGCCAATATCCCTTGTGAGCTCCAGATTAGAAGAATTTCACATTATTTTAGCCTATAAGAGCTATAGTGGATTACAGTAGTGCCGTAGTGTAGCGTACTGTAGATGAATTTTTAGAAATGATTATTTAGCTTCCTTTTTTGACCCAATCCACTCTGTGAGTTCCAGATTAAAAAAATTTCACATTATTTTTAGCCTATAAGAGCTATAGGGATTACTGTAGTGCCATAGTACTGTAGTTACTGTAGCGTGCTGTGAGTGGATTTTTAAAAACGATAATCCAGCTTTATTTTTTTTCGCCCAATCCACCTCGTGAGCTCCAGATCCCAAGAAATCGCAATAATTTTTGATATTTTTCCAGAGCACGACCTCCTCAAGTCGCCGCGCCACGTCGATCATGATGTGGACCCTTGTGCAGCACTTGCTCGGAGATGGACCTTCACCGTATATAGCTGGATCAGTAATATATCCAGATATGAAATTATCTAATATTTCCTAGATTGCTGACTCATTCCGCGGGAAAGACGACAGTTCGTACGGGGAAATGTGGGCGCTGATTAAGGTGGGAGGGGTTTAGCAATGTTTTCGATAAATTTCCATAAGAATACTGTGAACATTATGTGAAAATCTTGCAATCTGGAACTCACATAGCCAATTGAAACAAAATTAGATTTAGATGATCGTTTTTTAAAAATATTTATTAGGTTGTATTAGCAGGCTAAGAACTGGAATCTCTTGGCTGTAGTCTGTAGTCTGTTGCCTGTCGTCTGTCGTCTGTAGTCTGTTGCCTGTAGTCTGTAGCCTGCAGTCTGTCGTCTGTAGCGTGTAGCCTGTAGTCTGAAGCTTGTAGTCTGTAGTCTGTAGCCTAAACAAGAAAATATTCAGTTTCAGTCATTTTTCATCATCAATTCAATGACGATTCCCGCGGCGCTTATCCATTTCGTCATTGCCTGGTCGATGAAGAGTGATTTGGAGAGGAATCGAGTGGAGGAGAAAAGGATCGAAACTGAAAAACAATGTACGGGCATCACATACAGTGTGCATTCCAGATAAGAGACTCAAGAAATTCATTGATCACATTTACCCCCATAAAGTGATCGTTATTCTTAATCAGTCTCAATCAATCAGTCTTTTTAATCAGTTTTAATCAGTCAATTCTCTTTTTAGGGGGTCCCGATGAAGAGCAAATCAAAACGATTATCAGGGATTTAGATGTGGTTCATTCGATGCAATAAGATGCAATAAAAAGATTTCTATCATTTCAGAATTGAATTACATCAAATTTTCTCTATTCAAAAAGATAAGCACAGCTTTTTTAAGCAGGGAATCTTCCCAAGTTACCCAAGTAAGGATGGGAGTGATTTATAGATGATTTTTTTAATATTATATAACGATCTGGAACTCACGTAGCCCATTGAAACAAAAATTAAATCAAGAGAAACATTTTAAAAAAATTTACACTATTAATGGGAGTTGTTTTGATATGATAACGCAATCTTATCCATGGAAAGAATCAAAGTGATGAAGAGAGGAAAAGGATTGATGGAGTGGGCATAGATTGCGGATGGATTGGGGATTGATTGGGGATGGATTGGGGATGGATTTGGGGTCATTTCCACCTACATCCGTCAACTAATAACATCTCTTTTGCTAAAAGGAACCCCTCCTTTTTCCACGAAACAAACAAGTTTTTCTCCTTCTTTCCTCTCTTTCTTTCCCCTCTTTCTTTCCCCCCTTTCTTTCCCTCCTTTCTTTCTCCCCTCTTTCTTCCTTCACCAACTCCCCAGTTGTTCAGCTAGTTTCTTTTTTGATTTCTCCCCAGTGCCAAAGTTCATTTTACAGCTTGCAATCAGTGCTTCTAATTCGTTTATTTATTAAATACTATTCTGCAGAGATATCTAACTCTTTTGTCATCTTTGCAAAGCTTTGTAAAGCTTTTTACCTACAATTGTTAGGCAGACTTCAATAAATAATCAACTTTGCTAACTTGGTCATTCAAATTTAACGATTTCAATTCAAGGATTTGATTAAAAGATATTCAAAGTGTTGCTTTTAAATGTTATGAACGTCTATCCATAATATTTAATATCTAATATCTAGTATCCATAATATCTAATATGAAAACTAGCTTAGACTTTAAACATTACATATATCAATTGTTGACTTAGAACCTTAGAATAGTAGTTTATTTTTAAAATTTCATCAAAACTTTCAATCTTGCCTTATCCAGTGAATGACTGTTCAAAATCGCTTGTGTTTTTTCTTTGCTTTTTTCTGATTTCTGCCTTTTTCTAGAGAATTCTTATCTCAAAAGCATAGTTAAAATGGGAGAAGAAAAGCGATAGACAAAACTTTTAAAACTCGATTTTTTTCCTATTCTTGTTATTTTATTAACCGATTATTTTAATCTTATTTAGTTAAAGATCGTTTTTCTATTTCTTTTCTATTTTTTTCTAATTTTCAAGTAAAGTTTTTGAAAAGTAAGCTAGAGTAAAGTTGCTAAGTGGTCAAGCTAGCTAGATTTACGCTAGCTAGCTAGATTTACGCTAGCTAGCTAGATTTACGCTAGCTAGCTAGATTTACGCTAGCTAGCTAGATTTACGCTAGCTAGCTAGATTTACGCTAGCTAGCTAGATTTACGCTAGCTAGCTAGATTTACGCTAGCTAGCTAGATTTACGCTAGCTATTAGGTTGTCCAGTTATGAATGCGCGCCTGCTCTTGAACAGCGTACCTTAGGGCTATACAATTTTATCAAACCCTATTCTCTATATGCTGTTCAAGATTTCTTATTTATTGCAACTTTTCGTGTTTTTGACGTTAAACTAATTAATTTTTGATTTAATTTCCGTGTTTAGATGACCGAGACGAAGTTTCGTCTTCGTGCCAGTCTTTGGTATGACTTCAAATTGGGCAAAAATGCCGTTGAATCCCATCGAGATCTTTGCAAAGTATTTGGCGAAGATGCTATTTCGGAAAGCCAGTGTCGCCGATGGTTTCAACGATTTCGAGAAGGAAATGAATCTTTGGAAGACGAAGACCACCAACGACGACCTCCTGCGATCGATAATGCAGTACTGAAGCAGGCGATCGAAATGGATCCTCGACAAACTACACGTGAACTTGCAGAAATATTTAGAGTAAGCCCTCAAACAATTTCCGAGCATTTAAATCAATTGGGGAAAACAAGCCGACAAGGGAAATGGGTTCCTCATCTTCTCAGCAATGCCAATAAAGCTACTCGTGTCACTATGGCGGGTATTCTTCTTCGTTTGGCAAAAAATACTGGGTTTTACGATGAAATCCTTACTTGCGATGAAAAATGGATTCAATATGATAATTCTACACGAAAACGGCAATGGCTAGAACCTGGTGAGGAGCCAATACCAACACCAAAACCTGACTTCCATGGCAAGAAAGTAATGCTTACTGTCTGGTGGAATTCCCAAAGCATTGTTTATTTTGAGCTGCTTAAACCTGGACAAACAATCACGGGTGAAACGTATGCACAACAATTGGAACGAGTGAACAATGTATTGCTACAAAAAGGTCTTGATCCTTCAAACATAAAGTTCATTCAAGATAACGCCCGTCCACACGTTGCAAAGATTGTTCAGGAAAAACTCGAAGAGTTGGGCTGGGAAACTCTCCCGCATCCGCCATATTCTCAGGATATTTCTCCTTCGGATTACCATTTATTTCGCTCAATGCAAAACCATTTGGCCGGAAACAAGTTCAAAGAAGTTCAAGAAGTCGAAAAATGGATAGCCGACTTCTTTGCCTCAAAACAAGCCAATTTTTACGCGGAGGGAATTCATTCTTTGCATGGAAGATGGAAACAAATATTGTTAACAAATGGTGAATATATTGTTGATTGAGCTGTTAAACTGTTGGTTTTAAAATAAAGAGTTGTTATCTTAAAAATGCGCATTTATAACTGGACAACCTAATAGCTAGATTTACGCTAGCTAGCTAGAAGCCAAGTGAAGCTAGCTAGATTTGCGTATTAGCTTTTAATAGAGTACCATAGCTGAACTAGGAATTGTGAAAGATTTGTTGTTGTTGTTGTTGTTGTTATTGTTTAGTTATCATTGTCAAAATTGAGCTTAGACTCTCATAAACTTTCTCAATCAATATTTGAATACTTTCTTTGCCAACAAGTTATCTTACCTTCAATTTTGATAGGTTTTTCGTTTTTATATCATAGATTAGATTCTATATGATAGATTAGATTCTATATGATAGATTAGTTTTATATGATAGATTAGATTCTATATGATAGATTAGATTCTATATGATAGATTAGATTCTATATGATAGATTAGATTCTATATGATAGATTAGATTCTATATGATAGATTAGTTTTATATGATAGATTAGATTCTATATGATAGATTAGATTCTATATGATAGATTAGATTCTATATGATAGATTAGTTTTATATGATAGATTAGATTCTATATGATAGATTAGTTTTATATGATAGATTAGATTCTATATGATAGATTAGTTTTATATGATAGATTAGATTCTATATGATAGATTAGTTTTATATGATAGATTAGATTCTATATGATAGATTAGTTTTATATGATAGATTAGATTCTATATGATAGATTAGTTTTATATGATAGATTAGATTCTATATGATAGATTAGATTCTATATGATAGATTAGATTCTATATGATAGATTAGTTTTATATGATAGATTAGATTCTATATGATAGATTACTTTTATATGATAAATTACTTTTATATGATAGATTATGAAAATGTTGAAATCCGCATTTCTTATGCATGTACCTAATAATTGAAATGAATCTTTACTTTGTTTTCCCTCTTCTGTACCTTTTTATTCAAATTAAAATGAATCTTTACTTTGTTTTCTTTTCTTCTGTACCCTTTTATTCAATCATTATCATCATTATCTTTTTATAAAGTAAGAAATGATTAAAGAAAGATTTTTCTTATGTAAAACTTCTCAGAATGTCCTCTCCACCACTCTCGACATTTGATCGTTTCCTTGAATGGTTTATGTATCGCTTTCGATGGATTTTCGTCATCCCAATCCTACTCCCAATGTCTTTCACTTTCAATCTATACTATGCGATTCGGTGAGTCAACGCTTTAAGCAAAAGAAACAACAACAACAACAACAACAACAACAACAACAACAACAACAACAACAAAATCAAAACTCTATCCAAGATTTCCCTCCTAGAAATTGGCTAATCTTCAACATCCAATCCGCCCCAAAAGCTCACGATCGAAAAGTGGGATTGATACAGAAACAGGTTCATTTTAATTACCAACTTTAACTACCAACTTTAATTTACCAAAAAACCAATTCAACTAAAACCAATCAATCTAAAAACAAATGGAAAATGAGCCAAAAAAAACAGCAGAACTTTTAACACCGAACTCTAGAGTGGCTCTAAATTATTCACAGAATTTTCTGTGTCCAAAACTTATCTCCAGGTCCGTGACTGGGCTACTGGTGATCGAAAAGCAAAAATGTGCACGGCAAGGCCTGGATGGTTGACAATGTCGTTCAGGTGAGTCAATGTTTGGATATTGTCAGGTTAGAGCTGTGATCTGATTCAAGAATGAGCTAGACTAATCGAGTCAAGATCAACCTGTGACTAGAGCTAGTGATGCTTGGCCCTAACTGAGCTAATCCTGTTCCGGAAACCATTTGAATGACAGACAATGCCACTCCAGTCTATACTGGTTTTAACCTACGAGATTTTTGAGGTTAAAACCAGTATTGACTGGAGTGGCATTGTCTGTAATTCAAATGATTTCCGGAACAGGATTAGGTTGAGGGGAAATAATGCGCTTTTATTTTGGGTGTAACAATTTACAAGAAATAGCAACAATCAATGAATCTCTATTTTTATCGACTTCTTCGATACAAGTTCTTCATTCCATTTGTGCAAAGGGATTTTTAAAGCCAAAATAGTTGTCAATCGCTTTTTTTGATAATCATCAAACTTCTTTTCTATGAATTATTTCAAAAACTGAAACAAAAAGTAATCTGACGTCAGGAGAGTAATAAAGAAGTCAAGGAAATCGAAAGACAAACAACATTTCAACAAGACAAGAAAGGGGATTCAACCCTCAATCTTTTACTTTCCGGAAAGCTCTAATCATTAAGCTATTTGGTACCTTAACTTTTCAAGAGAGAGAGGGAAAGACAACGAGGAAGTAGAAGGGAAGAAGGGAAGAAGAAGGGGAGAAGAAGGGAAGAAGAAGGGGAGAAGAAGGGAAGAAGAGGGGGGAAGAAGGGAAGAAGAAGGGAAGAAGAAGGGGAGAAGAAGGGAAGAAGAAGGGAAGAAGAAGGGGAGAAGAAGGGAAGAAGAAGGGAAGAAGAGGGGGGAAGAAGGGAAGAAGAAGGGAAGAAGAAGGGGAGAAGAAGGGAAGAAGAAGGGAAGAAGAAGGGAAGAAGAGGGGGGAAGAAGGGAAGAAGAAGGGAAGAAGAAGGGGAGAAGAAGGGAAGAAGAAGGGAAGAAGAAGGGGAGAAGAAGGGAAGAAGAAGGGAAGAAGAGGGGGGAAGAAGGGAAGAAGAAGGGAAGAAGAAGGGGAGAAGAAGGGAAGAAGAAGGGAAGAAGAAGGGAAGAAGAGGGGGGAAGAAGGGAAGAAGAAGGGGAAGAAGAAGGGAAGAAGAAGGGAAGAAGAAGGGAAGAAGGTGCATGAGGAACCAGTCTAGCTGACTCCCTTTATGACTAGCTTTTGCAGTGTGGGTTGTCGTACAAAAATCGAATCTTTAATAGATTGAGTGAAGATTTCTTTTAAGCATCGTTAAATAAGATTGTTTTGTTAAAGTGAATTGTTTGAATAAGATTGTCAATTATGAAAGATTAAAGAATTAAAGATCAGCATCAATGTTTTCTCCTACTCATAGTGCACCAAATTACCAACAAACAAACATTGAAGAGTCACCAGCAATAGAGCCAGCAATAGAGCATTATCCTCTCTTCATAAATATGAGGTTTATTTGATAGATAGCCATTGGTAGATACTCTGGTATTAAAGTCGTTCCATCAGATGTCTATCTAATAGATAAATCGTATCTCAAAAGCTACCAACTTGATAAAAGAATTGATAGGCACTAGTTAGATAGGCGATAGATAGCACTAGAATTGATAGGCACAGCAAGAAAGCTCTTGTCTTCAATCAAGAACCCATTTCCCCAAGCATCATCTTCTCCCAAATTGTCAATTGTCTTCTGATCAACATCTCTGCAAACTCGCAAGTTGTGAGTGTTGAGTTGAAGTCAATTTGAATTCCCTAAAACCCGCATCGCTTTTCCCCAGCCCCATCATCAAAATTCCATCCAGATTCCCCGCCTACAAAGCCAAGATGACACAGATCAGAACGGATCGATTGATCGATATTTTGGAGGTGAGTTTCGATTAGCTAGACTAAGCTAGACTAGAACAAGACAAAGGTTCCAACCAATCCAATCAGGAAAATCAAGAATAACCAAAAACCTTGCAGGTTGACACGACAAATCACTTGATTCGAGTGGAACCGATGGTGACAATGGGACAAATTACGAGGACGTTGATTCCATTGGGTTACACATTGCCTATTGTGCCTGAGCTGGACGATTTGACTGTTGGAGGTGTGCTAGAGATAGTTTCCAATTGACGATACCTAGGATTTGAATATCTAAATGATCCATGATCTCAGGAATGATCAATGGTTGCGGAGTCGAGTCTTCCGGGAAGCGTTACGGTCTTTTTCAGCACATTTGTCATTCCTATGAGTTGGTGATAGCTGATGGGAGTCTTGTCGTTGCGTCGAAGGTCAGTCAGAGAACATTTTACAGACTCAACTCTAGAGGCAGTAGCTCTAGAGGCAGTAGCTCTAGCTTTAGAGGCAGTAGCTCTAGCTCTAGAGGCAGTAGCTCTAGCTCTAGAGGCAGTAGCTCTAGCTCTAGAGGCAGTAGCTCTAGCTCTAGAGGCAGTAGCTCTAGCTCTAGAGGCAGTAGCTCTAGAGGCAGTAGCTCTAGAGGAGCTCGCTCCAGTTCAGCTAGCTAGCTTAGCTTGAATCTGATGAAATGATGAAGAAGATTTTGTTATGTTAAATAGTAGACATACAGGAGAAAAAGGACGGTGGAAGCGCTGAATCGCAAGCACTTTTCTATGGTGTTCCATGGAGTCACGGGACGTTGGGCTTCCTCGTTGCTGCCACATTACGGTAAAGAAAGATTCTATCTAAATAAATATCTAAAGAATCTAAGACGTAGATCTATCAAAATCTTATAAATATTCTGTTTTTCCCTGTTCAGGATTATCCCGTGTAAACCCTATGTGAAATTGACATACATACCGACGAGAACAGTCAAGGTGGGTTTAGATTCTTAGATCATTAGATCCAGGCTTAAATATAGACCAAACCAGATCATATATCTGTTGTAGCCGATGAAGGATTTCAGCCGAAGAAGTCTCAGACTTCTTCGGCTAGCCGATTAAGCCTCAAAAATGAAATCTTGAGTTATGCATTGACTCAAGTCAATACCACAAACTCAAGCTCTCTAAAAGGCGCTTAAAAGCTATAAACGCATTCTAGTTGCAGTTGCATTTTGCATTTTTCGACCAAACTAAACAACAAAAATAAACAACAATACCAAAAAGCGAGTTTAATAACAATAATAAAACAAAAATAAACAATAATACCACCGGTTCACGAGTTTTTTGACCCAAAAGCAAACAAAATAAAGCATCATAAAGAAATTCGATAGGACACAAAAGTAAAAGCTTACCAATCTGTTGGCGAACTCCTTTCCGTTGTCGGACTAAAGAATTTTTGGGGCTCCAAACGTTCCGAATATTTCCATTAGATGATTGACAACTTCAAATTGTGTTTTCCATTGCAATGCCCGCAAAACGACGAACTTTGTGAAATGATCCTGGTAGACCATCAAAAACTTGAATTCTCCATCGGGAACGGATTGAATATCGATTAAATCCGTGCCTTTGACGAATGACGAATGACGAATGACGAAAAGGCCCCTTTTATAGCCTTTGGTCACAGTATGATAAAATGCGCACTCTTTAGAATGCGTTTTTAGCTTTTAAGCGCTTTTTAGAGAGCTTGAATTTGTGGTATTGACTTGAGTCAATACATAACTCAAGATTTCATTTTTGAGACTTCATCGGCTAGCCGAAGAAATCTGAGACTTCTTCGGCTGAAATCCTTCATCGGCTACGACATATCAATAGCCAAGCTAAATCAGTTACAATATTCATTTAGGAAACCCAAAATACTCTGATAAAAGAGTGCAACGATCGAGAAAACGAATTTGTTGAGGGTTTACTTTTCTCGAAGATCAAAGGATTGGTCATGAGGGGAGAGTGGGGTTTTTATCTAATAGATATATAATAGATTTATCGATAGATAAACAAATTCTATCAAAATCTCTACTTCTTTTAAGAGAAACTAGCTTCATACTATACTTTCAGATTAGCCATAATTATTCGGCTGCAAAGTAGCGCAGCTTGAAAGCTGAATTGGACTGAATTAGATGATGTAGAAAAAGAGCTTTACTAGATCTAGCTAATCATTTTTTTTTGCTTAAATCCTCTCTTTCAGATTTTGTGATAAACCCCCACGAAATGGCCGCCAAAATGAGATCGGTAAATGGCATAAACCCTGGTTCTACACACATGCTGAGAAATTAGCTGAAAGAGAAGAGGTACTAGTATGAGTAGTGGCCAAGCTAAAGCCAAAATTTCTACTTGAACAAGTGCTTAAACCTGGCTCGAGCTAAAGCTAAAATCGAGCTAAAGATCACGATCGAGCTAAAGATCGTTAATACCCTCGCGACAACGACATTTTGTGTACATTCGCGTAGTCGTTAACAGTTTTTCAATGAGCTCACATTTTCAATGAGCACTCTCCTTTGAGGGTTCATAACTTTGCTCAGAGAGCTTATCATTCTTAACTTTTTATATCATTGAATAGAGGAGATTTTAGGCTTTCGAATGATACCAAAAATAGCTTGATTGGTCTAATAAATCATAGAGAAAATTGCTCTCAAAAAACCGGGGATCACTCGTTGAGCGTTCCTTTATTTTGTTGAGTTTTAATTAGAAATTGGGGCTTAAATTTGTGTAAAATTAGGAATCAGTGGAATTTGTAGGAATCAGTGGAATACATCCCGTTACGTCACTACTATCATCGACATTCGCGATCGATCTTTTGGGAAATCAAAGAAATCGTCCCATTTGGCAACAATCTCCTCTTTCGGTGGACTCTCGGATGGTTGTGTCCACCGAAAATCTCACTCTTGAAAGTGACAACACCACCTGCTTTACGGTAAACAACATAGAACTACATAAAACAACCAGTACGCTAGAAAGTGAGCGTTTCCGTCGAACATACAAAGTACACAAAAGTCTTTACTTTAAAGTCTTTTAAAGTCAGCTAGTAAGTCAGCTAGTAAATCAGCTATAAAAAAACATCAACAATGACAGATTCTAATTCGTTAGCTTTATGTTGTGCGTTCCAGGATGCACAGAAATTAGCATAAAAATTGAAATCAACTAAAGAGTACCAAAGAAAATTGATTGAAAAGTTTGAAAAGTTATTCAGGCGACTTTACGAGCGAAATCATGTTATTCAAGACATGCTTGTGCCTCTGGAAACCCTTCAGGAATCGGTTGATGTTTTTGAGAAAGAGATCAATGTATGGTTTACATAACACAAAAAAATTTACATCTATCTTTATCAACTATTCAGTAGATTTATAAAGAAATTATTGAGAAAACGGTAAAGCTAGAGAAATCTTTCAAATTTCGATTTATCTAGCTCTATAAACAGCTCTATAAACATGTGACATATTTATTTGACATATCCTTCAGATCTATCCCCTCTGGCTATGCCCATTCACCCTGCCATCAACTCCAGGAATGCTAAGGCAAAGATCTGGAAAGAATCTCCTTTACATTGACATTGGAGCATATGGAATCACAATGAATAAGGTACTAAAGATAGAAAAAAGAGCTAAGATATTTCTCTAAGCCTAAATACATAAAGTTAAACTAGATCTAGATAGATATACACTACTGGACAATGAAATATCATATTTGAAAAACGATCGTCACTTTTGCGCCTCTGTAACTCCCTTGTCTTTACCGTATTTCTAAATAGATAATAGATAATAGATAATAGATTATAGATAATAGATTATAGATAATAGATAATAGATTATAGATTATAGATAATAGATTATAGATAATAGATTATAGATTATAGATTATAGATAATAGATAATAGATTATAGATTATAGATTATAGATAATAGATTAATCTTGTAAACAAAGTCAATTCATTGTACTATTCATTGCACTATATTGCACTGGACACTATTTGAAAAACGATCGTCACTTTCGCGCGTCTGTAACTTCCTTGTCTTTGAGTTTAAACTATTAGTGTTTGACATTTTCTGAAAGCTCTTTTCAAGGGCTCAATGGTAATATTAATATTTAGAAATACGGTAAAGACATAGGAGTTACAGACGCGCGAAAGTGACGATCGTTTTTCAAATATCATATTTCATTGTCCGGTAGTGTAGCTTCATTAATTGCTTGTTTTTAGCTATACTTTCTTCTCTGATGCAATAGGGATTTCATTCTTAAAGAAAATAATCAATTTGAGCACAAATTACAACACTATTAGCATTCTAAAAAAGAAAATTATCTAGAGCATCTAGAGCAATACCTTTCTAGACTTACGAACCCCGTGAATCAACTCGTCGCCTTGAAGAGTTCGTTCGGAAAGTGAATGGGTTCGTTTTTCGTCTAGCTAGATGTAGCTAGATCTAAAACTACTCGAATCTATTCCCATATCGAATTCAGGGTTCAAATGCTTTACGCTGACACGTACATGAGCCGTGCCGAGTTCTGGGAGATGTTCGACTCATCACTCTATGAATGGTTAAGGGTCAAGGTGAGCAAAGCTTTCTATATGTTACGAATTATCTTATTTCCAAATCCAAAAGGATTTTCGATCTCTACCATTTATTAAAACTCATTTCTAAACGAGTCTTTTGAGGGAAAGTTGTTGAGTACTCGTTGACGTTCACTTTGATCCATTGACTTTTGTCCACTAGCTTTGGTCCACTAGCTTGGATCCATTGACTTTGATCTGTTGGCTTTGATCCGTTGGCTTTGACCCGTTGACTTTGGTCCACTAGCTTTGATCCATTGATTTTGACCCGTTGGCTTTGATCTGTTGACTAAATGTACCCTTGATCGGCTAAGAGACTAAGTGATATTAAATACAAGAAAAGTATCTATAGAACGAATAGATATCGACAGGGTATCCGAAAAAAGAGTGGTCATCGATCGATCGAAAAATTTTCTCGTTGATTTTTCAAGGCTCATCATGATTTCAAAAATGGTTTTGCCTTAGGCATCAAACAACGAGATTAAGTTGATTTTTTTGATGATCTTTGTGAATAACAGGGCCATGCATAGGCCGGCGAGCTAAAAATCCATTGAATGCAAAAAAAAAACAGACTTTTCAATTCCTCTATTTCACCATAAAACTTTCTACTTTTTTTTGGTAGAAAACTACAACTTTTTTCTACTTTTTTTTTGATATTAAGATCTTGAAAAAGTCGATCCTGGGTAAGCAGCAAGAAGAGGATTTTCTCGTTTAAAAATCAATCATATTTTCAAGATTTTTAAAGCAATCAATTCAACAATATGGCTAGAAAAAGAAAGAAAGAAAGAAAGAAAGAAAGAAAGAAAAAAAAGAATTCAAAAGAAAAAGAACAAAAATTAGAAAGATTTATGGTGAAATAGAGGAATTGAGAAGTCTGTTTTTCAATTGATTCAATGGATTCAATTGATTCAATTGATTCAATGGATTTTGAGCTTGCCTGCCTATGCATGACTCTCTATTCACAAAGATCATCAAAAAAAAATCAACTTAATCTCGTGGTTTGACGCCTAGGGCAAAGAAAGCCCTTTTTGAAACAACGATAAGCTTTGAAAAATCAATGAGAGAATATTTCCAGACTCAAATCACTTTTTTTTGATACTTTGTAATTTTCTTAAACATTTGAATACATTTTCTGTATCTAAATATAAAATTGAATTTAAAAAAAGAGTTTTAGTTTGGTTGCAAAGAGGCTTTTCCGGATGTCTATGATAAAGTGTGCAAAGAGGCCAGATATTGAATTCATTTTATGTATTTATGCACTATTTTTATGTTCAAAATTTAGAGAATAAATAACTTTATAAAAGTTTCCTATCCAGAAAATGTAATACAAAAGACTATCAAAAGAATAAGAGTCTTTGAGAGTCGCAACTAGAAGTGCGCGAATTGTTAAGCCAACTCAGAGCTTTAGAGCCAAGAGCCTCAGAGCCAAGAGCCTCAGAGCCAAGAGCCTCAGAGCCAAGAGCCTCAGAGCCAAGAGCCTCAGAGCCAAGAGCCTCAGAGCCAAGAGCCTCAGAGCCAAGAGCCTCAGAGCCAAGAGCCTCAGAGCCAAGAGCCTCAGAGCCAAGAGCCTCAGAGCCAAGAGCCTCAGAGCCAAGAAGCTGCGTTCACCCTAATCCTGGCTTAGTTGCCGTACTGTGAGTCAAAGTTATAGGATTTGAATAAAGTCAGAGACTCGCTTAATCCCAGGAAACATTAACTGTCAAGACCAGAATTGCTATTATTCATCAATCAATTCTCTAATCTAATCAAGAAATACCATTCAACACTACTATTCTAACTTTTCTGTTTAATCTAGCTGCTCAAGAATCGACTCATTTCAAAAATGTTCGTCAGCAATTTTCAAGCTGCACAATCCAGAAACGAAAGGGAAATCGGATGGCGAATTCATCGGCAGCCAGCCGGGTGGACGGGGAAAGGATGGCAAGAGATCGATGAGACTGGATCGGACAATTCATCCCCAAGGCTTTCGTTTTTCATTCCGATTCCCTTACAGAGACAGGAAAGAGGCAAGATTTCACTCTTTTCCTTTTCCTTTTCAGCTTCTGTTCAAGGGAAATGGTGGGCATGCCAGCATCCCCGCTAGCTCACTCACCGGTTTAGTTGGCTTTCATTTTCAACAAGTGCTATAATGGCTACTACTTGTACTTTCCAGTTGACTCAGACTTGGACCTGGATAGGCTAGACTAGCCTGGATGGCTTAGACGAGCCTGGTTGGCCTAGACTAGCCTAGATGGCTTAGACTAGCCTGGATGGCCTAGAATTGCCTGGATAGCCTAGACTAGCCTGGATGACCTAGACTAGCCTGGATAGCTTATCCTAGCCTGGATGGCCTAGACTAGCCTTCAAGGCTTAAATCTAACTGGCTCTAGACCTGTAAGGCTGGTTTACAAGCCTCAGGATCCAGGTGAAACATCCCTGGCCAGGCCTTGTTAAAAACCTTGTTAACTAACTGTATTCCAGCTAAAATTCTTGCCTCTAGGTACAATTTTTGTTCTGAAGCCGTTTTGAAACCCTTTTGAAACAGAATGCAATTTCTCCGAGGCAGATTTCACTTTTGTATTTCCTGCCAACGCCTGGGAGAGCCTTAAAGGAAAGGAGGAAAACCGGCCGACCCTGCCACAGCGCCGGCAATCCCCTCTCCTCGAATCTGCCATTCCCAAAGTGAAAGCTTCTTTAAAGATTCAAAGATTTCTTCTTAATATTATTTACTTAACTTGATTAGTTAAAAAATAAAAATGAAGCGTAGTTTTCCCCCAAACAGCTTTTTTTTTTGCTTTTAGAATTCGTTTAGCCATCATTTTAAGTTTAGCCATCGATTTCGTGCAAAAAGTTTCGCATTTTCAATCGATTGCTCTTTTGTGATCGAGAGAAATGAAGTCAAGCACTGCTCAAAAATCCTTACAGAAATCTCTCCAGAAATCCTTCCAGAAATCCCTCCAGAAATCCCTCCAGATATCCTGGATCTTTTCCAAAATTCACTCTCAAATTTTCCTAGTCCTAGTTCCTAGTTTTGTATATTCTTTTCTTTTGAAATAATTCTTTTCAATACTCATTGACGGGAGTGGGACAAATGCGACCTTTTTTTTGCGCACCCGAACATTTGCGCACCTTTTTTTCCGCACCTTGCCCATTAGCGCACCTTTTTTCGCGTTTTAAAAAAGCTCTAAAAGCTTAAAAAAAGCTCTAAAAAGCTAATATTAACCAATTTCTATTCCAAAAGTTGTTTTTCTAGGTAATTTGAGGGCGTAGAATCGAAATTTTGACATATCAGAGCTTGTGGAAACAAACGGACGGAGTTATACAAAGAGAAAGATCGACAATCGACAATCGACAATTTTCTGTAATTTGATCTAGCCGTTTTTTCTTTCAAATTGTTTCCAAAAGCTCTGTTAGGTCAAAATTTCGATTTTACGCCCTAAAATTACCTAGAAAAACAACTTTTGGAATAGAAATTGGTTAATATTAGCTTTTTAGAGCTTTTTTAAGCTTTTAGAGCTTTTTTAAGCTTTTAGAGCTTTTTTAAAACGCGAAAAAAGGTGCGCTAATGGGCTAAGTGCGGAAAAAAGGGTGCGCAAATGTTCGGGTGCGCAAAAAAAAGGTGGCATTTGTCCCACTCCCTCATTGACACCTCCATTTTTCCCCTCCTTTCATTTTACTGAAATCAATAAAGCGGAAAGGTGTGAAATGAAAAGGAAAAAAGGGGAAAAGGGGTTTCCGGAAAACATTTCCGGTACTCTGCCGCAAGTCAAGCGACGAAACCCGGAGAGAATTTTTCGAAACATAATTTTCACATTCACATTCACTATTCTGATTTTTTTTTTAAAAAAAGGTTTTAAACTTTGTTTTGCTTTTAATTTAATATCTTTCACTCTCTAAACAATCTCAATAATATCTATAAGCAGATCACAACTAGAAGTCTTCTTTCTATCTTTCTTTCTTTCTTTCTTTCCTCCTTTTCGTTCTTCCTTTCTTTTTTTTCTTTCTTTCTTTAACTATATTTCTAGTATCCCATTTGATCTCTAAAATGAGCATGATGGGACATCAACCGGCGTTTAATGAGCGACTCATCGAAGAGGTCAGAGACTTGTATTTGCTATGGTGTTGAGTTCAATGATTTAGAAAATTCGTATTCTTATAGGTAAAAAAGCATCCCTCTCTGTACAATCAAACGAAACGCAGTTTCACCGATACGATGGAGAGAATGAAAATGTGGGAGCTAATCGCACAAGAGATCGATCCAAAAGTATCAGGTAAATAGAGGCAGTAGCTCTAGAGGCAGTAGCTCTAGAGGCAGTAGCTCTAGAGGCAGTAGCTCTAGAGGCAGTAGCTCTAGAGGCAGTAGCTCTAGAAGCAGTAGCTCTAGAGGCAGTAGCTCTAGAGGAGCTCGCTCCAGTTCAGCTAGCTAGCTTAGCTTGAATCTGGTGAAATCATGAAGAAGATTTTGTTATGTTAAATAGTAGACATACAGGAGAAAAGGGATCGCACAAGAGATCGATCCAAAAGTATCAGGTATTTACCATCAGGTATTTACCATCAGGTATTTACCATCAGGTATTTACCATCAGGTATTTACCATCAGGTATCTGAGCCTTTGGATACGGTTCACCTCTGTGTGATACTGGATCCGGGGTTAAATTCGTCGGTTCTCCGGCGAGAGTTACTCTGAATAAATCAGAGTGCTCAAAACAAGCGTTTCTTTTTTTCTTGAATGTTTTTGCATGGAATAATGGAAAAGGACTTCGGTTCTTTACTGTTCGTTTCGGAATTGGATTAATGATTAAGAGGGATCAACGGGGGCATGCGTCTATTTATAAGCAATGAAATCTTTAAAAACTCAACAACTTTGACTTACCATTCAATCCATAATCTTCAGGTGAATTCGCGAAAAAGCGTTGGCTTCAGTTGAGAGATCGATACAGGAAAGAGCTCAAGGTTCACAAGAAAAGACAATCTTTAACAAAACTTTTTCCCAGGTAGCAATTCGACAAAACTTTTCCGTGCCTCAGCGTTGGTGTTACTTCTCACATCTCTCATGGCTTGATCCTTATCTAAAAGACAATTTGTGAGAGTTAAGAGAACAAACTTTTAAAATCCCAAAACATTAGAGCGATTCCGCTGTCCACTAGTGATCGTGCTAGAAGTGTTTCCGTTGATGGAACACTCTCCTCTCCATCCTCGCATTTCCCACAATCGATTTTATTCGACTCGTTTCTTAAACGAGAGCAACCAGAGCTAGATGATGGTTTGTTTTAAAGAATTTGTTGTAAATAAAAACTATGATAAGACTTAGGTTTCGACGAGCCACACTTTGACGATGAGTTCCTTCGAGTGAACGTTTCATCAGCATTGGAAAGAGTGCTCGCAGCCACTCTACCACAAAGCCATCAATCCACTCATTCATCGACCTCTTGCACTCAATCCACATCCAGAGACTCATCGCCAAAGGTTTGCGGCAAATTGTTTGTTTTCTAAAAAGTTTCCCAAACCTACGTTATGAGATTACAATTGCTATTACTACAGTTAATATAAATAGCTATGATTACGGTAGTCTGAGAGACGTTTTAGAGTTGTGTCTAGATCAAAAAAACCTTTCAGTCCGATCATTTCCACCTGGAAAACACTGAAGACGGTCCATCGATGCGGGTGAATGGCCGAGAAGTGAACGAGGGAAATTTGGGGGAAATCGGGAAACAACTTGTGAATGTAAATGAATCGAGACTATTAGAATGATCAAAATATTCAGTCAAATCCGTCAATAAACGATTGGGTGAACGACGAGGAGATGCTGTTTGCGAGGATTGTCGGGCTCAAGTTAAGAAAAATGAGTGCAAGGCAGAGGAAAAGGGTGAGATTTTGGGGTGAGCATGGAAAAGAGGGCAAAATTTATTTTTTTACAAGTTTTAAACTTTTTTCTGTGCCTAAAGCTACCGTATCCTGATTGCCGTTGGAAATGTGAGTCAAACACCCTAAAACTATCGTACTCTGATGGTCTTATAATCGATTCATTGCCTTTTTCCGAAGAACCAAGAATCGAAATTTTCCTCAAATCCATATTTCCAGGTCAAATCCGACATCATCACCCTGTTAGACGAGTCCGAAAACGAAGATGACGATGATCTACTCAAATTCACCCCGAAATCGATTCGATTAAGTTAATCTGTGCCATTGTATTTGTAAATAAAGTTACACTAGCTAGCTAAACTAGCTTCTCAGCCATTTATTTTTAACTCAGAGATCAAAAACATGTTACTTAACAATTGAACATGAATAATTTAAACAAAAAAATACCACAAAATAACCGACAACAATATTTGAATTATTTCCCCATTTAATCCGAATCCGAATCGCGACGTTTGCGTTGATTCGAGATTTTCGTTGGCTGATCACCGGTCGAACCGCCGTCATCTTCACTAAAATGGGATAAAATTGGCCCTTGTCCGTTTTCTTGGACTTTTGGAGAGTTTAAGACGATTTTGGATTTTGCAAATTGATTTCGTTGAAATTTTATTTAATAGTGAAAAACTAACTAACAGTAGAAAAAAATTGAACTCTAGTCCGTTAATGGGGATTTTCGGAGTTAACGGGGAGTTTTGCATGAGTAATCACACTTTGAAGGTCTATAACTTTGCTTAGGGATAATATCGTTGATAACTTTTTTAATAGTTTTAAAGAGAACACTTCCAGCTTTCTAATGATATAAAATAGAAGTTGATTGAACCAACTAATCTTGAGAAAATCAAAGCCAATTTAGTCAAAAGAGATCGGCTCCTCGTCTTTTGATTTGTATGGAAAATGATTCAATCTAGTCCAATCAAGCTTTGTATCATTCGAAAGCCTGAAGTGTCCTCCTTAAAACTATTAAAAAGTTAAGAAAGATATTATCTCTCGACAAAGTTGGCCTTCAAAGCTTGACTACTAATTTAAAGTCCCATTTAACGGATTAGAGCCGAGTTTCATCGCTGCATAGAGTACTTGATGTATGTCCCCAAATGTTCAACTGTCCAACTAAAGTAGCTTTTCGCTAGTAAATAGAATGTAAACGAAATCAATCTACAAAACACCCAAAAACGTCTTAAACTCTCCAAAAGTCCGGAAAAACGGACAAGAGCTTCTAATTCTTCTTCTTTTCCAAACTAAACTTGTGAACTTGGCCAAAATTCCCATTTCACAAACCTTTTCCTATGTGCCGCTTTCTCCAACAGTTTCTCCCTCAACGATTTCTCCTCATCACCCTCCGAGTCGGTGCTCTCATTCTTAGTCTAAATACCATCTAATTTCCAGAGTCAAAACCAATTCACAAACCTTTTTCTCGATCTTCTCCTCTTTCTTCTTTTTCCTTTCGGGGCTGCGATCGCGATCACGCTTGGATTCTTTCTAAAAACGATCTGTAACTTTAAATTCTTCCTCTTAAACTAACCCTCTTCGGTGATCGACTTCGACTCTTCTTTCTCTCCTTTTCCTTCTTTTCTTTGTCCCGTTTACGATCACTTCTTTCCTGAATAATATTTGATAAGTAAGGAAGAAACTGATCAAACCTTTGATCTGGAGCGGCTTCTCTTCCTCTCACGATCTTTGCTACGTGATCGGCTTCTCTTCCTGTCTCGGTCCTTGCTGCGAGATCGTCGTGAACGCCGGTCTCTATCCCTAAAGAATGAAATAAACTCAAATCTGGTACAAATTTGACTGTCAATGTCGCATCCGTAGGAAGCGGACTTGTTTAGAATCAAATTTGTCAACTTCTTTACCTTGATCGCGATCGTTTCCTCTCCCTTTCTCTTTCCCTATCACGGTCTCTCGATCTTGATCTCTTCGGTTCCCTTCTGCGGCTTCGGCTTGGGCTTCGACGATCGCGAGAACGGGAGCGTCGCCTGAAAAACATCATGTTTTAAAGGCCTCCTAGATCATCGAGCCAATAGATCAAAGCTTTAAACAAGTTCAACTCCTCACCTTGGTGGTGTCCTTGATCGTCTACTTGGTCGCTCTCTTTCCGCCTCCCTTCGTTTTGACGTCGACCGTGAGCGGGAACGGGCAGCTAAAATAGAAATTTCGTTTAATCAGCAGCTAAATTGCTCACCCATGTACGCCAATCCGGTTTCTTTTTTCCTAATTGCTTCCTCGATTTCTTCCACAGCTTGATCGGCCGTCTTTCGTTGCGGTTTGATGATGGCAACGCGAGAGTGTTGAATTCTGGAAGAAACAAGTTAAAAAATTAAAATTGTACGTAAAACTAGTCCAAATCTGACTCTAGAAGTCATCTATTTTATCCTTTACAAACTGATCCCTTATACTTTTCATTACAACTAACTAGAGGTTAAAACCCACTTCAGCAAACGTCCCTCATAGTCCAAAACCATGTTATTCTGCAGTGCCATGATTACAGAGGATTGAGCGGAGAACTCGACAAACGCATACGCACAGGGAAGGGTTTCCGGACCGGTTGTCATTCGGACGTACATGACCTGGAATTTGAAAACCATTATTAACCATATTTATCGTCTTGCCAAGTACTATTTGAGTATCCAAAAAGCAAACATGATATGATAAGTCTAAGATCCCCCTAGCCAGTCATAGTTTCACTTAGTCTCGATAAGTGCTTACGTACCCAAGAGGCCTTGATAAGTCAAATATCTCCACTTCCTCACCTCTCCAATGTTCATGTTGAAGAAATCTATGACATCCTGTCCGGTTACACCTTTTGGAAGATTTCCCACATAAACCGTGCGTCGAATCTCTTCAATCTAAAGCAAAAGTACAAATTACGCATATTAAACGTACTTTGTTGTATTCATGACTATTGGGTAGTTTTAGCCAGTATAATTTGCAAATTCAAGTCCCACTAACCTTTCCCATTTCAGTGTTTTCCGGCAATGGTGGATACGGCGGAAGTCCAAGTTGTTCAAGCATCGGATCAATTGTCACATTCTAGAAAATAACAGAATCAGTGTTTTATCCAATTGAAAACCATTTTGTGTCCATCCGAATCCGTTTCGATGCGATTGATGAGATGTGGTGGGAGATTTCGTTGCCCGGGCACCGCTGGTCCACCCGTACTCATCACCGTCTGCTCGTCGGGAATCGTATCTGAAGAAATGGATGATTAATGCGATGATCAAGATCTCCTAGTGAAAAATTGGGTATTTATTAATCTACTTAGGCCATAAATAGTACAAAAACAAGACAAATTATCTTAAAACGGAATGCGCAAGTATTAGCTCAATTTCACCAAAACGCCTCGCTCTCTCTTAAACCTATAAGAAATACGCAAACAAAGACTTTTTCGTAGTCTTAACTCAATCCGAACCAGTTTTTTTTTGTATTTTAGCTGTAAATGAGCAGGAAGTACATAGAAAACCGCACAAAAAGGAAAAGCGCAAGTGTTAACCCATTAAAATTCGTCAGATTCATCTAATTTCCCCTTAAAACTCTCTGAAAGACTTAAACAAAGACTTTTTCCGTATCTTAACCTGTTTTAAAATCTTGTAGACTCTTAACAACAATATGCTAACAATCGGCTAGTCTTGCTTATCAATTCGATAAGATTCCTTATAAAACACTTATCGATATCGATATTGTTAATAATTTCGCCACCAAATTAAAAGTATTCAGCCCCGGGAATGTCGATATCGATAGTTCGAATTTATCGAATTCAACAAGTCTCAACTCACTTTCAATCGATGGAACGCAGACCAGCGCCCGATCGATGAGCACAGTGTTCGTGAGATGCTGGCCCAATTCGACGGCTTTCTCGTCGTCAAATTTGATGAAGGCGAATTTTTGCATTGTCGTTGACGCCATATTTTGATCGGTTGGGTAGAGCTGGAAACAAAATTATAGAAAGAAAACAACGTCTACACTTAAATTTAAACTATAGATTGATATTGTAATAATATTTCAGTCTACGGGATGTTTTATACCGCTAAAAATCCAAACAGTTGTCATTTTATAGGATTTTAACTCAAAAAGCTTGTTGTTTTAGTCCTAGAAAGACTCAAAAAGTTTCAATTTGCAAGCTTAATGATGTCTTATAACGTCAAAAGCCGATAAGATAGTTTTTTATAGGCTTTTAGCTGAAAAATTCGTGTTCTAGCCATGCAATTGCTCAAAAAGCTTCTTTTTTAACAAAACTATACTAAACGTCAAATTTGCGTTGCTAGATTCATTAGAAACAATTTTATAACCAATTCTACGTGATAATTTAAGCATTTGACCTTATTCTATTGAACAACCTAGCTTTTTACCAAACTTTTTACCAAACCAAACTGTTAAGCAATTTACCACTCAACAAACACATTGTACAATCATTTAACGTTCAAAATGTTTTTATTGAGTGATAAATTGCTTAGCGGCTTGGCAAAAAGCTAGTTTTGTTTATTTGTTTGTTGTTTAACGTTCAAAATCCCTGTAAAATGTATTTTAAATTTAAGCTAAAACAAATAACCCACCTTTAGCTCCTGTATCCGCCCAAGGTAAGTGAAGAGTTGATTGACTTGATCCTTCGTCGCTTGCGGCGAAATGTTTGACACCTGGAGCACGCGAAACGATTGCTCCGTGGTGCCCATTTCGTGTCTGAAAGCAAAAAATTGAACCGTTTCGATGAAAAAATAAGCAAAAACACAAATTTTCCTTGTAAAAAAACTAGAAAAACAAGGTAAATCTATAGATTTTTGACAAAATTTCACGGAAAACAACGATTTCCCGTTAAGCTACAGGGTTTTAACAAAATTTTACTGGATTTTCCGTAAAAACGCAACAAATCACGTAAAGCTACTCGTTTTTAACAGAAATTTTACAAAATTTACGCAAAAACAGTTAAAATATCGCATGTAAAGCCTTTTATGGACGGGATAACGCAAAACAACAGCAAACCATGGTTTTGTTTGCTTTACCGCAATAAATCTAGTGGATACTAATTTTTAGGAAAAATCCAGTACAGAACATAGAAAACAATCAATTCGAACCATTTTTGAAAGTTAAACTTCGAAATTGGTCGATCTATTTTATACGGGCTTTCTCTGCTTTCCCCACTTCTTTGTGAAAAGATTGGCTACGGTGGAAAGTGGGCAAGAGCGCGTTTTAAGAAAGAGCAGGTAGACTAATTTCCACCATTTTATTTGCGCAACAGGGTCATTTGCGCAAGTAGTTTGCGCCACTTTTCATTTACACAACAAAGTCATTTGCGCAACTTTAACACTGTAATAAGCACTCGAGCTTTTTTTATCATTATTTTCATTATTTTTTTGTTTTTTTCTTAAAAACCATTGTTAACTCATTTTTTTACAGAGGTTACAGACAAATTTTACAGACAATCATCGTCTGGTTATCATGTGAACATGCCCTAACCAAGGTAAATTGCGAGTTCTTTTATACATCAGTAAACTTAAATGCTTTTCACGCTTAAACGCGGTTAAATTGTTTTAAATTGCTCAGGCTAGAAAACTGTATTGGCTCGATAAAGGCAACTTTTTACTGCTATTTCTAATGGTCGCTTGCCCGGTTGCGATTTTGTACAAATCTTTCTCAACTTTTGGCTTATATTAAGAAAGTTTGATTGTTATTGTTGTCTTAAATTTCATTGTTATCGGTTGCACTGTTTTTGTTAAAGCAAGAAAATATTGGATTGGGGAGAATGAGTCGGCGCCGAAAATGAAAAAAATGTCTAAAACTTCTATTCGACTTCGTCAAATAATATGCGTTTGATATGAGTAGAATGGTTAACTAATTCTCTACAAAATCACATTTAAAAGAAAATTCAAACAGCGCCTCCGCTCAAGAAAAAGCCATTTTTTCACAAAAACTACAAACTGTGATCTAGAAAAAACCATTGGTGAGATCTTCCTGCAAATTTGGCAACTTAAGTAATTCAATGTGCTCTATCTTTTTTATATAAACACCAAAGAAGGTTTATGTGAAAGAAACTGTTCAAATGATGAGTCGGACTCTTTGCCATTTTAACCAGCTGCGTTTGCAAGTTCATAAACTCCACGAAAGAAAAGCTTTGTGGAATCTCTCAAAAGTCATTTTGTAGAGAAATAGTGGATCCTTTTGATGAAACCAAACGTATGTTTAAAGAAGGCTTTATGTGTGCAAAAAGTCCCTTTAAAGTTTGGCGCCGACTCATTCTCCCCAACCCAATAGTTTACTAATGGTAACGCAAAACTTTACTGCTTTCTTAGAGCTAATAACCATAATACTATGGTTATTAGCTCTAAGAAAGGACTAATTTGGATAAATATTAGAAGATTGCGTAAAAAATTGAAAGAAAATAAAAAAAACAATATAAAAAGCTCAAGCAATGAAAATAATGATAAAAACTCGAGTGCTTACTACTGTTAAAGTTGCGAAAATTAACCTACCCTCATTTATGGGATCTCATAAAACTTGAGTAAACTGATTATAAGCACAAGGATACTAGAATACCCTAATATGGGTACTCTACGCAAGCAGTACAGTAGTTTAAGTGTTATATATCATTAATAGTGTAATCTTCATGTAAACTGAACAGTCAATTTGTCTGGCATGTGTCAGATGGTGTGCGTTTACGAGGCACAACAGAGAACACGGAGGAGAACAACAACACGATCCTTATCGATTCCTTACAGTACTCTTTACAATATCCTTACCCTAAATCTTTAAACTATCCTTACAGCACCCTTCCTTGCAGTTACAGTATATCTTACAGCACTCTTCCCCTCGTTACAGTACTCCCTATAGTAATAGTAATTAGACATGGGCGATGGGATGGGACGGGACGGGATGGGGATAAGATGAGCTTTTCCGTCCTATCCCATCCCATCACGTCCCACGCCTAAATCTAGTACATAATACTGGTATATGACTAGTATACATACAGTACCGTTCAAAATTATATCCCCTCTAAAAGTATCCCTTCTTTGAAGGCATCATTAGTACGGATCGTAGTCATGAATATGATATCTGGCATATGAAAATTACTTTTTACTTTTCAAAACATAGCCTATAGCCAGTTTGCTTCCAGTTTTCCCCTTAGTGATCACTTATCACCAAAAACGAACAAGCCAGCAAAGGGATATTGTGTAGTTTGTCCATCTTTTCCACTTTTCCAGCCTCTACCCCCCGTCTTTTGTCTCAACTGTCTATTCCTTTACAGATCAAACCTATACTTTATAGAAGAACATTTGATCTCTATCTCTACACCAATATGCCCTCCTTATGGACGTTTGCTCTCGTTCTTCCATTTCTCCTCCTCTCCATCCCATTTCTACAAGTCATCCAGTATCGATTCTTTTCCAAACGATTACCAATTTTCATCGATGGATATAGTGAGGAGAATCTCGATGAAGTTAGAGAGGCTTTTGCGTACGTTTAGGAAGAGATTTTTCTGATTAAAGTTCGATTCAACTACCAGTAATAGCTGGAAGTACTGAATTGCCTGGGTAGGGCCAAGTTAGCCTCATAGTCCGTTCTAGCTGCTCCAGCCTATCCCTGGCTCAACTCCAAGTCAGGGCTAGTACAAGATATCAGAACAAAGTCTTGGTCTAAGTCTGATTTGAGGCAAGAGCTGGCTTTGATCTGTCCTGACCCGTGCCAACTTCTGTACCGATATCAAGCGAAAATAACGATTAGTTCTAGGCTCCAGAGCTCTTGCAAAAAAAGAAATACAATTCCTAGGTTAAACTGTCTGGGTAAGCTGGTCAATGGCCGTCAGTCAGGACTTTCTGTAAGTGCTAAGATGCTTGGGTCAACTTTCCTCAAAAAGTCAGGCTGACCTCATCTCATTAGCTCCAGCCAAATCTGGAATAACAGTGGGCAGGCTTTAAGTCAGATCTAGTACTAAAATAGCCATCAATTTTTAGGAAAAACTTTGAAGTGGGCTGGGAAAGAGAGGGCGCGTCGTTGGTCGTTTACAAAGAGGGGAAAAAGGTGGTGGATTTATGGGGTGGATACGCGGATGCGGCGTCGAACAGGAAATGGAACCAGGTGATAGATTTGAATATCCAGCTTGGTCACACTATCGAGTACTGTACTGTCTTGTGAAGATCTGTACTAGACGAGACTTGTTTAACGGTGATGGGTCATATTGTAGCATGTTTAGTCAAGGCACAAGACATGCATAAAAACAAGTATTCAACTTTAGGACACACTGACCGTCGTCTTCTCCACAACAAAGGCAGCGGCCGCGATTTGTGTGGCAATGCTAGTGGAGCGGAAGAAATTGGAGTAAAGAGAATTTCAGAAAAAAAAAAGATTGAAGATTTAGTTTTGATGCTCCGGTGGCTAAATACTGGCCAGAGTTCGCAAAAAATGGGAAAGAGGCGATCACTGTGCAACAATTGATCAGTCATCAGGTGAGAAAGGGTACTGTAACCTGTTGCTGTACTGGGTTACTGTAGAAATACTGTAGCAGGCTAGTGGGCACTGTTTTGGCACTAGATGCGCTTATTGTAGCATATTTATTGTATGCTATTTCTTTAAGACACCGTTCTGAATCGGGGGTACTTAGGGTTACTGTACTTGCTGGGATACTGTACCAATGTGGCTAGTACTGTAGTCCATTACTGGATTAGATACTGTAGTAAATGTCGATTATATTAGCTGTAAGTACTGTAGTACTTTAATTTATTATTTCATTGTTCTGAAGGCAATTTTTTTCAAGCCTGAAGTTGACTTCTGGTTTTAGATTTATCGTAAACCTTTACCTTAAAAATGATCAAGCTTAAGGAGACTAGGAGACTGTACTGGACTTTACTAGCCTACTGTAGCACTGAATATGAGTACTGTAGTCGATTTTTTTGTGTACTGTAACTGTACCAGTTTCTAAAACCGATTTCCAGTCAGGTCTTGCCTATTTCGATGCAGTGATCACTGAAGAGATGGCTTTGAATCACACATTGATGAGGAAAGTCATCGAGGAGGAAAAACCAAAATGGAAACCGGGCACAGCAGTCGGATATCAAGCATTCACGTGGGTTGACCACATTTCGGGACACTGTACGGACTGCTGTAAAGAGTACTATAAAGACTAAAGGTACTGTAGGAGTACTGTAGGGAAGGTAAGGGTACGTCGAAGAGTCTATTGGGGCACTGTAAAAAGTGGTACTGTACGGGCTAGAGCATTATAGGTACTGTAGGAGTATTGTAAGGAGGGCTGTGAGACTGTGGAGTACTGTACCGCGAATCGGGATGATACAAACAAACTATGTATGAGAATAAATGGCCCTAGGAGTGCTGTAACCTGAGCCAAGTCACTCTAAAGAATTACAGATCCGGTTGGCTAATCGATCAGCTCATTCGAAGTGTTGAGCCACGAGGAGTCGGACAGTTCTTCCGGGAGGAGATCGCTCAGAAATACGGTAATCGTTAATCTTTGGGATTTCGGGGTACTGTAAATTCCCATTCAGAAATCGATTTGCACATCGGTCTACCGATGGAGGAATATTATCGAGTGGCGAAGATAACGACGCCGACAATGGGCGAAAGATTGGATGAGGTACAATTCGGCTCTATACTGATAAGAAGATCTTTTCAAAATATTGCCGTTTCCCAGATTAATTCCCGATTTGAATATGTCTTGAGAATCTAATGTCAAAGTCCAATTGAATCTATCATTAGACCTCAATCTCATTAGACCACAATTCCTGGACTCACAAAAGAACTGGGGAACAGCTACGATACTTTGAAAAGACCCCGTCAGTATAGAGTCATAGATCCATTTCAAAACAAGGTTCAGGTGGTCGACGATTATCGAGTGATACGATACGCGAAATTTTTCTTGGAGTTGATGGACAAGGTTCGTGAAAAAGAAAGGGATTCAGCCAGAAGGCTCAAAGTACAGCCCTCCTTTCACGAAGAGATTGTAAATACACGCCATCTGGCACACAAGTGAAAATAGGTTTTGCATACTGTAAAGCCCATGGTACTTTGTGCTCTTACACGCAAGCCAGCGATCCATAACCAGTCATGTTTGAGCTTACTGCCTAGCTGAACTCAGGGCAGCTCTAGAACCATGTCTGGTCCACAATAGTTCAAAAACTTTGACCTGATTGTGCCAGAAGGCGTACGTTTCCAAGAGCACAGTACGCAGCGACTTAAGCAGAGTCTTGAGTAGAGTTTGTTTAGTCTTCGCCGATCAGCCGCACTATTGGCAACCCGTCCTGGCTGGAAGCTATTGATCGATGCACATTTCACAACCCAGAATATTTGCGTATGGAACAAGCTGCCTCGCTGGGAGTTGGCAATGCTAGAGCTTTAGCGAAACTGTTTGATTTGGTAATTTTTGCTAAACTGCTACAAAGCTACAGTACTTTTAAAGGATTTTTTATAAAATTGAATCCATTGCAGGCTTTCCACGGTGGTTTACTCTCAAATGAAATGGTGAAACGTTTAAAAGAGCCAATCATTCACGATTTCGATTTCATCTTTCAAGAACAAATACCCCGCGGACATGGGTTATTCTATTTTGATATTGAGGTAAAGAGTTTACTTGTTTTTAGTTACAATATTAAAGCTATTGTAGCTATTATAGTACTATGATAATAGCTACAATAGTACTAATCCGTTACCTTAGGTTTAGCAATAAAATTTTGGACTCTTTTAGTCGATCACCTACCGTAAATACTGTAATAGTACCCCACCGCCCATAATGACGGTGCGGAGTGTTTCGTAGTCTAGCTTTGAACGAGTTTTTCTCGACACTGGTTTATGCTACAATGCTCGTTTAGGTATCGAAAAATAGCCCTGAATTTCAGCTTTTTTTTGATACCTAAGCGAGCATTGTAGCATAAACCAGTGTCGAGAAAAACTCGTTCAAAACTAGACTACGCAACACTCCGCACCGTCATTATGGGCGGTGGGGTACTATTACAGTATTAACGGTAAAAATTAAATGCCCTTTTCAGGGAATTCACGCTTTCGGACATTCTGGACATGGCTGTCAACAAGTGCAATATGATCCGGTGAACAAGGTTGAACAAGATATAAAGATATCAAAGCTTAAACATCACTCCTTTCAGCTATCTTTTGCCTACACGTCAAATGGACTGAAAATGGGTCTCGCGCAATATTGTCGCACACTCGTTCGACTACAGAAAGCCGTCTACAAAGCGATGAAGCTAAAGGAATTTTAGATTTATTTCTAATAAAGTTTATTTGAAGCAAAAGCACAGTCTTTTTTTTTAGATGTACTGTAGCTAGGGCACGAAAAAGAATGGTGGATAGCTACCGGAATTCGTCCTACAGTAAACAAGCCTGTAGCTTTCGTAGTACTGTAGCTTTTGTAGTACTGTAGCTTTTGCTGGGAAACACATTTTTAAAGCTCAAAATCGAATCAGATGCAAGAATATAGAGTTTTCCAAAAAGAGTACGGTAGCAAAAGTGTAATTTCCTTTAATTTCTCAAACTCGCTTCAATTCTAGCGCTAATGGAATTCACAGGAGAACGTAAAATCAGAAATCAAACAAATCGAACAAAATATTAATATTTCCCTATTTTCCCGTGCAATTCCCATTATCAAATAGAGTTGAATTCAATTTTTGCATTTTTTTGAAACCGGGTAACACGGCATCCACGGATCGGTCTTGTTTGCTAAGTGGCTTGGATTTTCCTGTACTGAATCCTTGAAGCAAACTGTATTTGATATCATCTGAAAGTCTGAAATGTCCTCTATTCAACGATATGAGTAGTTAAGAATGATATTATCTCCGGGCAAAGTTATGGGCCTTCAAAGCAGGGCACTCATTCAAAATACCCGGCTTTCCGGCCAAGAGCCGAGGCAAACGCCCTACAAAGCTGTACCCAGGGTTTTTCCAGACTTTGTAAACTTATTGTTAGACCAGGTTTAAGCTCAGGCCCGGTTAGAAGTCAGCCTTTAGACCTGGATGGCATGGCTTTAGACCTGGATTTGCTGGGCCTGTTCGATAAGTTAGAGCTATGAAAAGCGAAATAGCATCTGCTCACACTTGATATTTCAGAAAACTATTTTACTGATATCTATACTTTCAGAGTCCCCTGTTCAGAGTTCAGAGTGTCCCCCTTGCCCGCTCAAATGAATATCTTCTAGTTTCGTGGGGATTTTTAAACAAAAGGGATAGCTACGAGAAATCTACGCAGAAAAAGGGGCGGAGTTTCGTAGCTTTCGTAGCTGCCGCATTTGCTTGAATTTTCCGACAAAATTAAACGAAATTCAACTAGAGCATAGGGGGGGGGGCACTCTGAAAGTATATTTAGATCTAAATTGGGCTAATTGAATCGAAATTGAAGGCTGAGATCACGATAGTTTGTCTAAAATACAGTGCCTTTCATAAAATGCATCAAACTCTTGGATTTAAAGAATTGAAATTGATAATGATCTTGACCGATGTTGATAATTGGTACAGAATTCCAAGAGATTTGAGTCACAAAAGCTTCCCTTTCATCACCATCTTCCATTCTAAATCATGCCTTTTTGATCGTAGCCAACGCTGAGTCAAAGATTTAGCCAATCTTGAAAAAGAGAAAAACCCAAAACGACATCAAAATTTCAGAAAAATCGAGATTTTTTTGGTAATTCTAATGATTTCTTTAATTTTACAGTTTAAAAATGTTTGAATATTGGATTTTTTTTAAATTAATGAAGCTTGAAGGCTTTAGATTTTGATTCAAAAAAAATTGACATAGATAGATCACCAAAAAATGTGACTATTTTTCTATTTTGCACCAACTTTTGAGATAAGTCTACATGTCTATTTTCTAGGTACATGGCCGTTCAGCAAGTGTTCGTCATCTCTCGTGCCGGATCACTGATCTACGAGTGGTCACAGGGATTCGAGCAAACGAATGGTGGAGCTGAAGTCGAGCGATCATTCGAATGGCCACTGTCGATTCAAATGGAATCACTCGACGGGAAAGCGGTCGTTGTGTGGAGTGGTGGACGAGAGGGGATACCTAATCGATATTCAGGTAGACTTTACGTGTCTAATAGATTTGGTTATGGGTAATGATCAATCGATCATTTTTTTTATTGAGAGAGTCATTCCTAAAGTTGAGGTAAAAGCTTGGAATGGTATTAGTTCAAAGTTAGTGCATCCACTTGCAACAAAAAGCGTAAATAGTTTGGGCTATAAACGGCACTAGTTAAAAAATCCAACTTTAGACTTGTTTATTGAGCTTATATTGGCAATTATCGTTATTGCTAGCCTTATTGATTGTTCAATAAGCAGCCTAACAGGGTAATAGTATCTAAAACCAGGATAAAGCCTTTATCTAAAGTTTTAAAGGTAATAGTTGAGCAAATTCTTTCGAAATTAACAGATTCAGTCACTTCTTACATAACTCAAGCTATTTATTAGATTTATTAGACTTTATTAGACTTTATTTCACATCACTACATGTTACAAAGAGATTTAATCGACTAGTATTAGCCATAAAACTAAAATAAAACCTTTCTTGGGCTGTAAAGTCGAAAATCTTTATCCAAAAGTTCTGTAGGCTTTAAAACGTTTATTTCCTCTTATTCGACTATGTCTTTTCATTTTAGTGATCACGGTGAATGGCTGCCCCGTCTCCGGAACCCACTTTCATCACATGGAGCAACGACACAACGTGTTCGAGTACCTGTCGAGACCCGAGAATTTCCCGCTTCGCCTCGCTTTCTCACCGCCATCCATCTCAACGAACGAGAAAATCATTCTATCGTCGACGTTTCACTCGCTTTTCACGATCGCCGTCCAGCTGAGCCCGGTCGCGAATAGTTCAGGCATCGAAGTGCTGGAAACATCACAATTCCGGCTGCACTGTCTACAATCCAGAACCGGCGTGAAATTTGTTGTCGTCACGTCGATCGCCGGGAACTCGCAAATCAGCCAATTTCTCAACAAGTTATACGAGCTGTACGCGGATTTTGCGCTCAAGAATCCGTTCTACTCGATCGACATGCCGATTCGGTGTCAGAAATTCGACGATGGGCTGAAAGCGCTTTTGGATCGGACAGGAAAGCCGTCTGCCGTCACTGTATAATTTTTTTGCGGGCATAATGTTTGTGATTTTCGATGTATATTTATTTGTTTTCCATTTGATACGGGTTTCCTTATCGATAAATTTTTGAATTTTAGGCGGTCGATGAATCGGGAGCAACTTCTGCACGCCCTTCAGGCGACGACCAGCTCGACCGAGTCGAAAGAAGCCGGAAATTACCTTGATGGGGTGGGTTTAGCGATGGTTTTGGTCTTTAATAAACTAAACTACTGAAGCAAACTTTCTTTTTAGTGCACTCGAGTGATCGGTTTCCCGTCGGAGCTGCTGAAGGTGGTTGTTGACGGAAGTGTGCCCGACACCGTGAGGCAAGCGGCCGTCATCTACTTCAAGAACACATTGCTCAAGCATTGGGAGGTGAGAAAATTTGGAATTTTTAAATTTATTTTCTTCCTAGAAAGACGAGGAGGACACCGAGAAGGAGAACAACGATTTCTGCATCGCTGATCAAGACAAATTCTTTATTCGTGAGAATATCGTCGATGCGGTTTGTGTGGCGCCGGAGATGGCCAGGTTTTTAGCCAAAGTTTGATTCATTTAAATCTTATCTAGGATTCATTTGTGCACAGCCGTTCAAACGATCGTTCGCTTGGATTATCCGGATAAATGGCCGAATTTGGTCGCAAAGGTAAGGCTTGGTATCGTTTTAAAGGTTCATTGTTTTAGATCACTCAACTCTTGTCGGCTACGGATGCCAATCAATGGCTTGGCGCCTTTCTCGTCATCTACAAAGTTTCGAAGGTCTATGAGTGAGTTTAAATAATTAAGCTCTTTAAAGCATTCTAGTCACTTGTTTTTTAGATATAGACGTGCCAAGGAACGCGGTCCGCTCGTCGAGGCGATGCAGCACATTTTGCCGATCGTCTATCAGCACTTCATCCATTTGCTTCCAAACCCGTCCCAGGTTTTTGCTTGAATTAACTAATTTTTTATAACTCTTCAGGAATCCGTCCTACTGCAAAAGATCATTTTGAAAATTTTCTTTGCGCTTATTCAGGTAAAACACTTTTCTAGCATTGTTATTTGGATCCTTTAGTTCTCACTCAATATGGACATGTTACCAGTGGAGGTGTTGGATCAATGGTTGGAGGCTATAAAAGAGGTAAAAGGTTGAATTGTGCCAGTAAATTTTTGAGTTCAGATCGTTGTGAGACCAGTGCCTGCCGAAGCTGCGACAGTCGATGACAAGGATGAGGCGGCCCAGATGATCTGGTGGAAAGCCAAAAAATGGGCGTGCAAGATCTTGGAACGAGTTTTTGATAGGTGAATTTTCAATCGCTAATATTTTACCATTGAAAACTTACAGATATGGAGCTCCGGGCCAGGTCGATAAGGGTTACGCCGAATTCGCGAATCATTTCATCGCGAAATTCTCGATCCCATGCGTTGAGGCTTTTTTGAGCCTCCTGGAGCAGAAACGACAGGTCTGATTAAAAGATTTGCCTTTCCAATGACATTTTAGGGTCACCTGGTCACGGATCGAGTTCTCCACTTGAGCATCAGCTTCCTCAACACGGCCGTCTCGCATTCGGTCACTTGGAAAGTGATCAAGCCACATATGCTGGTGGGTTTTAAGGGGAAATATTAGGTTGGTGAATAAGTCATTTTATTCGTTTTCACACTTACGTTGAAAAATAGCAAATTCATCAATTACCCTATGGTTTGCTCTAAATAAAAAGTGTCTATTGTTCGATTTCCCATCTTTTTAAGTCAATTTCGGTTCACTTTCAAGCAAATTCGGGAGTGAAGACACGTGTTTTTCGAAAAATCTATTAAAATCTCTACGAAGAAATTGGCTAAATCAATTTGAAAATTTGGCTATATACCTAACTTTTTATACTCTACCTTTCATCTATTGATACCAAGATAGGTTCCCTTAGCTAAAAGGTCGAAACCGCATCATCAATCCGTCGCCCGTTTTGACTATCCGACTTCACGCTCCCAAAAGAAAATCCAAAAATATGGCATTTTAAACCCGTTTTAATGTTATTTTGCAGAAAAATAATTGGCCTTTTTAATGAAACAAACCGTAGTTCAATTGATGCATTTTTTGGTTTTAAACTTAAGTACGAAAAGGAACGAAAAGACTTGCTCACCAACTTGACTTGTCCATCAATCAAGTAGATCACAAAAATTCACAAACTTCACAACATTTAAACAACATTTAGCGTAAAAGTTCCAAGCTTTCGTTTAGGACGTTGTAAAACTCGTGCTTTTCCCGTTGATGTGCCATTCGGATGAAGACGAGGAATTATGGGTGGACGATGTGCAAGAATACATTCGATTTAAATTTGGTTTGTTAGCAATCTTGTGACCATTATAAACTTCCTTTAGACATTTTTGAGGATCTACACAATCCCACCTATGCAGCCGGCTCGCTATTGACGGCGATTAGCAAACGGAAAGACACAATGCAGCCATTGCTTCAATTCATTATACAGGTTTTAATTGAAAGCTTATTTTTTAATGCTTTTTGCAGGCTCTCACCGATTCCCACGATGCTCGCCAGGTTGATGGAGCTTTGCATATGGTTTGTTTTGAAATTTTGCACCAGTTTATGCTTTTCCAGGTTGGTGAACTTGCGAATCAACTCTGCAAGAGTAAGAAGTACAAGAAAGATGTTGAGAAATTGCTCGAAGCACATGTTACGGGCCGACTCTTGGCTCAGGAAAGGTAAGTATTGGAATTAGAGGCAGCTCGAGGGCTCAACAACTCGATCCCATTTTGCAGATTTGTTCGGGCTCGGGCGGCTTGGTGTGTGAAAGCGTTCTCGAATGCGACTTTCCATCATAAGAACTACTTGTCAAAGGTTTATTCATGGCTCTTTATCAAAACAATGACTTTAGATTGTTCAAAACATTGCTCAAGTGATCGCGCAAGACAACGAGGAGCTGCCGGTTAAGGTGTGATCTGTTAAAATGCCTTTTTTAGTTTGTTTTAGGTCGAAGCTGCCTTGGCTCTACAATATTTACTCAATGATCAGGGTGAAACAGGTGTTTCGGCGTTGATTCCGACCATTTTACCGGTAAATTTTAGTTCAAACAATGCTCCGCCCGATGATCAAAGATATCATTCCGAAAGTGCTCGAACTGGTCGCTAAAACACAGGTAACTTTGCTTCAATAATCAAGTTTACTTTGTTTTTAGATCGAGGACGTTTGTGGGGTGATGGATCAATTGATCGAGGATTATATGGATGAAGTGATTCCGATTGCCACAAAGCTTTCCGAGACTTTGGTACGAACTTAAAACCGATAATCTCTAAATTTGTGTTTAAAGCTGTCTAATCTATTTTCTTTAGAGCAACATGTTCATCGAGATCATCACCCAGGAGGAGATTGCCGACGATCGAACCCCCACGTTGATGAGTGTCATTTCAACACTGACAAACATCCTTGATGTGGTAAGTGACCACTTTATACTGCCTTTTGACTTAAAGGCATAACAAGGCCAAAATTTGAAAGAACAGCAGTTTTTTAGGTCGAAGAACACGCGGACATCATGCGACAAGTTGAACAACACGTGCTCCGAATCATCAAACTCGTCTTCGAGAGTGAAATGGCCGGTTAGTGGACTGGTTTCAGCTCTAGGAAAATCAATTTCCAGATTACTATGATGATATCTTGCTGCTCATTCAGTCGTTGATTAATAGGTAAAGTTATTGTTATTTCTTCGACTAAAATTTGTATTATTCAGCTACGTTTCTGTGGATATGTGGGCCATCTACTTTGAAGTGTACAAGATTTTCAAGAGTGGCAACAATTCACTTGTGCTTTTCACTGGTTTGCCAAATTTCTCCTAAAACTGCTACTTTCTCGTTTAGATATCATGCCGGTGTTGCATCAATATTTGGCGACGGACACTGACGGCTTTTTGGCTCGACCCGAGCGATTGGCTTGTTGCTATGAGATGTGCGAACTGGTGCTTAGAGTGGGTTCTTATACTTTTGACAAGTAAAAATCTCATTTAGGACAAAGATCAAGGTGACGATAATCAAGTGCATGCTGCTAAAATGCTTGAGTGCCTCTTGTTACAGTGTCCTGGTGGGTTTTTAAGGATAGGCTGAATCTTTTGTATTTTTGCCTACTATAGTTGGATTTACAGTAACAATAGCTTTCAAAATTTCTAATCGAAGTCATATTTTAGGGGTGATCAACTCGGCTCTACCGCAAATCATCGTGTTGACCCTACAACGACTGAGCGAACCATTTGAGGGACTCACCGAGTTGAAGCCGCTACTTGTTGTGGTGAGCAGTTGAAGGAGCCATCAAAATTCTATGCTTTAGGTCCTCATTGCGGCCGTTTACACAAACGCTGAGATGGCGATTCAAACGCTGCGACAAGTGGCGCCACATCATCCAAATCCGCTTGACTATTTGACGGAAGAGCTGGTGAGCGCCGGAGTCAGGAAGTTTGAATAATTCTATTTCTTTCCAGATCTCGCTCACCACGAAATGGGAGGGTATCCACAATCGGAAGATGGTCATCTTCTGCTGGTGCACTCTTTTGCGACTCCCCGCTCAACTTCGACCCACCATCATCTCGTATCAACCGGTTAAGGTAATGCTTTTCTTGAAAGCTGGCAATGAATTTGAATTCAGGTCATTGAATCGTGTGTGACTGTGTTTGAGGGATTGGAACGATCGATGAAAGCACAAGCCGAGGGAGCCAAATTGGAAGACGAGGACAGCGAGGAGGATAGTGGTGAGTTTTTAGAAAAAAAAGGTTCTCTCATTTATTGACTTTTCTAGATGATGACGAGGAGAACCTCCCAAAAAAAGGCAAAAAGAAAGGCTCGTCGGCGCGAAACAAACACCGAAACATGGACCAAGACCTCGGCGATTCGGAAGATGAAATTGACGAAGTTAGAGCTGACTTTCATGAGATACCAAAAAATACTCAAACATTTTGATTTGGAAATTTCAGGGAACCCTACAGTACTTGCAATCGCTCGCTAAACAGCACAAAACAGGTGAAGACGGAGAAGATGACGAGGACTCGGGTGATGATTCGGACGGGGAAGAGTTCGAGCTGGACGAAACGGAGTCTGAGGTTTGTTTGATAGCTCGTTTTTTTTATGAATCTCTTCTAGGCCTTTGTCACTCCATTAGATGATGAAGAGACAGCTCCCGATCCGTTTGTGATGTTCAAGAAGACGATGGAAGGTTGAAACTTTTGATTTCTTCTAAAAGCAATTTCATCTAGAGTTTGAACGCGTCGAGCCGGCTCTTTTCAATCAAATGGTTAGCCCATTGGACGAGAAGGGACAAGAAGCACTCCGCAAATTGATCACGGTTGGGATTTAAAAGGAGTAGAGTGTATAGAACAACATACTCAGAAGCTAACTAGGCAAGGCCTCTGGCTTCTGGCAGTCAAACCTTCAGCAAAACACCCTTTAGTCATGGAATTTAGTTTGGACCGTTCCAAACCAAGTATATTGGATGCATAAAATCCCTGCTTGTTACGTAAATTCTTGATGTTTACCTCCAAATAGTCATTACTAGAATGGAAATCGACATAAAAAAACCATGCTTATTACACAAAATTCTTGATCCTGGGTCTAAAAGCAACAATCATATGTTTTTTAATAGACTATCAATGCTAAATTTCCATCTTTAGACCTGTGCCCAACACGCTCAACACGAGGAGTCAAAGAAAGTCGAGCAAGCTGGCGGCTACGAGTTCGGAAAAACCGAGGTGCCGACCGCGTTCAATTTCATCAACTAAACGGACATTTGGATTTTTGAGAGTGATTTTTTGGTTTCCCCACATTGCTCAGTTGTTTTTAGGCTTTATTTGGGTCATCACTGTTTCTTGTTACTGTTTGCCCTTCTAGATTAGCCGATTTATCCATTTTTCTCTCTAGTCGCTAAAGTCTCTTTAAATCAATCCATATTGTGTATTTTCACTTTTTCCATTTTGTGTGAAACCCTGTGAGTTTGTTATGTTAAAAGCCACATTCTTCTTATTCTGTCTTCATTTTTGATATGTTAAAGCTGATATTGTTCTCTTTTCTCTTCAATTTTTCCAGCAGAGTTTACATTGTTATCCGGATTGCCTTGTTTTTGTTGTTCTCTGGACATCGTTTTTACTCGAAATCCTTTCAATTTCTGTTATTTCTTTTGATTTGATTGGATATTGTTGGTATCAACAAAGTTTTATTAAAAATTTAACAAATTATGGATGGTGGACGTTGCCCAATTCGTTTTGGACCAAGTTTGAGCTTAAAATATAACTCTTTAGTCGGTTTAGTTGCCCAATTTGTTTCTTGTACTCAGTTTGAGCTTGAAATCTCGTTCAATAGCACTTTCCATTTGATTTACTTATCCAACTTGTCATTTGGACCGACTCCAGCTTAACATTGCTTCATTTCGATGGGTAAAAGTATTCAATTGTGGAAGCTGAATAACCTTTTATTCTCCTTTTACTTCGTTAACTGAATAACTTTTCATTTGACCCTTAATCCGCTTCTCACCTTCCCCCGGGTCCTCCAACGATTTCCCGGCAACGATCCCTATTCTCGGTTCTAGATTTCCCTTTTGCATCACTTTTGACATTTTCATCCGAGTAATGTTGCCAAAAGGGCCTTCTTTAGGTTAAAGATGTTCTTGATAGAATGTGATTGTTGTCATTTGATGACAATGTTAAGCTTGTGAAATTTCCTTGCGGATTGTAGCTTTTGGCCTTCCTGCGGATCTTTGAAATACTAAAAGCTTAACTCTTGCATAAATTTTTGCCTTCCAGCAACTAATTTTGTTCTTTTTGTCTCTTTGATTTTCTTTACCGTTTTACACTATCTTTTCTTTTCAGAATGGCTGCAAACCAGGGCCAAGAGGCGATGCGACGTATCCTGCAAAACTCGCGAGGAGCCGGATTGGGAATCGGATTTCTGGCTGCTGCCGGAGCGGCCGCCTATGGAATCTCCCAATCGTTGTTCACAGGTTAGCGAGTTTTATTGGTGCTAAAGATTAGATGATTGTTGTAATAATGAGCCTCAAACTATAGTGGCTGATTTTGCTATTTAAGAATGGTCTTTAAAAATCCTCCTAAAGTAGGCATAAGTGCTCCATGATTTGCAAATTTTGTAAGTTAAAGGATAAACTATAAATTTTACATATTAGACTTTTAGTCATAATATCAGCTAATGTTTTATAACTGGTTCTTTAAATATTCCTTTTAATTGTTCTGCTTTAGTTGAGGCCGGTCACCGCGCGATCATGTTCAACCGAATTGGCGGAGTGGGCAATGAGATCTACAAAGAGGGTCTTCACTTCCGAGCTCCCTGGTTCCAATATCCGATCATTTATGACATTCGAGCACGACCAAATCAGGTACGGCAATTTAGGAGCTTTAAAAATTCACCAAAACGTAGTAAAGACGATGCTTACAAGCATTGTAAGGAATTAAAGGTGCTGAACTGGATATCAAGTTTTGGGGCAAAAAAAGCTTTGCAACTACCATTTACTTTGTTTTGCTAACAATTGAGCTTTTTTTCATTGTATTAAATGACTTTTCAATCATTTAACCAACTTTTCCTCTTTAGGTTCGCTCACCAACCGGCTCCAAGGACTTACAGATGGTGAACATCGGTCTTCGTGTGCTCTCGCGACCCGATCCGAATCATTTGCAGAAGATCTACCGAACGCTTGGACAAAATTGGGAAGAACGCGTCCTCCCGTCAATTTGCAATGAGGTGGGTCGGGGTTTTGATGCAAGAAGGGATTGAATTGAGTCTCAGCTGGTATTAGACCGTCTTTAGCGACGAAACACGAAGTTCTAATTTGCAAATTTGATTTAACTTTCTGTTTTAGGTGTTGAAATCGGTGGTCGCCAAGTTCAACGCTTCCCAATTGATCACTCAACGTCAACAAGTGTCACTGCTAATCAGAAAGCGACTGATCGAACGAGCTCTCGACTTCAATATCATTCTTGGTGCGTTTATTATCTAGTTCCGGTCAATTGTATATTTTAGATGACGTCTCTTTGACCGAGCTCGCCTTCTCGCCTCAATACGCGGCTGCTGTTGAAGCTAAACAGGTTTCATCTTTCTTTCCGATCAATTTATCATCACCTACTTTAAGGTAGCCGCTCAAGAGGCTCAACGTGCTTCGTTCTTGGTCGATAGAGCCAAACAAAACAGACAAGAGAAGATTGTGCAAGCTGAGGGAGAGGCACAATCGGCTAAATTGGTTGGGCTTTATCGAAGTTTCTTGTAATTTCTCTTTTAGCTTGGAGAGGCTTTGCGTGGAGATCCGGGCTATTTGAAGCTGAGAAAGATTAGAGCCGCACAGCAAATCTCGAAAACCGTTTCGGAGGGAGCAAATAATAAGGTGAGCTTTGAATTGATTCCGTAAAATGGGTATTGTAAATTTGCATAGCCAAGTACAACTAGCAAATTTTGCTGCGCAGAAAGGCAAAGCTGAGTTTGTTGACTTTTACATATAATAACCGATCGTAGTTAAAACATCAAGCCAGCTGAGATAAAGTATCATTTTAACTTTCTGCATCTTAAAGAGCACAAATTTCAGGACTTTAGCACTAAATACACCAATTACCATCTCAGCTTTCCCTTTTTCAGATATATCTCCCATCGGGAGGTCTTTTGTTGAACATTGCCGACGAGGAATACTTTGACATGGCCAGCGATAAGAAAAAGCGCAATTGAGCGATCAACAACTCGTCGTTTTCTCTCTTTCAAAGTACTTTTTGATGATCTGGAGTGAACTTTTGTGAGGATGATTTCAATTGTTTCCCCTCCCGTTTTACGGTTAGTATTTTGTTTTCTTCAAAATTTGTTCACCGTTCCTATTTCTTTTTCTCTTTTTTTTTGTGTCATTTGTTGAAATTCTAGGATAGTTTCTGTTGCTGTAGTGTTAGTTTGCCCAAAATGTTAAAAAATTGTTATTTCTATTGGATAAACGCAATTTGATAGGCTTTGAGAAGAACTAAAGAGGTAACAACGGATATATGCAGATAGAATTTGAAGCGGTTGGGCAAACGGGGGACATTTATGACAGAGATACCCGAAAGAAAGGGAATGTTTTAGGGAATGGTTTAAAGAAGAGAATCCTCGAGATTGTCCCGGAAACAACCCTTGATATCATTTAGCACGGCCCAGCAAGGGATCATCGAGGCGTCCCCCTGGAATTGCACTTGGTTACAGGATATTACAGGGTGACCAAGAATTACCGCAACAACTTTTTGGACAAGTATCTGGGAAATGTCTAATTTATTTCAAAAGTGGCAAGTGTTATACAGAGAATTGTAGGCCTAATTCTGGGCAACATACAACTCATTTAACAAGCGCTTGAATGAGCGCTAGTCGACATCTCCGGCGAGTCTGTCATTTGGCCACTTTTCTACATGAAAAAATTTCATTCGGAAAAATTTTTTTCAGTCAAATTTGTGGTAATTTTGCCCAAAAAAAAATGTTTTCAGCAAATTCATAGCGCAAGAACCGCTGATATAACGAGATACGCATATGAACTGAATATCGAAAATACTCAATTTTCCCTGCTCCTCCAAAAGAAGCTTGACATTAACTTAAATTTTGGTTATGCCAGTCCAGCCAAAACAATTAAGTGTGGTTCCCAATGTTATTAAGTGATATTAAAGGCTATTTTTGCATTGAAGAAATATTGAAAAGCTTTTCTTAACAATTTTCAATAGAGAAAAGTGGCCAAATGACAGATTCGCCGGAGAGATATCGAATAGCGCTCATTCAAGCGCTTGTTAAATGAGTGGTATAAGTCCAATCGGGATGTTCTTGGTAGATAAATGTTGCCGAGAATTAGGCCTACAATTCTCGGTATAACACTTGCCACTTTTGAAAAAAATTAGACATTTCCCAGATACTTGTCCAAAAAATTGTTGCGGTAATTCTTGGTCACCCTGTATAATATTTAGGTTTAATATCGGCGCTCTTGGGCCAATCCAGAAAGTGGTTCCTTCTTGGCTTTATCTTGATAAGTGGACCCTTACCTGCCTGGTTCAAGTCTAGCCTAAGCCAGGCCCTGCAAACTTGGACAAATGCGCAGTAAAACCAAACCTGACCTAACACTTTCAGCTTTAGAAAGACTTGCTCCTTTGAAGGTTTTCCTATCTGCACACCAACCTGGAAAGTATTATCCGGCGACATATTGCAGAAACCGAGAAACCTTGCCTTTTTCTATAAATTTCTAAACTCCTTCCCTCCTTCCCATTCAAAATCTTTTGTTTGGAAGTATGCCTGATCGACGCAGTTTTAAGGCTCATAGGGAAATCTTTTCATTCAAATGACAAAGCATGAGAGGGGTTCAAGGCTCAATTTATTCATGATGATTCGCTATTCTGTGTGGTTTACCGTGATGACCGGTCGTGTGTATATATTAGGTTAGTGAATTGAAAACTGCGGGACTTTGAGGTAAAATTTATTCAACATAAAACCATAAATTCATTCCAAATAATTTCCATTATTATTGACGACTTCTGCCCATTTTACAGGCAATTTGCGGATTCCTCTTTCGTAGTAGGATTTTGGCTTGTGCGGAGACAAGTGTGAGACTCAAAAATGGAGGTGTCCCAGTTTGAGCACTTTCTTCAAAAGAAACCCATTTTGGTGTCATTGGAAAAGTTGTAGAGAATCAAAAATTAGGCTGATAGCCAAACTTCCAAAAAGATAAATGAAAGTTTTGTGAAAATTCGTAAATTTGGCATTTCAATCGGCCACGATTATAGGCTTTTCTGGGGCGTAGTTTTCTTGAATAGTAAATATTTTTATTCCAAAAACAAACAATGAGCGAAAAACTATGCATATGCTAATACTTTGAATGAAAAATAAAAAACAAAATAAGTTTGGTAAATTCTGATTTAACGTCTGCTTAAACAAGAAATTTTACTCATCAAAAGATTGAAACGATCGATGGAGAGAACCCTTTTGTCGATGGAACCGCCTGAAAATCAAAATAAAATATATAAAATTTCTGGTGAAATAACTTTTTGTAAACTTTCTAAAAAAATTAGCCACAAATAGGTGTTAGGTTCAACTTGTTTTTCGTTTTTTCGAAGTAAACATTCTAACACATGAAGCTACAGCTTGTTAAAATACAGAGAATATCTTATTTTTGAGGTATCCCATGTATTTAACAGATGAATACTAAAATTTCAAATACAAAGGGGAAATTTTTGATGCAACATTGCAAAAGGCAAATACATAAGACCGTATGATAGATTAGATATTGAGTAAATTGCTAATATTAGCCAGTATTCAAAATCTAGCAATATTTTCTTCAATTCAATAAGAAATCCAAGAAAAACTGATAGACGTACTAAATCCAGTTCATGAAAATTCACTAAATATTAAAAAATTATGAATGACAAATCCAACCTAATTACTTGCCGTGTAACCATGACCTCGCAACATTAGAATGAAGTCGGCTTTTTCATCGGGAGCATTGAATACCATGTGGAAATTGATTTGCTTTGCATCCATCCAACCAATAGTCCGATCCGCGTTTTTTACCTAACAAAAAAAACTCATTAGAATTCTATCAAAAGCGACAGTTAATAAAAAAGAAAATTTCCGAACCTGCATAATTAAATTTTCAATCCAGACGTGCCCATCAGCTCCATTAGGCAATGGAGTGTGCTTCCAACGCAGTGGAACGCGTGTGTTATAACGTCGCTGATTGATGGGGTGCACCAAACGAAACTCCACGTTGTGGTACTCAATTTCGATTTTTTGAGCAGTGACGTTGATACGAGTATGCTCCCTCAAGAATGTAAGCGTCGGCAGCATTTATTCTATAAAAATGATCAACCAATTAGAATTAACTAAATTTCAAATATTTTAATGAAAATCAGTAAAAATTTCAAACAAGCTATTTTAAATAAATAATTCATTAGTGAGAAATTACTAAAAGATTAAAATCAAATGATATAGAGTCGTGGTTCGATTTGAAGATATTTAACATTTAACCAAAAACTTCGATGCAACGATAACAACCCTGGGTCTCAAGCAAAATTTCCCTATATGTTTGATTCCAAGCCACTTTTGAACAAATTCCCGTATGTTTTTTCTTAGAGACGCAGAGGAAGGGCTTGCGGTCTATCCCGTCCGATCTGCCAGGTTAAGCAACGTCGGCGCGGGATAGTCGTGGGTCCGACTTTTGTGGGTTCCCCTCTGAGCGCCCCAGCCCGGCCATCGGAGTATCATCGGTAGACAACTACACGACAAGCCTCAGTACCCCGCACGGCCTCCCAGCTCTCTACAAGAAAGGAGACAAAGAAGACATCGGAAACTACGGGCCAATATCTTGCTATCGATCCCGTGCAAGCTCTACACGAAGATTCTCCAACAATGAATAGAGCGGCAACTCGACTACAAGAAGGCGAAGAAGGCGCATGCAGACTCAGTGGAACACGGTGCAGTGACACAAGCCCTCCTCGACGCAGGGATTGGCCTCGGATATATCCACGCCATACAATACTGTTACACGGAGGTTACCACCACCATCCAGATGTTCGAGAGCGAAGTCCCGATCCACATCCCGATCAAGCGCGGGCTCCGCCAAAGAGACCCATCTCGCCCAAGCTCTTCACCATGGTTCTCCAGTGTGCCATGAAAGACCTCGAGTGGGAAGACTACCGCATCCCGGCAGGAACATCACCAACCTACGCCTCGCAGACGACATCGTGCTCTGCGCCAAGACCGAGATGAACAAGAAAAAGACTCAGAGCATGATCAAGCTGGATGGTCAACCACTAGAAGAAGTCACCTCCTACACCTACCTCGGAAGAAGCATCAACATGGAGGGAGACCTAAGACCAGAAGACTTAGCTCTCGGGACTCAGAGATCAGTGGAAGTGATCGAGAGCAAAAGACTCAGATGGGCATGCCACGTAGCCAGAAGAACAGACGACAGATGGACGATACGGCTGACAGAGTGGCCGCCACGAGACCAGAAGAGGCCCATCGGAAGACCAGCAACGAGGTGGAGCACAAGAGTGGCAGAGACGGTCAGAGAAAGGATGACTAGAGTGCAACCACCACCAGCACAAGCAAGACTTCGTACCAAGAACAACCAAGATCGGAAACACTGGATCAAAATAGCAAGGGATAGAGAAATTGTTGAAGCAGCTTGTGATCTGCGCAAAAAAGGAATACCTAAGTGCGAAGACAGATAAAAAAAAAGCTGCCATATGTTCCGAAGAAATGAAATAGATATTCAATTATATTCAACAATCAACATTCATAGTAAAGATATTCAATACAAAATTTATTTTAACATACATAAAGAAACCAATAAATAAATGAGCCTCAACAACATAAATTTGAAGACGATGTGGTTGCCAAAGTTGTTAAACCATGCTAAAATAGAAGCCCATAGAACGAATCAATTTCCGTGATTGAAACTATCAACTTTTACTGGGAAAAAACTCCACCTTTCAAACTCCAACATAGCGCACAGTACGAAGAGCCACAATCAATTCAGCCTTCTTAACACAATCATCAAAAATCATGTAAAAGTCCACTTCTGGGCCGTTGAAGTAACGTTGAGTATGGGGATTTCTTTCCTAAAAACAAATTGATTGAAATTGAATTAAAAACAAATATAAATCCAAAAAGAGAATGTTCAACCTGAAGCTTCACACCCTTTACCAGCAGGTGTTCCCAATTACGTGGACACGTTGCTCGTTGAGGCATCTTTACCGTCAATTCTCTTGCTTGATTGCCCCCCGGGTGCGCAAAACGGTACACCACCCCTTGAAAAGTGATCTCGAAATGTTGAGCAGTGACGTTCATCGCCGTATATTCCGAATCGAAGAATAAACGCACTGGTGGAGCGAGGTTCCGAACCGCCATTTTAGGACTAAAATAAAAAGTTTAATGATAGATTTATCTATTAATTTGATAATTCATTAAGAAAATGCGAATATCTAATATTAATGTTGAACTCATAATACCGTAGTGCAAACGAAAATCAAATCAGAGGGACTAACGTGTTGGTATCGTCATCATCTTCCTCGAACGAATCATCTTCAGAGTCGGTTGCAGTCTCGCAAGTGGGAATTTTCAACTAAACTTGGATTTTTTGATAAATGATAAAATTAATCAGATGTAGGAAAAATTGGTTGATAGCTAAATCTTCGATCTAGGTGCCAGATTAAAGGAGATTATTTTAAGCCGAATCATCTTGAAATTTTGACCATAGACAAAGGTAAATAAGGTATCTACTCAATACTCTAAAACAATTTAAAGCATGAGCAAAATCCAAAAAAAAGGAAAAGAAAACCTGCTCATAATTGGCCGCCGTTTTCAGTTTGGCGACAAAATCGCTCAAGATTCCCAGGTCCTCGAATTGCGCACAAAAATCCACCACATGAAAGCCAAACCAAGCGTCATTCGCATCTGTTGACTGAAAAACAGACCAATAAATGAGTTAAATATGCCTTAATAGTCAGAAATAATGATCATTCTGTAATAGAAAATAACTGAACAAAGTTTTCCCAGATCAAACAGGGATTTCATTTCGAAAAAAGTAAGAAAACCCTACCTGTAGAACCATTTCAGGTAAAGTAAGCTGAATCTTAGGAACCGTGTTGACAAAAAAATTCCGACTCTTGCCATCTAGAGGGTAAGCGAAACGGAAAGGTTTCGAGTCATGAGCGATCTCCAAATATTCGAGTTCCACCTTGAAAGAATCGAAATCTTTGAAGAAACACAGTTGAGGCCGCATCTTGATAGCTCTGAAAAAATAGATCTAGAGAAACACAACTACTAAAAAGATCAAAAAGGATCAAGCAACACGAATCATCTTTTAATTCTAGACTTTTTACTTCACAGACACGTAGATCAATCAGGTATTTTAAGATAGAGGCATGAAATAATGATGAATAATTAAGTGAATGTCTTCATAGATTCAAACTAGAAAAGAACACAGGCAACAATACAAGGATTTATCTAGATTCATACACACTTATACTAGATTTAATTATCAGGTTGTTTCATAAAAAACGTCAATCCTATGAAGAAAGAAAAAGAGGACAACGAGGAAATGATGAAATCACAGGTTGTGATGAGGATCAATCTGCCATCTGTTCCGAAGAAACGAAATAGATATTCAATTATATTCAACAATCAACATTCATAGTAAGGGTATTTAGTACAATATTTATTAACATCAATAAAGAAACTAACAAACAAATGGGCCTCGGGGTAGGCTAATTTCCGCCATTTTATTTGCGCAACTCGCCATAACTTTTTTCTAAGTGACACAATCTTTATGATTTTGGTTTCATTTTGTGGATCTCAATAAGTGCAACAAAATGAAACCAAAATCATAAAGATTGTGCCACTTAGAAGAAAGTTATGGCGTGTTGCGGAAATTAGCCTACACCTGGCCATCAACAACATTAATTTGAAGACGATGTCTTTGTCAAAGTTGTTAAAGAGGACAGGCCTCGTGACGAGCACCTAAAAATCAAAAAACTTGTACTAGTTGTACTTGGCTATGCAAATTTACAATACCCATTTTACGGAATCAATTCAAAGCTCACCTTATTATTTGCTCCCCCCGAAACGGTTTTCGAGATTTGCTGTGCGGCTCCAAACTTTCTCAGCTTCAAATAGCCCGGATCTCCACGCAAAGCCTCTCCAAGCTAAAAGAGAAATTACAAAATACTTCGATAAAGCCGAACCAATTTAGCCGATTGTGCCTCTCCCTCAGCTTGCACAATCTTCTCTGGTCTGTTTTGTTTGGCTCTATCGACCAAGAACGAAGCATGTTGAGCCTCTTGAGCGGCTACCTTAAAGTAGGTGATGATAAATTGATTGGAAAGAAAGATGAAACCTGTTTAGCTTCAACCGCAGCCGCGTATTGAGGCGAGAAGGCGAGCTCGGTCAAAGAGACGTCATCCAAAAATATAGAATTGACTGGAACTAGATAATAAACGCACCAAGAATGATATTGAAGTCGAGAGCTCGCTCGATCAGTCGCTTTCTGATTAGCAGTGACACTTGTTGACGTTGAGCGATCAATTGGGAAGCGTTGAACTTGGCGACCACCGATTTCAACACCTAAAACAGAAAGTTAAATCAAATTTGCAAATTAGAACTTCGTGTTTCGTCGCTAAAGCCGATCTAATACAAGCTGAGACTCAATTCAATCCCTTCTTGCATCAAAACCCCAACTCACCTCATTCCAAATTGATGGGAGGACGCGTTCTTCCCAATTTTGTCCAAGCGTTCGGTAGATCTTCTGCAAATGAGTCGGGTCGGGTCGCGAGAGCACCCGAAGACCGATGTTCACCATCTGTAAGTCTTTGGAGCCGGTTGGTGACCGAACCTAAAGAGGAAAAGTTGGTTAAATGATTGAAAAGTCATTCAATAGAATGACAAAAAGCTCAATTGTTAGCAAAACATAGCAAATGGTAGTTGCAAAGCTTTTTTTGCCCCAAAACTTGATATCCAGTTCAGCACCTTTAATTCCTTACAATGCTTGTAAGCATCTTCTTTACTACGTTTTGGTGAATTTTTAAAGCTCCTAAATTGCCGTACCTGATTTGGTCGTGCTCGAATGTCATAAATGATCGGATATTGGAACCAGGGAGCTCGGAAGTGAAGGCCCTCTTTGTAGATCTCATTGCCCACTCCGCCAATTCGGTTGAACATGATTGTGCGGTGACCGGCCTCAACTAAAGCAGGACAATTAAAAGGAATATTTAAAGAACCAGTTACAAAACATTAACTGATTAATTATGGCTAAAAGTCTGATATGTAAAAGTTATAGTTTATTCTTTAACTTTACAAAATTTGCAAATCAAGTAGCACCTATGCCTACTTTAGTAGGATTTTTAAAGACCATTCTTAAATAGCAAAATCAGTCACTATAGTTTGAGGCTCATTATCACAACAAGCATCTAATCTTTAGCACCAATAAAACTCGCTAACCTGTGAACAACGATTGGGAGATTCCATAGGCGGCCGCTCCGGCAGCAGCCAGGAATCCGATTCCCAATCCGGCTCCTCGCGAGTTTTGCAGGATCGCCGTATCGCCGTCGTATCGCCTCTTGGTCCTGGTTTGCAGCCATTCTGAAAAGAAAAGATAGTGTAAAACGGTAAAGAGAATCAAAGAGACAAAAAGAACAAAATCAGTTGCTGGAAGGCAAAAATTTATGCAAGAGTTAAGCTTTTAGTATTTCAAAGATCCGCAGGAAGGCCCTTTTGGTAGCTACAATCCGCAAGGAAATTTCGCAAGCTTAACATTTTCATCAAATGATAACAATCTCATTCTATCAAGAACATCTTTAACTTAAAGAAGGCCCTTTTGGCAACATTACCCTGATGAAAATGTCAAAAGTGATGCAAAAGGGAAATCTAGAACCGAGAAACGGGATCGTTGCCGGGAAATCGTTGGATGACCCGGGGGAAGGTGAGAAGCTGATTAAGGGTCAAATGAAAAGTTATTCAGTTAACGAAGTAAAAAGGAGAATAAAAGGTTATTCAACTTCCACAACTGAATACTTTTACCCATCGAAATGAAGCAATGTTAAGCTGGAGTCGGTCCAAAAGACAAGTTGGATAATTTGTTTTATGTAATATAAAAAAAGCGATTTTGAAAGTAGGGAGACACTTTCAAATGTATAACTAGTTCACTTAAATAAATGTGATTTGTTCTTTTTATTTCTTGATGCTTTATTATGAATTTTCATTAGATATTCGCATTTTCTTAATGAATTATCAAATTAATAGATAAATCTATCATTAAACTTTTTATTTTAGTCCTAAAATGGCGGTTCGGAACCTCGCTCCACCAGTGCGTTTATTCTTCGATTCGGAATATACGGCGATGAACGTCACTGCTCAACATTTCGAGATCACTTTTCAAGGGGTGGTGTACCGTTTTGCGCACCCGGGGGGCAATCAAGCAAGAGAATTGACGGTAAAGATGCCTCAACGAGCAACGTGTCCACGTAATTGGGAACACCTGCTGGTAAAGGGTGTGAAGCTTCAGGTTGAACATTCTCTTTTTGGATTTATATTTGTTTTTAATTCAATTTCAATCAATTTGTTTTTAGGAAAGAAATCCCCATACTCAACGTTACTTCAACGGCCCAGAAGTGGACTTTTACATGATTTTTGATGATTGTGTTAAGAAGGCTGAATTGATTGTGGCTCTTCGTACTGTGCGCTATGTTGGAGTTTGAAAGGTGGAGTTTTTTCCCAGTAAAAGTTGATAGTTTCAATCACGGAAATTGATTCGTTCTATGGGCTTCTATTTTAGCATGGTTTAACAACTTTGGCAACCACATCGTCTTCAAATTTATGTTGTTGAGGCTCATTTATTTATTGGTTTCTTTATGTATGTTAAAATAAATTTTGTATTGAATATCTTTACTATGAATGTTGATTGTTGAATATAATTGAATATCTATTTCATTTCTTCGGAACATATGGCAGCTTTTTTTTTTATCTGTCTTCGCACTTAGGTATTCCTTTTTTTGCGCAGATCACAAGCTGCTTCAACAATTTCTCTATCCCTTGCTATTTTGATCCAGTGTTTCCGATCTTGGTTGTTCTTGGTACGAAGTCTTGCTTGTGCTGGTGGTGGTTGCACTCTAGTCATCCTTTCTATGACCGTCTCTGCCACTCTTGTGCCCCACCTCGTTGCTGGTCTTCCGATGGGCCTCTTCTGGTCTCGTGGCGGCCACTCTGTCAGCCGTATCGTCCATCTGTCGTCTGTTCTTCTGGCTACGTGGCATGCCCATCTGAGTCTTTTGCTCTCGATCACTTCCACTGATCTCTGAGTCCCGAGAGCTAAGTCTTCTGGTCTTAGGTCTCCCTCCTTGTTGATGCTTCTTCCGAGGTAGGTGTAGGAGATGACTTCCTCTAGTGGTTGACCATCCAGAAGACCATCCAGCTTGATCTCCTCATGCTCTGAGTCTTTTTCTTGTTCATCTCGGTCTTGGCGCAGAGCACGATGTCGTCTGCGAGGCGTAGGTTGGTGATGTTCCTGCCGGGATGCGGTAGTCTTCCCACTCGAGGTCTTTCATGGCACACTGGAGAACCATGGTGAAGAGCTTGGGCGAGATGGGTCTCTTTGGCGGAGCCCGCGCTTGATCGGGATGTGGATCGGGACTTCGCTCTCGAACATCTTGATGGTAGCCTCCGTGGTGGTAGCCTCCGTGTAGCAGTCGTGTATGGCGTGGATATAGGGCTTGTGTCACTGCGCCGTGTTCCACTGAGTCTGCGTGCGCCTTCTTCGCCTTCTTGTAGTCGAATTGCCGCTCTATTCGTTGTTGGAGAATCTTCGTGTAGAGCTTGCACGGGACCGATAGCAAAGATATTGGCCCGTAGTTTCCGATGTCTTCTTTGTCTCCTTTCTTGTAGAGAGCTGGGAGGCCGTGCGGGGTACTGAGGCTTGTCGTGTAGTTGTCTACCGATGATACTCCGATGGCCGGGCTGGGGCGCTCAGAGGGGAACCCACAAAAGTCGGACCCACGACTATCCCGCGCCGACGTTGCTTAACCTGGCAGATCGGACGGGGTAGACCGCAAGTCCTTCCTCTTCTAGGCCCACATATGACAGATTGAACTAATATCGTTTCGTTAGAACTTTTATTAACATTACTGCGTCTCTAAAAAAAAACATACGGGAATTTGTTCAAAAGTGGCTTGGAATCAAACATATAGGGAAATTTTGCTTGAGACCCAGGGTTGGTATCGTTGCATCGAAGTTGTCGTTAAATGTTAAATATCTTCAAATCGAACCACGACTCTATATCATTTGATTTTAATCTTTTAGTAATTTCTCACTAATGAATTATTTATTTAAAATAGCTTGTTTGAAATTTTTACTGATTTTCATTAAAATTTCTGAAAGACTATGGTTAAGATGATCAATGGTAAAATGGGTATTTTAAATTTGCATCGGCTTTAGCGACGAAACACGAAGTTCTAATTTGCAAATTTGATTTCTTTCTGTTTTGGTGTTGAAATCGGTGGTCGCAAGTTCAACGCTCCCAATTGATCTACTCAACAAGTGTCCTCTAATCAGAAAGCGACTGATCGAGCGAGCTCTCGACTTCAATAACATTCTTGGTGCGTTTATTATCTAGTTCCAGTCAAGTGTATATTTTAGATGACGTCTCTTTGACCGAGCTCGCCTTCTCGCCTCAATACGCGGCTGCTGTTGAAGCTAAACAGGTTTCACCTTTCTTTCCAATCAGTTTATCATCACCTACTTTAAGGTAGCCGCTCAAGAGGCTCAACGTGCTTCGTTCTTGGTCGATAGAGCCAAACAAAACAGACCAGAGAAGATTGTGCAAGCTGAGGGAGAGGCACAATCGGCTAAATTAGTTGGACTTGATCGAAATTTCCTGTAATTTCTCTTTTAGCTTGGAGAGGCTTTGCGTGGGGATCCGGGCTATTTAAAATTTCTGAAAGACTGGTTAAGATGATCAATGGTAAAATGGGTATTGTAAATTGGATAGCCAAGTACAACTAGCAAATTTTGCTGCACAGAAAGGCAAAGCGGAGTTTGTTGACTTTGATATACAGTCGAACCTCTCTATAACGAACCTCGATATAACGTAAACCTCTCTATAACGTAAGGCGTGACCGGTCCCGGCCGACGTTAAGCTATATAAAACGGCACTCTATATAACGTAAACCTCTATATAACGTAAGCTATAGCCGTCCCGTGAGTTACGCTATAGAGAGGTTCGACTGTATAAGTAATTAAAACATCAAGGCAGCTGAGATCAAGTATCATTTTAACTTTCTGCAGCTTAATGAGCTCAAATTCCAGCACTTTAGCACTAAATACATGAATTACCATCTCATCTTTCTCTTTTTCAGGTCTACCTCCCATCGGGAGGCCTTTTGTTGAACATTGCCGACGAGAAATACTTTGACATGGCCAGCGATAAGAAAAGGCGCAATTGAGCGATCAACAACTCGTCGTTTTCTCTCTTTCAAAGTACCTTTTTGATGATCTGGAGTGAACTTTTGTGAGGATGATTTCAATTGTTTCCCCTCCCGTTTTACGGTTAGTATTTTGTTTTCTTCAAAATTTGTTCACCGTTCCTGTTTCTTTTTCTCTTTTTTTGTGTCATTTGTTGAAATTCTAGGATAGTTTCTGTTGCTGTAGTGTTAGTTTGCCCAAAATGATACGAATTGTTACTTCTATTGGATAAACGCAATTTGATAGGCTTTGAGAAGAACTAAAGAGGTAACAACGGATATGTACAGATAGAATTTGAAGCGGAAAGGGCAAACGGGGGACATTTATGGCAGAGATACCCGAAAGAAAGGGAATGTTTTAGGAAATGGTTTAAAGAAGAGAATCCTCGAGATTGTCCCGGAAACAACCCTTGATATCATTTAGCACGGCCCAGCAAGGGATCATCGAGGCGTCCGCCTGGAATTGCACTTGGTTACAGGATATTATAATAGTTAGGTTTAATATCGGCGCTCTTAAGTCAATCCAGAAAGTGGTTCCTTCTTGGCTTTATCTTGATAAGTGGACCCTTACCTGCCTGGTTCAAGTCTAGCCTAAGCCAGGCCCTGCAAACTTGGACAAATGCGCAGTAAAACCAAACCTGACCTAACACTTTCAGCTTTAGAAAGACTTGCTCCTTTGAAGGTTTTCCTATCTGCACACCAACCTGGAAAGTATTATCCGGCGACATATTGCAGAAACCGAGACATTTCTTGCCGGCCGATGTCTCGTGAACACCCTAAAATTGGGGTAAATTTGTAACTAGGCGTAGTCGGCTGTGTGCTGGAGCTAGCTCGTAATTGTAGAAGACAAAAGTCATATTGTACCTGATTCAAAATGCAATAACATGTGGGATTTTGGGTATCTGATATTAGATCTGGTGAATGTTAACACATTCGCGACGAAGCCATTTTTGGCTTGAATGGCCTGTCGGACCACGGCTTCCTAGACTAGTTGTATAACTTAAAGAGCACCCGGCGTTTTTCGACGATGGGGAATTCGAATCTGATATTTTCCAAGATTTTTGTTATAAAAGTTAACTCAATTAGTCTAGTAGAGAATTTTATAAGGACTCCTAAAGTTAGACTCTCCAAAAAGCAGAGTTGTTCGTATGAAAAGTTGATTTATAAGTCAAAATGTGACTTTTGAAAGTTTTAAACCCATTTTTGACAAAAAAGGAAAGTTGACTTTTATTTTGGCCTGAGTTTCACTTCAATTCGATGTTCAGAAAAAAAGTTTCATTTGGAGGATCGAAAAGATTGCCAGTAGTTGAGAAGGCAAGTTGAGATTCGTCAAAATAAATTTCTAACGAACCAATGTAGCTCATTCTTGTATGAAAAGGTTAAAAACGAATTTAAAATTTCAATATCTAGGAAAAGAGGGGAAAAAAGTGCGTGAAACGAAATTCTTTCGGGCTTTTTAGCCAAGTTATAGCCATATAGCCATATAAGTTATAGCCTAACGCCAGCTTTAGATTTGTCATGCCTGAAAATCCCCGGGATGTAAAATTTCAGCCCACTTAGCCTCCAAAAAACAAAATGGTCGTCATGAATGCGTGCTTGCACTGACCCTCTCAATGCAACACTGTGTATGATCGAGATCCTGGGCGGCACACGAGAGCAAATCCCTTCCATACGACTGAGGACATGGATCGGTGCCCAAGAACATGGCCATCAACTGGAAAATCGTTAAAAAATGAGTTTTTCTTCAAAACACTCACCATTTTCTTGTTCATCGTGTCGAAATTGCATCTAGACTCGCACTTCTTGTCCACTTTACGCTTCTGACAACATTGCAGGAAGTGACCATTCGCGTCCTGCAAAATGCACTCTTTCTGGTGGACGAAATTCTCCATTTTCCAGGCTTACCTCTGGTTCCTCGAAAGTTTGTTCCAAAACGGAAACTACACGATTGGGGACAATTGGCTGGATTTTAGGAGGCTGAAAAGCTAATGAACATTCGGAAAGTTTAAAAATCAACCTGTTTCGGCAAATTTTCCGGTTGCTTCTGTGCTGGACGCTGGGGTTTCGGTTGGGGTGGCTGGAAAGGAGGCTTTGAATAAGAGCTGATACTTCTTAGATAACTAGAGGTATCTAGAGGTCATTTTTGGAGGTCATTGGATCAGAAGCCAGTTCTGGCCAAGTCAAAGGCTAAGGCTTGGCCGACTGCAGCTCTGTGGACTAGGCTAGCTACTGTTCTTGTTTGATTATGACCAAATCCCTTTTCACCGACTTGTTTATGGACTTGCTGTGGCTGGGGAATTGATTGGAATTGTTGCTGTTGGGGTTGAGGACGCAATTGTTGTTGTTGAGGGAATGTGGAGCTCTGAAACTAGAGATATTAGAGCGTATTTTAGAGAAATCGATTAGAGGAGTACGGTGAATGGGCGCTTAAGACGTGATCGGTTCGAATATTGTTAGCTGGGGCACGCCTAGCCGAGTCAATGCTTGATGAACTCACTTGATGAACAGTCTCCCGGGGAATCTCTTCGATTGCCGACTGTTCGATGGGACGTGTCGAGCCGCCAACCACGAGAACTTCTGGGGGAACTGGAGGAGTCAACTGAAATCGATTTTTAGAATAGTTAGCTGGAAATTGATTTTTTTTTGATCTAGCTAAAGCCAGACTAAAACCTCACACGTACAAGCAGAAAAATGGATCTGGGCGTAGTCTTGGCTTGCCCGTCACCGAGCAAGGCTTAGTCTGATGTGCTCTAGACTGAATTTCAGCTGAAACACGGCTTTAAACACGGCCGGCTATGATATTTCCTATAGTTCATAATGTGACTTTTGTGTCCAATGGATTGAAGACATCTTGCGGGTAGGGGTTGAATTTGCCGGGTGGTGGTGGTGGGAAAACTCGATTCTCGGTGTTCCCCGATTTGATCGCAATTTGTTCTGGGCGTCGAGGCTAAAATTGGATTCTCGATTCTATTTTCCATATTAACTAGTTTTTTTGAATGATTTTTGGGTAGATTGCTTTTTGATAATGTTCGTCTGGTTGAAATGATTGAAATGATTGAAAAATTGTGTAAAAATTTGTGTAAATATCGAATATTAAGTATTGAATACTATAAGATTGGATCAATTTTATAAATATAAATGAAAATATCAAAAAAAAAAGCCAACCCGTTGCATAGGGAAACGATTGTGAGTCCGTGGCTGTTGAGTGATCTTTCGTTCACTAAATAGCTTTTAAAAATATGTTAATTAAATAATAAAAGAATTTTAGATCGATTTTCTAAATATTTTCCTTTCTCCTTTCCTTCCCAAAACCACTCAACAATATCTCATCTTTCTTTATCTTTAAACAATCAAGTCAAGATCTTCTACATCTATTTTTTAAGATCCATCTTGATCTTTTACATCTACAGTGGAACCTCTCTATAACGTAACTCACGGGACGGCTATAGCTTACGTTATATAGAGTGCCGTTTTATATAGCTTAACGTCGGCCGGGACCGGTCACGCCTTACGTTATAGAGAGGTTTACGTTATATCGAGGTTCGTTATAGAGAGGTTCGACTGTATTTTTTTTCTTTCTTTAAGATTTTTAACATTAGCATTCAAGTGATTTTCTTTTCTTTTCTCCAAAGAAAACTCACATCTTGACGGCCTGCTGTTGTTGCGATGTCTTTTGGTGTGTTTGAACGGCTGTTGGTGGCAAGTGGAGAGCCTAGATTTTCGATTTCTTACTACTTTCGACATCTAAACTTACTGCTGGTGGCGGTGGGGGAGGTCTTGTTGTGATCAATTGGCCGCTCAATGGGTCAACCTGTTGCTGTGGTTGGAGTTGACGGAAGAACTGGCCGCCAAACGACTAAATGTTGACTTTAGATTGACAGCGTACGGTGGAGAGCCTCCAGAGTAGCTTCTTTGCCCTTTAGAAAAGGTGAGAAGCTGATTGAATTGAGGCTACCGTAGTTTCGGGTTACGTGGCTTCAATCAAGGTACAGTAGCTCTTCGTACACTACCCGTAAAGCAGTTGAAGTAATATTGATAGCCTGTTCTACATAGTACATCAATCTACAATAATCTCTGCAGAATGCGATGGAGAAAAGCTATCGTACTTGATTTACTGTACTCTAGATAGAGGTTTGTCTGCTATTACATAGTTCTATTTCCTCATAGTATTGTAGTACAGTAATCCTTTTAACTCCACCTGTTGCGGGGTGAATTGCGGTGATGGTGGTGGTGGGAATTGAGGCTGTTGAGCGAATTGTTGACCTTCAGGTTCGAAACGTTCCTAAAAAAAAGCAGATCTATTACAGTACTCCTAATCACTCACATAATAGATTGTCTGCTGTTTTTGCGGATCCCAATAAGAAGCGATGAAACGCCGCGATTTCCGGCTTTCAGTGATCTAAAGATTTGATTTCTAGATTGCAGAAGAGTTTCGAAAATGTTTTAAATCAAGGTTAAGGCTAGGATTACCTTTTGTAGATATTGTTCTCCTTGTGGCTGAGAAAATGGCGCTCTGAAAAGCATAGCATTGAAAAGATTTGGCAGCTCTACAGGGTGCGCCAAAAGTTCCCGTACTTGTATTTTCTGCATTTTTGGTAATTTTAGATAAAAGATACGATTTTAAAAGTAAGAAATTCGAATTCCTCGCGAAAAACTGATTTAAAAAACGTTTCTGGTTAATTTATAAGTGCAACACTATTTATGACAAGTGATTGAGAAGAGGGTCCGCTCAGGGGCGCTTTGGTCGCACAGTTACAGGGCACAGTTACAGGGCACATTAAGAGTTACAGGGCAGTTACAGGGCCAGTTACAGGGCAATACAGGGCCAGCGGGGCGGGGCAAGTTAGCACAGTTCAAGAGAGAAAGGAAATAACTGTAACTGTGCCCTGTAACTGTGCCCTGTAACTGTGCCCTGTAACGGTGCCCTGTAACTGTGCGACCAAAGCGCCCCTGAGCGGGCCCTCTTCTCAATCACTTGTCATAAATAGTGTTGCACTTATAAATTAACCAGAAACGTTTTCTAAATCAGTTTTTCGCGAGGAATTCGAATTTCTTACTTTTAAAATCGTATCTTTTATCTAAAATTACCAAAAATGCAGAAAATACAAGTACGGGAACTTTTGGCGCACCCTGTATATAGCTAGATTCATATGGTAGGTTTTTCTGGATTTTATAAGCCATAAATCTAAGCTCTTGGCTGTCTTCTCTGCTCTCTGACCCTGTTTATAACACAGAGATCTCAACGCTTACCTAGCTATCGGCAATGGTTGTAGTGGGGGGAGGGCTGGTTGTTGGGATTGGAGTGCTGGCTGCGGGAGGTACTGTTGAGGAGGCTGAATGGAGAAATTTGCATAAAGCTCGATAGCTAGCCCACCTGGATGATTTGTTGTTGATACTGAATTGGTTGATATTGCTGGTACTGCTGAGGGACGTATGGCTGATATTGCTGAGAGATGAGCCTTTGTAGGTTAGATAGATTTATCGACTACCTGATATTGATACTGTTGATAGTATTGAGCTGTTGCCAATCCAGCGAGCACTGAAAATCTCTGGCTAATTTCAAAGCATTGTTTCATTGAGTCATTAATTTTTATGTCTTATCCTCTCCATTTGCCATTTCTCTAGCTAAATGAGTGAAAGTGGAGGGATTTGTGAGCGATTTGCCGACTCTTTCTTATCATCATTTCCCCCAAAATCGATTATGAGTTATTGATCAATTCTAATTAATCGACAGACGCTTGGCTAACAAATCTATTTTTATCTTTCTATCTTTTCAATTCAAACACCAATCATGTTCGTTTTCTCTCTCTTTCTAGATCTAGAGATGCGGATTTACAGAGGCAAAGTAAAAGAATAGTACAGAAGAGCGACACTCACAAATAACCAAAATAGAGAAAGAAATTTTCTATAGATAACTATGGATAATCAGATCTTGGCCTAGCTTTTGTCGTACAGTCTGTCAAGGACAGCGCAAATCATGCCTGGCAGGACAAGGTCAGAACTTTTAACTTGTTAGACCCTAGGGGAAACAAGGCTGGCTTCTGGCTAACCCAGGTACGCTCTAGTATTGTTCTAGGATCCAGCTAAGCCAGGTCCAGACACCCATTTGAGCTTTGAACAGAGCTGGACCCCCGGAAATCGATTCCAGAGCATCCCCTGTTCTCGATTTGGATAAGAGTTGGGGTGTTTTGAAGGTAGGCGATGGCAAGGGTTGATCCCTTTCACTCACCCGGCTCTCCCTTCTCCTTTCACCCCCCGGATATCCGAAGAGAGTCGAAGACATCTCCGCAGTCCTTTATTTCCCCTAAAACCGGTCCCTTTTCTCTTTCCATCTACACATATTCCTTTGGCAAGTGTGTTAGATGGCAGACACCGCATTTTGCTTTCCTCAACTTGCCAAAAGCTAAACGTCAACCTAATAAAATGAGCAACCGAATAAAATGAGCAGAAAGTGACCTGGAACAAGGCTTGGAACAAGGCTTAGAACAATTGATTGTTTAAAAAATGAAGGCACAAGAAGTATAGGTCGATTGATAGTACCAGAATACCAGAGTTGATGCAAAAACTTTGGGTAAACGATTAACAACAATCACTCAGTCATTCTCACTAAAGGAAAATAAGGTAACAATTTCATTGATGAATGGTAAAATCAGTAAAGCTTTAAGGCAAAATTCAATCTTATTAAAACATTTTGAAGCAGGAATTTTTATTGGAACAACTTTGCTAGAAACAGAAAGATCTCTGGACGTGACTCCCAGAGATTTTAGCAATCCATTCCCAATAAAATAGTACCGAAAAGGAACAGATTTGTCAAAAGAACTTGTCTCGAACATTGGTACAGAGTTTAAGCCTGAGATTTTGCAACAATTAAGTTCGATTCCGATTTCCGAAACACTCACCTATCACCAGCACCAGCCAGGACATTGTTCTCGGCCAAAAAAAATAAACAACTTTGCTTAAGAAATTCGAAAAAAATATCGTGATGATAATATGTGAAGCGATTGGAGATGAAATGGAAAAGAAAAGAAGATTTGCCTCTCTTTTGGCAATTCGAATAGACTCTCCTTCACTCGCTCTCTTGTCCACTTTTGACGAAAAACGCCCACTCTTAGGGAAAAGCCATTGACAGACAGTGAAAAGAGAATAGAGAATGGGTAATAGGGGAAAGTTTCTCTTTTTTTTTAACCCACCTTCACCATCAGGAGATTCATTTCTATTTAAATGAACACTTTTCAATGGTCAAAATGGGGAATGAAACCTTTTAAGGCTTTGAATACTCTAGTCATCATCAAGAAGGCTTTGAATACTCTAGTCATCATCAAGAAGGCTTTGAATACTCTAGTCATCATCAAGAAGGCTTTGAATACTCTAGTCATCATCAAGAAGGCTTTGAATACTCTAGTCATCATCAAGAAGGCTTTGAATACTCTAGTCATCATCAAGAGGCTTTGAATACTCTAGTCATCATCAAGAAGGCTTTGAATACTCTAGTCATCATCAAGAAGGCTTTGAATACTCTAGTCATCATCAAGAAGGCTTTGAATACTCTAGTCATCATCAAGAAGGCTTTGAATACTCTAGTCATCATCAAGAAGGCTTTGAATACTCTAGTCATCATCAAGAAGGCTTTGAATACTCTAGTCATCATCAAGAAGGCTTTGAATACTCTAGTCATCATCAAAAATCATCAAAAAATCATCAAAAATATAAGTAAATCATTTAACGAGTGTGCTTTGTGCATAGATTTAATTAGCTCTTACAGAATTGTTACAATTTCACGGCTCTACGGCTCTTTCGACTCGAGACAGGCTTGAAGGCAAATCTAACGAGTTCTGTGTAAATCTAACGAGTAAACGCATCTTGCATAGAGATTTTCCTATTCTTTTCACTGAAAGAAAGCCAAAATTCAAGTGCTCCAGAAAGGGTGAGAGCACAAAATACACCTTAACCCTGTGTTTTCTGAATATTCTGAAAAGAGAAAGATGACCATTTGAAGAGCCACTGAATCGGTCATTTCTCTGTTTTCATTTCAATTCCCCATTTCTTCAAGAACACGGCACTTATACTTGAACTTCCGTTTTCGTTTTTCTTCTTTCAATACAATTGTCTCAAGTGCTTCTGGCTTGACGATTTCAGTGTAGAAATCGAAAGAGTGGTCAGAAAGACACTACAATAGACATGGAAGCTATTTGAGTCACGACTCGGGACTTGACTCAAGCTTGAGCCGATTCGAGTCGCCGAAAATTGTGGCTCAGTCTCATTTTTTCCAATTTCAATGCTAATTAGTATCTTTACAATGTATCTAAATTATTTAGTATCTAAATTAATATTTAATTTTTCATCATTGCCTACTAATAAAAGATATTCAGTCATCCAACTGTGTAGTAACCAATTGTCACACATTTTTGCGGGGTGGGACAAATCCGACCTTTTTTTTGCGCACCTGGACATTTGCGCACCTTTTTTTTGCTGGAAAAGGCCCAGGCAAGGCCGTAGAGCTTCGAAAATATTTCCATATAAGGGAATCGTATGCGTAGATTCCGAATTTCGACAAATCAGACCTCGCTGACACATCAAATTTGGGCTAAAAGGCAAAAACTGCGGAAAAGCGTTAAGTTGCGTAGTTTTTGCCTTTTAGCCCAAATTTGACGTGTCAGCGAGGTCTGATTTGTCGAAATTCGGAATCTACGCATACGATTCCCTTCTGAGAAAACATTTTTGAAGCTCTACGACCTTTCCTAAGGCCTTTTCCCTTCTATTTTAAGAAAAAAATTCTTTATTAAACTTTTTTTCCTTTTGGGTAAGTTTTGAGTGAGTTTTTTAGTTTTTAGTTCAAATAATTATTATGAAATAAGCATACTTGGGAAAACCTAATGACACAAATCAAAGGCCTCATTTTGGAGTCGTTTGATCAATTGATCAAATTGATCAAAGAGTACCACGGTAACTGATGGCGGTTCAAATAAAGTAAATAAATGCCGGGCTACAAAAATCAATCTCTACCCTAAAATCAAATAAATTTTCTGATTTCTGATTTCTACATACAATCTATTCTTTTAGGACATACAAGAAGCCAAATCATAGAGAAATTTCATAAAAAGGAACCCCAGCAAAAAAAGGATCAAAGTTCTTCTTGAGAGACAGTTCTTATCACTTGTAAAAAGAAGAGAAATGTAGTGTAGTTTGAAGTGAAACAATTTCATCGAATTTTACCAATCTTTTACCAATCGAAATCTCTTCATTGACTCAAAAATCTAAACAAAAATGGTTCTTCGTTCTGATGTGAATCTCGCTCGCCCCAAACAACCGCTTCACTTGGCTTTACTGGAGAAATGTGCCTACTTCGAGAAAGAGATGCCCGATTTAGTTGCTTTTGTAAGCTTTTTTTTTTAAACGCTAGCTTGTAACTAGTGTACTTTGTGCCGAAAAATCATAATCCTTTCCGGTGAATTTCTCATTGTTCCTCAACCGCTTCACTTGGCTGTTGAGCTTCGCTTCACTTCTCAAGTAAAGCCAAGTGAAGCGGTTGAGGAAAAATCGAGTGCACCAGTCTAGAGAACAGCTAAACGCTCAAGCCTTTACTTGAATTGGGCTTTAAATGAATTGAGCTTAAATTTTCAGCGTAACTCAGCCGATCACTCGGATTTTCTTACATACGGCCGTTTAAAGGAGAACATTCTCCGTGTCGGCAACTATTTTCATTCAAATGGTTTCAAGAAAGGAGAGGTTCGTTGAAGGCAACTTTATAAACATTTTAAGTAGTGTAGTTGAAGGCTTAAGTAAGAGTATTGTAATCGTTTTGTTTAGAGAACCCGTTCTATTGGGTTGATGGAAAAGTCCTTTCCGATTTTTTGGGAGAGTACCTTAAATTTGTCCAATTTAGACGTTTTATAGCTCATCCTAAAGCTGAATTCAAGACGGATCGATTGGTAAAAACCGTTTTGATATATCTCTTTTCTAAAAGTTTTTACAGCTATTTTAGTAAAGGGCGGCAGAGCCAAAAAATGGCTGTTTTCACGTTTCGTTCGTTTTCCGTGCAGAAACCTAGGCTAAAAACATGTGTTTCGTGATCAGCGTCAAAAATAACCCCTAGACACGCATTTTCAGAATCTTAGCAAAAAATTTTTGAAAAATATTGTCAAACAAAAAAAACGAAGGAAAATCGGGAAAAGCGGCGGAAAGGCTATTGATCTGAGGGTCGCTGGTTCGACTTCCACCGGTGACAATATTTTTCAAAAATTTTTTGCTAAGATTCTGAAAATGCGTGTCTAGGGGTTATTTTTGACGCTGATCACGAAACACATGTTTTTAGCCTAGGTTTCTGCACGGAAAACGAACGAAACGTGAAAACAGCCATTTTTTGGCTCTGCCGCCCTTTACTAAAATAGCTGTAAAAACTTTTTGAAAAGAGATATCTCAAAACGGTTTTTACCAATCGATCCGTCTTGAATTCAGCTTTAGGATGAGCTATAAAACGTCTAAATTGGACAAATTTAAGGATTACTCTCCCAAAAAATCGGAAAGGACTTTTCCATCAACCCAATATTACCGTAACCCTGGATCTGGATTATGATAGCAAAAGAAAACGGAAATTTCATAAAACTAGATTTTGAGAGCGTGCATTTGAGAGAAAATTGGTGGAAGCTAGGCGGGGGAAATTCTCATGAATTGTAATAATGAATTGGTGATGAATTGAAAGCAGGATTTCGATAGTTGGTGTAGAGCATTTCTAGAGGAAAAAGTAGATTATCCGGAATGTTTCAAGGCCTTTCCTGGCCTAGAAAACTGGCCTTTACTTGAAACACCAGCCTACCATCTGCACAATATGGTAAATAAATTTTTCTAGGTATGCGCCTTCGTTTTGCCAAACTGTTGGGAGTTCGCTGTGTCGATGGTTGGCGCGTGGACGGCCGGGATGACTGCCTCGGCGGCGTCTGTCCAATTCACGCATTGTTCGTTTTAAAGAGTCTAAGTTATCCACCGTACATAGCTAGCTAGTATTTCGATCTTACGCGGTACGGTAGCCATGTAAACGACGATTTCTAGACGAGATCCACCACCAACTAGTCGACTCAGAGGCTGTCGTTGTGATCACCGAAGATACGTATCTTGAAAAAGTGTTACAAGCGGTCAAAGATGTGCCTAGGATCAGGGTGAGAAGATAATAAGAATCTAAAACAAGAATTAATCAATTTATCACTAAAAAGAGTCCTATAGCATACCGGAATTTCAGGAGATCATCTCAATTCAAAGTTGCCCATCTCCACTCCCTCCAAATGTCATCCCATTCGATAAACTCCTCTCAACATCTCCAAATTTCGATCCACAAACGATTTCAATTGATATGGACAATGATTTAATCACATTGCCATACAGGTTTGCTTTTTTTCAGGACCAAGTCAAGATCTGTGCATTTTGTGCAAAACCAGGGCTAGCTAAGTGGCCAGGATTCGTTGAATAGGCCACGGATCTGGCTACTGGGCTGGCTTGACTAGATTTCCCAGGCCAGCTTAACCCGTAGCCAGCTCTGACCAATTCTAAATTGACCCGTAGCTCAACTCCAGAAACTTGTCTTGAGCCAAATTTCGATCCTCAAACTTTTCCAATTGATTCAAGCAGGCCAATTGACTAGCAGGCCTACAGCAGGCCAATTGACTAGTTTACTAACTCCAACAATTCACTCATTCTTTCTAGTTCTGGTACAACTGGGGCGCCAAAGGGCTTGAGCCAAATTTTGATCCCCTGCTCGATCCCCTGTTCGATCCCCTGTTCAAATTGTTTCAAGCACTACAGCAAGCCAATTAACCGGTTTACTGACTTCAAAATAAACCCATTTCTTTCTAGTTCTGGTACAACTGGGGCGCCAAAGGGTGTGATGATCACGCATCTCAATCTCGCCTATACTTTGGATATTTTTCTCGAGT